CAGAGCAACTTTGCTGACGGTATCAAGGCCGCAAAGGAGACCAAGGCGGACCTGGAGTGGACCCAAAAACGTGTCGGGTGAGTTTTGCTCAAGATTTTCATTTCTCGCTATCCTATTCTCCTCAACAACGATTTTTGCTCCTTTGCCCCTTATATAAACTGCCCTCCCTGGTAACCACGTCGGTTTCCGCTCCGCCCCGCCCCTGCTATTCCGCCGCCCCGCCGTCCTTGGCAACTGAAGATGTCACCTTCTACAAAAATCGCTGTTTTTCCCACAATTACTTCCAGCGACTGTGAATTCCTGCTAACATACATGTCTGCAGTGCCATGAAGGCAAAGGCCGAATCTGCGCTTCCCAAGGAATACCGCTCTGCATCAAGCAAATACGCTTATCCCGGGGACTACTGAACCCCCTGGATATCCCATTTTAACGACCTCTCAGACTTAACGATTTTCCTTTATTTTTTTGGCGAATAACCCCCTGGCAAAGGAGTACCGGCTGCTTTTTCATCTTCTTCAAACGGGAGGCAAAATTTACAGTTGGTTGGTATTTTGCTCTTATCTCGTGTCGCGGTGGTCAGCTGGATTTTGGATGTCTCAGAGTGCCCATGTCCACCACCCCGCGCTGATTTTACATCTACCCTTATATCCTAATATTTTTCTTTCGTCGGTACCTGTGGGAGGGTATATCTGCGTTTCTCGGCCTGCTACGAATATTCATGTTCATACAGATTGGTGTGATCAAAAATTTATCCGGTTTATATACTTGTTTCATCCCCCCCTTTCCGCGCTGCCTCTTATCTGACACATCACATTTACTCAACATTTATCCGATACTACCGAAGCAGACACTGCGACCGCGACATTGAACGGCCATATTACAGCCTCTTTGGCAAAAATATGGCAGCCCAAAAAAAATAGGTGTAGGTTGGTGTATCAGCTCCCCAGACCACGCCCGCAAGTAACTACCCCCCTCCCCCTCCCGAGCACCCCCAGGTCTCCGCCCCAGGCCTCCGCCCCGCCCCGCCACAGCTTCTGGCGGGAACGAGCTTAAACTAGCCCCTGTTCCTCCAAGCCAAGTCAGGGTAAACAGACAAGGGGCAAGGGAACCTGCAGGCCCGAACTCTTAACGCTATTCCACCTATCATCAGCTGTTATTAGCGCGAGTCGGGCCCATGGATCCCATCTAGACTTGTAATTTTATGTATGCCGTAGTATTGATCCTGCTCCCGTGGCCTGCTCAGGCGCGTGGCGTGTATAAAACAGAACAAGTGACCTGTAATTTTCTACAGTAATAATGGTGTAATATTGATACGTCCTCTATGAAAGTATTATTATTATTATTATGCCAGATTTTGTGCTTGTAATACGAATAATACTTTTTCCCTGGTTCCTTCGGGTGGTATTATTATCGGGATGGGTAGGTGTATATTCATTTTTTTTTTTTGCTCAGTGTAACATCGCACACAACTATAAAAGAGTGGTCTTAGAATATATTATGGGAGATAATAGCTGCTTGCTGTTACTGTTAAAGTATATGCATTATGTCCATGGATGGTATTTAGCCTGGAAAGAAATCATGTCTTTATTGAGCTTGGTTTTTTTAACTCCTTTCCTTAACCACATGTTAATTTCTTATTCCTTTTTCTTCCCCTTTTTTTTGTCTTTAAAAGGGAGTCACTTCCCCAACGATCAATATTTCCCTTAGGTACATCTGTTTTTTGCTCCCATCATTAATCTTGTCGCTTGTTTTCTCCTTAATCTTCTTTCAGTCGCGGTACCTCTCCAACTAAAGTATACCAGACCATCACCATCCCACCACACACTAGCACTGCGCTTTCTCAAGTTCTTTTGGATCATAGAAGATGCGATATGGCGTAGGCGCCAACTTCACGGGCTTCTGACTCTTGGGTGGAATGTCATCGAGAAACGACGGCATGAAGTAGACTCTATCACCAAGAGAGTTGCGAAGTTTTCCGTTGGCGAACATATTCAGAAGCTCACGGGTCATAATTGTGCCGTTCGGAGCATGGTAGTTTCCTTGTTCATCAATATAGTTGGTGCGTTTAGAGGCCTCGTTGGAACCGTCATCCAATGGCTTGGGAATTGGTCCTAGACCCGCGGTTAGTATATTATCAGATACACAGTGGTGGCCTTGTATATGACGTACTTGGTCCACCTACGGGGAAGATAGGACTCCATTTGTTGAGGGGAGGAGCTGCTTCTGGCTCTTCCTTCTTAACTTCACGAGTATCGGACTTGGAGGTAACCTCTGCCTCTTTTTGTGGAACAACTAGACATACATTAACCTCACAGTGTCTGGGCAAAATAACTTCATATATGTATTTACTTACCTTCATTATTTTGGGAGTTATCGATATCCGATTTCTTGTCTGTGCCGGCTTTGGCTACACTATCTTGATCTTTTGGGAAAAGTAAAGCTCCTAGGCCCTCCATATCAAGTGGCTGTCCTGCAATCTTGTTTGGAGTGATAGCTGAAACCTTGGTTTCATTAGGAATGTTGATAGCCTTCTGAGCCTTTTGGTTGTCTCTTGGATTGATAGTGACCCCACCTTCTTCTCCCTCATGTCTTCTCATCACGGGGTACTGACCTCCAGGCATATTGCCTCGTTGGGGACGACGGTTGGTTGTATCATTGAGTCCTCCTGGGACTCCAGGGACAGGGGTTTTTGCCTTGTGCGCTTCCGTTCTTTCCTTTCTGGCCTTGTTCTTACGGGGTTTATGCTTGGGGTCACCGCCAGCAGAGTCTGGAGCTGCAGCATATCTATCCCTCTCTCTAGTAGCTAGAGTCGAGGCAAATGGCTTCGACATTGGAGGGGGCGGCAGTTCAGGGGTGGGAGCGACAGAAGGGACTGCTACAGAGCGTCCTGGCATACCAGAGGAGACATGGCTCTCTGGCTTGTTCCACGACTCAGGGCGCCTTCCAAGGGAGCCATTCCAACGGCGTCCATGTTGGCCTCTGTACTGGGTAGCTTTGCTGGCAAATTTGGCAAATCCCATAGTTGTAGCAAGTTCATTATCTGCAGCATTATCTGCAGCATTGTTGGTGTTATCTCCAGACATAGTGAGCAGCGTCTAGCTGATTACCTGTAGAGGCTTTGCTTTGTAGTGATCGTGAAGAAGCGTAGCTATCTACTTCATGAGATAGAATGAAGGATATGACGAATATATGAAGCAGGACAGGAAAGAAACACCGTAAAATGCGTAAAAATGTGTGTTAAACCGATGTTTTTCTTCTGAAGGTCATTTTTTCTTTCTTGAAAGTTCACTTTCATTTTCACTACCCAAATTGGGAAAGTTTGATTATCAACGTGAAGGGGGGTGGATATCAAGAAATTTTCAAGGCAATATTTCAGGCTAATGAAGAACTAAATGTTCTTTTAATAAGCTGCTCTTGGGGGTAGAAATAGTAGCAGGATATCAAAAAAAAGTTCTTCATTCAATCATAGATAGTAATGGAAAAGATAGATCCAAAGGGATATCCAACGGCAGCGTATCTATAGCCAGATTCAAGCTAAGCAAGACTTGAATTGAATATAAATTACACCGCAAAGAGATAGTAAATATATATGTCGAGTGATAACCCTGTATCTTAGTATGTTCTACCCTCTTTATACATAATTTTGTTCATCCATTGCTCGAGCAATAACAGACGCAAACCGGTTGGCTCTATCGGTGTCTTGCTTCGCGGTACCAACACCAAGTAGTACCTTCTTCACGCCGACCCCAATCTTCTCGCTCTGTGTCAGCTCTCGGATCCGCAACAAGGCGGATTTCACTTCGTCAGGAGTAAGAGTTTGTTCCTGCTGCAAGATGTATGCTAATTCATCGTAAGTGTTGATATTTGGTACAGGGATGTCGGAATTAAACGAGGTGAACACATCAAGTTGCTTCAATATTGAGCGTTCTGTCGTTGTCGCGAGAACTAGCAGGCGGCGGCCGTTAGGGGGTTGTTTCCTGAGGAGCACCATCACTGCCTGGAGAACTGAGTTGCTGAATCGGGGTCCGATAGGGACCCAGTCAATAATTCGCTCAATGTTGTCCATAACAACAACGCTGGTTGGACTCTTATAGGCATCCGTGAACACTTTGTTCATGTGTTGAACCTTAGCCATCTCACTATAACCCACCATATCTTCAGGGCTAATAAGCTTAACGAAGGGGAATCCCGAGTCAATTGCAATTTTAGCGGCGAGGGCAGTCTTCCCACTGCCTGGAGGTCCATGCAGCAATACCGAGAAAAGGGATGTCGTTGACTCCGGATCACGAACTTGTTTGACGAAGAGCTTACCTTCTTCCAGGATTTCATGCACTGCGCGAGAGAAATGGTGAATACCTCCATGAAGACAGGTCTCGAGTTCTTCTTCAGAAACACCAAAGGCAGGTTTTACCTCCTCAAGTGCATTATGGAAGTCCATTCGGTTAACCTTCATGTTGACGATGTCATCACTTATCCCAGCCATTGTTCCCACTTTAACGTGGCGATTGAAGGCAAAGGAAGACGCTGACTTCACCAAACCACTGATCTCGGCGCCTGAGAAATTCTTAGTAAGCGCTGCCAGTTCCTTGATATCAACATCTTTGTCCATTACATCGTTGTCTCGCATTTTCTGGGTATGTATTTTCAAGATTTGGGCTCTGCCGTGTTCATCCGGTAGAGATATTTCCATATGGACTTCCAGTCGCCCGGGGCGGAGTAGGGCGTCATCAATCATATCCATTCTGTTGGTCATACCTATCAACAGGATGTTGTTCAGCTGGTCAACGCCATCGAGCTTTGAGAGAAGTTGGTTGACTACGCTGTCACCAACACCAGTTCCGCCACCAGCACCGCTACCTCTCTGTTTACAGACAGCATCCAATTCGTCGAAGATGATAATGTGTAGTCCACTCTCGTCTCCCTTTTCCCTGTATTCCTTCTCTGCATCGGCAAAGAGTTTTCTAATGTTTTCTTCAGATTGGCCGACGAACTTGTTCAGAACTTCCGGTCCGTTGATAACTTTAGGTTCCCTAGCATTCAACATTTTTCCAATCTGCCTCGCAATCAACGTTTTACCTGTCCCAGGAGGCCCGTACAGCAAAATGCCCTTGACGTGTTGGATACCGAGTTTCTCAACAAGCCCCGGCGGGAAGATACGGGATGCAAAAGCTCTTCGGAAGATGGTGCTAAACTCTGTATCCAAACCGCCAATTCCCATATTCTCAAACTTGAAGTCTGGCTGAACGATTGAATTGGCTGCAGGCCTTCGGTTGGATGCTTTTACATTGATGCCAGTTTTTGCGTCTTTGAAAAAGTTGATTAAGGTATAACCTGTTAGAATGCCTCTAGAGTGAGGATCTGTGGAGGTGGGCGCAGAGGAAGATGTCTTCTCTGTAGTTAAGTCTCCGAGTTGGACCGTCTTCACTGTCAGTAACAGAGGAATGCTCTTATCATCCATGAGTACCTTCTGTCCAGGTGCTAGAATCTGATCCTCAAAGTTCTAACCAATCCACGTCAGCATGGTACAACTACTTGTTCAACTATGGTACCAGTTCCTACCTTAATAAATGTCTGAGCAAGCTGGTCTTGATCATATGGCACTTCTGTTCTCTTCCTTCCAGCAAAGCTGACTTCAATATCCATAGATCCAAGGTATGCCTGGTTTCCTTGACTGAATGCATCATATAATTGTACCTGAACCATATCGGTCAAGGCAACTTGCGCCCATGTCCTTTGTGGGTCAGACATACTGATATGACCCTGGGGGAAACCCTCCATTGGACGAGCGGAGAAGACATATAGCCCATTAACAAGAATTGGGACATCGGTGCCATCACGGGTACGAGGGATGTCGCGGGGGGAAACCGCAACACTATTTCAAGAAAAAAACATTGTTAGATAGAGCTTTATGTCACCAGCAACTAAACAAGATCAGGTCTTACAGATTTCCATATGTGTATGAATTATCCGGGCTTTTGGCAGGGCGTAGAGACCATGTCTGTCCATCGCCACCCTTATCTCCGTATGGTCTAGGAGGCATTGATCTATCGCCTGGCCGACTCATTGGGGATCCCGCATGGCTGCTACTATTCCCGTCATATCTATCAGTCATAACGGTATCACAGTCGCGTAGGAGGGGTGTAGATAAACCATACCCTCCGCTCATAGCTCCAGTTCGGGGGTCTTGTCCATAGCCGCTATCATAACCACCCCGCTGCTGTGGTGGTCCTCGAGGAGGGTAAGAGGCGTCGCCACGAGATGGACTGTTTGATCCGAAGGGACTAGGAACAGACGAATAGTTGTTGCGGTTGAACATGCTGTGAATTACCGGTTATGGTCAACTGTTTGGCGGGGGTTCAACGGTGTAGTATATCGGCCTGGGAGGAAATAAATGGTAATAAATAGAAAATATCTCAAATTCCCGCCCCAGAATTCCACCATGGAAAAATTGTCTTTTATAGCTGAAACGAGTTTGACAAGTGTCAAGATCTCTTCTGCTTCTTCCTGCTTCGCTCCAGGCAGCCTTTGCTACGATGCATGTAGTTAGGAGAAAGGCAGATGTTGTAGCAGTAAAGTTCTGCTTAGTCATCAGTGTCGTCACTGGTTTTTCGTTTTTTCCTTGCTTGACCAACTTGTAAACTGTTAAGTATTGCGGGAAAACAGAAAGATGCCATTGTAAGTATGAAACTATACGCTTATTACGCTGGGGGCTCATGCTGATAGGTTACTTTTAGACATTTGCTTGGAAAGAAGTCATGGAACGTTTACAACAAGGACAATATTGCCAGGGTACGGCGCGATGAAGCTCGCGCAAAAGCTGAAGAGGAGGAAAAGGAAAGGAAGCGACAGGAAGATGAAGCCGAGAAGAGGATAGATATCTTGCGCGGGAAGCTGTTGACCCCCGTGAGTGAGGTAGCAGACAAAAAAGAGCATTCTTCTCGCTCCCGTGAGATATCACATGGCGATAACAGACACAGTAAGAGGAGGAGACTAGCTGGAGAAAATGACACAGATCGTGATATCCGGCTTGCAAAGGAGGAGTCTGGACGAGCATACCAGCGTGTTAAAGATGAGACCTCTCGCCGACATGTTAGTGATGCACCTATCGTCGATAAGTCCGGACATATCAGCCTGTTTCCTGAAGAGCCAGCTAGGAGACACCACTCAGACAAGAATCCTGAAACTGAAGCGGAATTGGCACAGAAAAATCGAGAGTTTGAAGACCAATACACTATGCGATTCTCTAATGCGGCAGGGTATAAGCAAGAACTAACCTCTGCACCCTGGTACTCTTCTTCGATGACGGAAATATCTGCTCATAGTACGGGGATACCTACGACGAATGTCTGGGGCAACGAAGATCCTAGGAGACAAGAAAGGGAGAAAATGAGATTAGCCACCAACGATCCCCTGGCAGCAATGAAGAGAGGTGTGAAGCAATTAAGAGAGGTTGAGAAGGAGAGGACAAAATGGGTGGAAGAGAGGGAGAGAGAGCTGAGAGCTTTAAAGAGGGATGAGAAAGAGAAACGGCGGAGGCGAAGACATAGGAGTAATGGGGATTCGGATGATAGCCTTGATGGGTTTAGGCTGGATGCTGAGCCTGAGAAGGTGGAAAGAAAACGCCATCGAAGCCGTTCTCGAGATCGAGGCCACAGAGGGGAAAGACCACGACATTATGAGCGGTGTCGGAGAAGACATAGTGATAGACGTGAGTCCAGGTCTTGGCCTGAGAAAGAATCTGTTGCTTTGGGTCAAGCGTCAGGGAAACGATACAATGGCATTTGAAAGGAAAAGTCCTTTATATCTATACCCATTCGACACACCTGATCCCAGTATTATTTATCCCCAACTTTTCTCTATACCATAAACCAGAGCGATATTCATCAAATAGCCAGCCCAAAATTTTATCCCACCTACGCCAAAGACCATTTCTGACTTCCAGACTTACCATCTGAATTCCAGCCAATGGTGATATCCAACAACCGCGACTTTTCATCCTTCTTCTGGTACTCGATCGACCCACTAACTACTTGGCCTTTCTTCATTGCGGCGGTAGGGTTTTTCTTCTGGTCGATCAAGAAGAGTCCCTGCTGCCAATGTGTTTCCTGTCCACCGGGGCCAGTAGTGAAAGCTACTATATCACGTTTCTTCATTAACTCTGGTAGTGCGTCTTCTGGAGTTAGCTTGCTATCAGCTGAGGGCATGAATATAATATCAAACCATACAGCCCAGCCATCCAGAGAGTCAATATCATGGGAAAGTGTAACGGTGAATTCCTTCGTGAATATCAGCTCTTTGGCGGTGATGGTGTGCAGCGGCATATAGAGGAAGAGGTCTGATTCAGCAGCCATTATTTCAGGCTTCAGGCTGCGGACGATGGCTTCGTCGTGCACACCTTCGAGCATACTAGACATGTTGAAGCCATAGATTGACTTCCAGAATGTGATATGTTCCTGTACAATGTCTGAGGAAGCAACTGGAGCGATACGTATGGTGGCATGTGAGGGGACCATGAGACCGCCAGGCACGAGGTAGCGGTCGCGCGCCCAGAGAACGGAATCGAACATTGCTTCAAATAGGAGACAGTAGCCCATCCATTCAGAGACGATGATGTCGACCTGCTTCACGGGGAGGATAACTTCTTCAATTTTTCCGCGCAGACATCTATGACATCTTCTTAGCGATTGATCAGAAAATGATACGGACAGGAATACTTACGTGATAACTCCATCGAACCCATTCTCATATACAATCTCACGCGCCTTGCTGATGATGTCTGAGTTGTCCACCGCAATAACCTGCTTTGCACCCGCTTTAGCGCAGAACATGGACAAGATGCCCGTTCCGCAGCCAACATCAAGAACAACTTTGTCTTTGAACAGATGTTTGTTATCATAAATGAAATCACGATACGCATCGGTGCGTATGGAGTCCTTAATCATTGACTCGTGGATTGCTTGTTACTGTTAGTCAAAGCCGTGACACCAGATTAGCACAGGGGCAATAGATCCCTACCATTATAAGCATAAGAGGTAAAGTAACCCTTCTCTGCCTCCTGAAACCGCCGTGAGCTGGAAGCATTCGCCTCTTTACCGTCGTCCTCACCATTGCCTTCTATAGATTGGTTCAGTGCTTTCTGCACCATCTGTTTATATTCTGCAAACTCGCCACGGAGGTTGTTGAGTTCGTTCTCTAGTTCCTTTATCCGGGTTGGATCGGTCATCCTCTCCAACTTGTCTGTAACCTCCAATTGTTCCCCAACAGCTATGTCGTCTAAATTATACAGCAGCGCATCGTCTTCCAGTACAGGTTTGAGATACTTCTCGTCTTCGAACAGGGCGGTGCTGGAGACATCTGGTTTCATGTTGCCGTTCTTGACCTCTGAACGGATATAATTGACCAGTTTGATAGTCCCAAGGAAATCAAGCTCTACGAAGCAATTAGCAACCTATGTACGCTGTGGGCGAGTAGTTAAACAAGTGTAAGTATATACGTACCTAACTCTCTCCGTACGCGTACAAGGTCAAAATCAAACTTCTCCTTGCATTCGTCCAACATTGAACGAGTGTCAGGATAGACCTTATCTGTGAAGAGGCCTACAACGGGCTCGCTCTCTTCTTCAGGCTCTACATCCTCCCATCCATCGTCACGCGTGAGATCGAGGGGCTCTTCAGGCATGGAGTCGTCGCTATCGCTATCCCGGTCGTCGTGGTTGGCTGGAGGACTCATTATGGGCGCCAGACCAAATAATATATTCTAAATAAAGCGTATATAATTATAATAGAAGAATAGAAGAAGATCTAAATGTTGCTCGTGTGGACTTTTTTTCTATAATTTTTTGGGTTTTTCAATATTTTCGAGAGAGATTTCTAGTGGGGCAAAAAACCTCGCGGTTAATAACTAACTAAACGCAAGAAGCTACTTTAGTTTACCAACAACATCATCATAACGTCCTACAATTCGATATTCCGAAGCCCAAGCTCTTGTTCAGATGAGAGTAAGGGAGAGCTGAGGGTGTAATCATGATATGAGTTCATAAGGTGTTTCTGCACTAACATCAGCTTTTATCTCTTAACTATTTAAGATTGCTGCTGCTGCTGTTCTCCTTGGAGCTGAATCAACATCCTACATGAGTATCTTCGCGGTAGAAGCGAGGCCTATCTTTATCCAGTGATGGCGTTTCTATTTAACCGGAGCAGACAGCGGCAGCCTGCAGAAGTTGCGAGGACGACCAAAGACCTGCTGGTCAAGCTGCGGGACGGTCCTGGCGATGCAAAGGTCAGAGAGAGAGAGAAAGAGATAGCATCCTTATTGACAGACGGATATGTACAGATGGAATGCTGATGCTGGTATAGACAGAAGAAGACCTGGCTAAACAGCTGGGCCATATGAAGCTGATAGTCCAGGGGACTCAAGGTCTGACTCTCACGCCACCCCCCTCTGTACCACTTGCGCCAGCTAACCAGGTTGGAATAGAGGTTGATACACTGCCAGACCAGGTGCAGCAGCTGGTGCATGCTGCACTACAGGAGGACCTTCTCTTTGATCTAGCTCGATCTATTCCTAATCTCCCCTTTGAGGCCCGCAAGGACACCCAGACCATCTTCTCGCATATCCTACGCTTCAGGCCAGACGCATCAACCGCAACTCCGACCATACCAAACGCAGGCGGTAGCTCTGGCTCCATATCATCTACATCTGGCGACCCGCCCGTTATCTCATATATTGTACATAAGCGGCCCGAGATCCTGACCCAGCTATGTCGTGGCTACGAGAACAACAAGAGCGCGATGCCGTGCGGGTCTATTCTACGGGAGGCGTTAAAGTATGAGGTTGTGGCTGGTATCATCCTATACGATGAGTCTGGGGAAGGGGAGAGAGCGATACGACTTAACGAGATACAACCGGGCAAGAAGCAAAGCGGTGAAGGGCTGTTTTGGAGTTTTCTGAGTTGGATTAACCAGAGTAGTTTTGAAGTTAGCGCCGATGCGTTTACTACTTTTAGGGTGAGGTTGTCTTTACTACAAGACGTGGGACCGGCTGTTAATAACGTAATTGGCAGGATATCTTGACACGGCACAAGGCACTGGTGGCAGGGTACCTGAGCGCCAACTTTGACCTGTTCTTCGGCCGGTACAACAACATCCTGGTGCTGTCAGATTCGTATGTGACGAAGAGGCAGAGCATCAAGCTGCTGGGCGAGCTGCTGCTGGACCGCGCCAACTATAATGTCATGACAGCGTATGTGGACAGCGGCGACCACTTAAAGCTATGCATGAATCTGCTACGAGACGACCGCAAGATGGTGCAGTACGAGGGCTTCCACATCTTCAAGGTAGGCATCTCCCCCTCTTCTCTATTGTCCCTTCTCCTTGGCTGAACGTTTTGGTATGATAGGTGTTTGTGGCCAACCCGAACAAGAGCGTAGCCGTGCAGAGGATCCTGATCAACAACCGCGACAGGCTGCTCAAGTTCCTGCCCAAGTTCCTGGAGGACCGGACAGACGACGACCAATTCACGGATGAGAAGAGCTTCCTGGTGCGGCAGATTGAGAATCTTCCTAGTCAGGCACAGTGATTGTGAGTGAGTGAGCCTGGAGTTTGGAGATAAGACATGCTTGGATGTTTACTATGGATATAGAGCCCTTTTCATCCTAATACAAGAACAGTTATCAGTTAATACCCTACCAGCCAACAGCTCTTTCTCACTATCTACATGCACTTGTATCGACCTTGTATATATATACACTAACTAGCTCCTGCATGTTCTCCACCGAAACTGGTGGCAAGGGCGGAGTAAAAACCCGAGGTTAGCCGAGAGACCAAGGCAGCGATGGCAAGACGAAGCAAACAAGTAGAAAAGAAGCAGAAAAGGAGAAGAGAAAGATGAACTCTTGATCATCTTCACATATCAAGAACCAGACAGGGAAGAAGGAGTATACCCCTATCCGGAAAAAATCAGGGCTAGGGCTAGGGCAAGGGCTTCTCGGTGTTTCCCCCAGCTTACCTAATCATCCTTCGGGCCGAAGAAGTTGGAAGTCTTGAAGGGCGTTTTTTGCGGGGCAAGAAAGTCGATGGACGAAGAAGCCGACGGGCTGGAGGGGCGGGTTTTTTTATAGATATATAAGGTAAGCAATAAGCGGGATCCCTACCGTATATATGGAGGATCTCGATCTCTCTCTTCCTCTCTTTCTTACCCGGCATCACCACGCTCACAGGCAATAGTCAAGCACCAACAGATATAAACAACAGAAACAGTTACAAGATACAAACCATGGCGTCTACGATCCCTGTTGGCGAGTACATATTCCGCCGTCTGCACCAGCTCGGCATCCGCAATATCGTTGGCGTTCCTGGCGACTTCAACCTCAACCTCCTCGACCACGTCTACAGCGTCCCGGATCTACGCTGGGTAGGCACCTGCAACGAGCTCAACGCTGCGTACGCTGCTGACGGATACGCCCGTGCTCGCTCCCTGCCCGGCGTTGTCGTCACTACCTACGGAGTTGGAGAGCTGAGTGCCCTCAATGGCATAGTTGGCGCATACAGTGAATATGTGCCTGTCGTTCACATCGTGGGGAACACGTCGAGAGACATGCAGCGCAACCACACTCGCATCCACCACACCCTATGGATGGACAAGTGGGACCATAGGACATACCAGAAGATGATCGAGCCCGTGGCCGCTGCCACTGCGTTCCTGGACGATGAGAGCAAGGTGGCTGCAGAGGTGGATAGGGTGATCGAGACAGCCGTCAAGAGAAGGCTGCCGGTCTACCTGTTCGTACCGCTGGATATACAAGATAGCCCTATCGATGCTGCGCCGTTGCAGAAGCCACTGAATCTGACTGTGCAGAACGTGGGTAGGGAGGCAGAGGAGGATGAGGTTGTAGAGGAGGTGATCAAGCGGATGGGCCAGGCAAAGGATCCCGGCGTGTTGGTCGATATGTTAATGTCCAGACATAACCTGTACAGGCAGACAAGTGAGCTGATCAAGCTCCTGGCTGCTCCGGTAAGGACTCACCCTCCCTCTGCCTTTGGGTAGGTATATATATTATATTTATGTGCTAATATGGTTGAACAAACAGTGGTACACGACCCCAATGGGCAAATCAACCGTCAATGAATCTGACCCTCACTTTGCTGGTCTATACTGTGGTGTTTCCTCTAGCAACCCTGCCCTCAAGGCTCAAATTGAGTCTCACGATGCTGTCCTCCACCTTGGGCCATTTAACGTCAGTGGAAACACGGGTGGTTTCAGCGCGGAACTCCCTACCGATAAGCTCATTGAACTGCATCCTGCGTACTGCTCTGTGGGAGGAAAGGTCTGGGAAGGTCTCGACTTTAGACCTGTCGTGGAGAAACTCCTTGTCAGACTCACCAAAGAGCCTATCCAGCGAACTGTCGACCTCGCCAAGATACTCCCCAAGACCTCAGAGGTATGTCACCTTGCTGCGATGTTGGTAGTAACAAGTACTGACTTCCACAACAGCAACCATCCGATGACAATTGCACTGACCCCCTTGACCATGCCCGCTTCTGGGACCGTCTCTCCAAATTTCTACGCCCCGATGACTTCGTAGTCGCCGAAGTGGGCACCTCCCAATTCGGCTCCCAGGGCCTCACCCTCCCCGACAACACCACTTATTTCTCTCAGCTTTACTATAGTTGCATCGGATTCTCTGTCCCTGCCACGCTGGGTGTCCTTCTCGCCCGCCGCGAAACCGCCAACCCTGGCCGTGTTATTCTCCTCGTCGGTGACGGAAGTCTACACATGACCGTCCAGGAGATCGGCACCATGGTCCGTGAGGGCTTCAAACCCATCATCTTCGTAGTCAACAACAGAGGTTACACCATCGAACGACTCATCCACGGTCCCGAGCAACAATACAATGACATCTCTGAGATGTGGGACTACCAGAAGATGCTTGGCTTCTTCGGTGCAAAGGACGGCCGAAGCTACGCTGCCCGCACTTATAAGGAGCTCGGCGCCATCTTAAACGACGAGACCTTCCTAAAGACTGACGTCATCCAAGTCGTCGAGATCTTCTTTGATATCATGGACTCGCCATGGAACCTGACCAAGTTGCTCGAGCTCAAGGAGGAGAGGTTAGCCAAGGCTAGGGCGGAGAAGGAAAAGGCAGCGTTGGCTGCTTCTGGAACCAATTATGCTAATTAATACAGTATAACTCGAAGACAAAGTGGGCGGATTGTTTCTTCTCTTTTTCTTTTCACCTGTACGGAGTATTTTCGAAGTAACTAGACATGGCAACCAACTATTCCACGAGTACTAACAAATTTACCTCTATATCATTAACAATAACTTCCGCCACCCTTTCCCTATTCTGAGTGTAATATACTCCTACCCTTAAGCAAAGGTATATAAAACAGCAATAAACCCGGACGCACTTTTTTCTTTTACCCTTGTTCTTGATACCTTTAGTTTTCTTATAGTAAAAGTATCTATAGGGCTATGATTCCCTTATCCCTCCTCCATGAAATAACTCCTGTATCTCCATAAGCGGGATCTTAGATGAATATATAATCTTAGTCGACCTCGGCTGTTGCTTGGCGCTTATATGAGGCTCGGCGCTAAGTTAAACAACTGCCAGGTTCACGTGATAACCATTGTTTACAAGCGCGAGCCTTATATCTTTGGCTAAGCAACAGCTTGTCAAGGGCAGAGTAATTCGTCTTCGAGCAGTTCACCACAGCTAGCTGAGCAATTTCCAGGCCCTGGACGCCCCCATAGGTCGTAAAACACGTCTGGCAAGGCATTTTCGTATTCAAGGCAGTGACCAATCTCCTTACTAAGCGGCACACTTAGCGTCACATGACTCCTCGTGATTTCTTATAAAACCTGCTTATGTAATTTCCCCTTTTCCTTTTTTTTTCTTCCCCAGAAAATCAACAAGAAAAGAAAAAAAAATCTCCTTATGATAGCTGATATATGGTTGATGCCACACGGAGTATCGAGATATATATGTGCGCAATATATATCTACATTGATGGGCTCGCAGGACGGTGAAACGCAGGACGGCATGGCCCTGGTTTAAACACCCGCAGCGGAACAAAGCGCTAAGATCCCAAAACACCCTGTCACTCCTTTTTACCGTGCTATCGTTGCATCGCTGTATCGTTTCAGACTCGCTTATCAGTCCACGACCAGTCAATAAACGCTTCCGGGAATGTCGTCTACAGGGCTAATACTACCTACGCCCTCGTTTACGTTCACCAGTCGATACATCTGCTCTTGATTCCTTCCCAGGTCCTCGTTTGCGCCACCGTGGTTGGGCGCAGGAACTGGTTGGCATCTGTATAAAAAAAAACTGGGCAGATTATAGGTTGGCAAACCGGTTACGCAGCATGGCAACCACCGCGTCGGGGCCAACGTTGTCGGCACCCTTGCTGTCCCCGTCCCCGTCCTCCTACGCGGAGTCCGTAAATTTCGAACCTCCCTCCTTTGTGGCGACCCTCGAGGACCCAAAACTCCGCGACAAACTAGAAGTCGAGGCTGAAACAACTCCGGAGCCACTCGGTCGGCCTTCCTTCTCTGGATCGTTCAGGAGCTTCAATGCTAACGTCCGTCCTTCCTCTGCTTGGTCGCGCATCACTTCCTCTGCCTTCGCTTCCAGGGAACGTCGCGCGACAATCTCTGCCGGCAAACGATCACTGAACCTCGCGAGAGACAACAAAAACGGTCACGGTATACCCAGGATCATTGTTGACGAGGCCCCTAATCGACCCAGTTCAAGAAGATCTTTATCTGAGAGGAAATGGAGCTCGGTTCGAGGTACTAGAGGTGAGGTAGCTGTAAAGAAACGATCCGGTATATCCAGCTCTAATATACCACCTGTTCCCCCTATTCCACCATTCAAAGGCATCACTATGGATATTCCGAACTCCTCATTAGGGGATATCACCAGCTCTACAATTGACGAGGGAAACGAGTGGAGTCCGTCAACGGCGGCCAACCCCAAGTTGCTCAGCGCCGATGAGGCTCATACCAGTCCGCCTAGCAGGAGAGTGAGTCCTTCGACGATGCGTAACTTTAGCACACGCCGGATTCGGTCCGCAAATTCGTTGAGAGGTGGCAGAACGGATAATGGGGGTGTAGTCCGTACTTTGTCTGTGGACGAAGAAATGTTGTCTAGAAAAGTGAGGTTGATGTATGAAAAGGGGGAGGATGTGGTTAGTGAGGCGGAGCTGAATCAGGCACTAGACGAAGATGAGAGTATCTTCATGGACATGAACGGGGATACTATGGAAAATACGGAGGGTACGGGAAACATAAACTCTGAGCCTCCAAGTGAGAAGTCAGAAACTGCGTCGACGGCTACAGTCAGCCCGGCTAGAAGGAGAAATACGGTGGAGAGGGAGAGTAATGAGCTTGCTGGTGGCGTGGAGGACTGGAATGATATTGAGAACGGCTACGTTGATAGATACGGCTTCATCATCCCGCATCCTGAGGATGGTGAGTCGGACACGAACGGGCCGCAGCCGCTTCAAAGGGTCTCAACGAGTTTGATGCTCGCCTCTGCCACACCCAGGCGGAAACGAACAATGGCCAAACGTCCGCCTTCAACGGCAGGAGCAGCGAGTATCCGCTCCTTTGCCGGCCGCTCCTCGTCACAGAGAACTAACGACCATCCCGCTCGTCCAAATTCTTCCCAGAGCTCATACCAGCCCCCCATCTCGCGTACCACCAGCAGTCTACGTTATGCAGCGAACAAGCTCCCCCACAACCGTTCTCGCAAGCTGCTTGACGAAGCCGGTGATATGCTAACCAGCCCCACCCAAAAGACCAATAGCTTCAGTTTCTCTGAAGACGATTCGGCCTATTCAAAAGCCATGAAAAAGAAGGAGTGGGAGCGTGAGGACAAGTGGCGTAAAATGGCCAAGCTCACCTCCAAGGCCAAGGATGGATCTGGAATGACATTCGAATTTGATGTCACTAGTTCCAAGCTTATCGAACGTACCTGGAAGGGTATCCCGGATAGCTGGCGCTCAACAGCATGGCACGCCTTCTTGGCTGCCAGCGCAAAGAAACGTCCTGACAGCCCTACTGAGGCTGAGTTAATTAAAAAGTTCAACGAACTGCAAGTCTACCCGTCCCCTGATGATGTACAGATCGATATCGATGTCCCCCGCACCATCAGTAGCCACATCATGTTCCGACGCCGATATCGCGGAGGACAGAGGCTTCTCTTCCGCGTCCTACATGCCATGTCCCTTTACTTCCCGGAGACCGGATACGTGCAGGGAATGGCCGCACTGGCCGCCACTCTACTGGCTTACTACGACGAAGAGAATGCATTCGTCATGCTTGTCCGCCTCTGGCAATTTAGGGGTCTCGATCGACTTTACCGTGAGGGCTTTGCAGGCCTGATGGAGGCACTGAATAGCTTTGAGAAGGACTGGCTAGGCAGTGGGGAGGTGGCCGAGAAACTGGTACGTTAGACTTTATATTTCCAGCTCGTTTTAACCAAATAGCCCCCTACTAACATTATGCTACTACCTAGACTGAACTTGGAATTACCCCAACTGACTATGGAACACGATGGTACCTGACACTATTCAACTACTCCATCCCATTTGCTGCTCAGCTCCGAGTGTGGGACGTATTCATGCTTCTAGGCGACTCAGGGGAACCAATCCACCCAGCCGACTCTGCCAACAGTAACGGCCACGTAAACGGTGCCAGTACCAGAACCGGACCTGCGCACCCTGTGGCAAGCCCGTTCGGTAAAAGCCTTGATATCCTACACGCCACCTCTGCTGCCTTGATTGATGGCATGCGAGATATCATTCTTGAGTCTGACTTTGAGAACGCAATGAAGGTTCTCACTAGTTGGGTCCCAATCAATGATATCGAACTCTTCATGAGGGTCGCCAGGACCGAGTGGAAAGTTCACTGCCGAAAGAAGGGCCATTAATCCAACGCCCACAGTACCACCTAACTCCAATACAACATACCAAAGTACAATCCTGCCATTAATACTCCTTTGACAGAAGGATATCAAACACTACAACAGCATTTTTTCGCCATATTACTCGATTGATCTTTCTTCTGTTTCATCTTCGATTCGTCTGACTTCCGGTACACCTTTACACTTTCTTTAATAACAGTACATCCGACCATTTTCTCGTCCTATATATATTTCATTTCATTTGCCCCCTTTCAAGAGACATACTCGCTGCAGCCCTTTCTCTTCTTCTTTACCTATTAATGCACACTCACACCCCTTTATCCAGGGATTATTACGTTGTCACGCCTTTCCTTCCTTCACCATTTCTCCCTTCTTTACGGTCTGCCATTTAATCTTAAATGGATTTAATTTCCGGCTTTCTTTACGCGGCCTTCCCTTCTGTTTTCTTTTTCATAAAATCTAACTTAATAGATTTACTGAGATACCCTCAATATCTTAATACACTTGACTCCTTGTCTTCCCCTTCTCTTCTGTTCCGTCACTTATTCGTCGTTCTTTCACCTATTTAATTACTTATCTTACCTTGCTTTTAATCAATTTACATACTGACTTCAACGGCCTTTATGCTTTTCTTTGTACGTATTGACGTATATCTATTTCAATCTATTGTCTGCACATCCAAGGATGGAGTATTCGAGGGGCGGCTCAGTTCTACCGATGGTATCTTAGAGAAAAGGTAGGAATGAAACAGGACTAGGGGGGACAGCTGGCTGGACTGTAGAGCTTCGTTTACTAGACTATATGTATCTAACTACTTGGCTCTCTGTATCTACAACATCCAATGGGTTAATAATATCACCATGTCGCTGTTCTTGCAGTCTTCAGAACACGCTACTTAGTCCTTTCATATATTCATTCCTCTTGGATTTTCCACGTTTTCCTGGTTGACTTTCGGGCGGCCCCCACAGACACGGGTTGGCAACCTTAACTGTCTTAATCTTAACTGCTTTAGCACTTCCCAAAGTCGTGGAGTATGTATAGAATGCACGCTCACAACAGAGGGGAGGTCAAGCACTTGGCACGAAACTTGGGAACAAGATGCAGAGATACCCTGGAATGCTTCGACCTTGCTGGATACAACATCCTGGTTGTCTGAAGGATTTAGACGGTGGGGTGAAATGACGATCGGTCAATCCCCAGTGGAGATTGCTCCAAGCAATTACGAACCAGGACTTCCTCCAGCACATGAACTGATGGTGACTTGAGTTTGAGGCCACTTTGGACAGGGAAAACCGGCAAATATTACCATCCTCCCTCATCCTTCTCTTCCGTAGCCTCATTTTTCACCACCGTTGTTGGCCATCATTGTTCATCCCCCAAGATGCTATTGTCCAGGAATTTCTTGTATTTGGTCTTGACTGCGCCCCTTTGCGCTGGGAGAGCTTGCTATTTCCCTGATGGGTCTCCTGCTTCTAATGATGTGCCGTGCTTTTCAGGGGATCGTAACACCCATTGCTGTTCAAAATCCTCCATCTGCATGACCAACGGTTATTGCCTTGAATCAACCCAGCCATACGTTCTCGGGCGTGGATCATGCACCGACAAGACTTGGAGTACATCATCCGGGTGTCCCAACCCATGTTCAGCTAGTATATAATCCCCTAGCTATCATTACAATGTGTGCAATCACACTAAACAAGATAACTAAAGCTAACACCTACTTCAATAGTAACCAGCACAAAGGGTTCAGGATGCTCGATCGTCCTCTACAGCTTCCTTAAAGGCACAGCTTTGTACTGCGCTAACTCTATCGTCTCCAATTCGTCAGACAGCATAACCTGCGCAGGGAATACAGAGCCATTCCTCATCAATGACGGCGACGTCATCACCAATAAAGCCCTTCTCGAGAGAGCCTCTTGTTCTGTACCTAGACTTAACCCGACGGCATCCAACAGCGATGGTACACATGCTTCAGCTACCAGCGTTCCCGTTGAACACGAAACCTCGGGAGCCTCGAATGTGGCCATTGGTGCTGGTGTTGGTGTCCCTCTAGGTCTTTTGGCCATAGGAGCCATAGGTTGGGCCCTTTACGAACGGAAAAAGCGATACCGCCTGATAAACTCTTATTCTTCACAATCTACAGAAACGCAACTACCTCCAATTCAACCTCAAACACAACCTATGGCTGCACAACCGTACGAAATGCCACCAACATCAAAACCCACACACTTCACTACGGCTCCTCAAGAACTAGGAGACGAAAACCGCTAATGTGCGACAGGATTTTGGGAGGAAGCAGTGAATCTATTGTCACTTTTGTAAGATTTTATCTCGGGGTTTGAATATTTCTATTCTCTATAATGTTTTATGTACGATCACCTGCCAAATGGCCGAGCTTGCGATACCCAATCGATTATGCGAAACCATCCCCAGTGGGTAGATAGCATGAGTTAGTTATAATATAAATACTACGCCTCCTTATCCATGATCCGGATAATAACTGAATAGAATGCTTTGAACATAGTTCCTTTTCCTTCCGCCTTTATCATAACCCTTTATCAAGAAGAACATTCCATCTACAAAATCAACACGTAGTATTGCGAGGTGGGTTCCATTAGAAGCATCGCAAATGGGATGAATTGAAACTATCAAGCATGGCCCATAAACCTAGAAACTTGGATATTAGCAACGCCTTTGACAGTTATTTACAGTATCGCCCACTCAACATATACATATTCCATAGCTATAGAAAGGTGGCCAACAAAAGCCCAGCTGCCCCACTATCTAACTACTTGTTTACAGTAAAAGGCCAAATGAGATTGTAGTAGTTATGCCTTTGGCCAACCATAGTCTCAAACGCAGTGTTAAGGAATTAAGGTCTAAGGTCGCTCAATAATTCCAGGTCCAGAATCCAGGAAAAGCTCTGGAAGTTAAACTACCAATAATACCCGAGTGCGTTGGAGAGAGTTGTTATGATGCTCAATAAGCAGCTACTCAAACTTATGTCAGAATTAGGGAGATCAGCATATAAGCTAGCATCTGAATCCTATTTGGATGCAGGGCTAACAGTATTATGTACTTCAGATTAAAGTAGCAAGCTTAAGCATAAGCATAGGTTCATTATAGTACATGGCACAAGGCGGGAGTAACCCTAACCCTAACCCGATTATGGTTGTTGAACCATACCTGCTCTTTTTTTTTTAAGTCTGATGTAATATTCATTTATTGATTCATTCTGTACTCCTACTAGGATACCTATTGCAAAATACTCGAGAATAAATACATAGCTGAATGTCAGTTCCTATAACTGGAAAACCATCGAGACAAAATGCAACATTGCCTAGTTTGATAGCAGCAGAGAAAGCAAATAAAAATTTACAACGTGCTTTCAAAACCATGCAATTTGCAGGACTCAACTATGAAAGAAAAAAGTATAGAGAGACTTACTTCTACAAAGGAGTTGCACTCAAAAGGCTTGATGGGTCGTTACAACTAGAAACTTCCTGGATATTACCTTTGTTTCTTTTCATGCTAGTGTCTATAGTCACCTCTAGACATTCTATAAAAGGATAACCTAGGTTAGGAACCAATTTCTAGTTTACATATACGTCCAAATATGGTGAAAATGAAGAAGAGCAAGAAAACACTCTCAAACACCGAATCTACCACTAAAATCGAACCAGAGTCTGAGATAGCTAGGGGAGAAAGTATGGAGAAAGATGGGCGGACCGTTTTCCATGAAAGCCTTACAAGGTGAACTGAACTCGACCCTTGTCTAGCATTTAGTTATATGTATATCCTCCTTGTGCTGACGCTCCTTAGCTACTTCGTCTCGTCCAAGTTTTCGGACCTTGTGATCACGACGGTTGACCAGCAACATAAGGTCCACAAGCTTGTGGTATGCGGCCAATCTGAGGTTTTTTCTCGGATGCTCGATCGTGACTGGAAGGTGAGATTATATTTATGATATAACTAGCTACTAGGAAGAAAACGAAACTAATAACCGATTAGGAATCATCTGAGAATACCATCGAGCTCGGAGATGACGACCCTCGTGCCATTGAAGCAATGATCAGTTTCATGTACAAGTTCGATTACCGCCAAACGGGTGGAGAGGCCTCTTCAATGCTCTTTGATGCAAAGGTGTTTGGAGTGGCCGAAAAATACGGTATCGCTGCGCTTAAAATTTGCGCACAGAATAAGTTCAAAGTGGCCATACAAATTGGCTGGAATACGGATGAATTCCTAGATGTCATCGCGGAGGTTTACAATGAAATCTCTTGCGCAAACCGCACCCTTCGAATGCTGCTGGTAACTGTTTGCTACTATAATATCCGAGAACTCTTCAAGAAAGACCACTTCAAAGTGCTGCTGGAGGACATAGCTGGGTTCGCAGCAGATGTCATCCACCTTTTAATATCCAAGTTGCGTGAATACGCATGCCCCTTCTGCTCTGCCAGACTGAAAGGCCCAACTGGCACCTGTTCTACCTGCGGCAGATATCATCAGAATATATCTCCGCTTGAATGAAAAGTCATGGGTGGACTGATAATCAATCTTGATCTTAGCCTGAGTCCATGATAAACAGTTCTGTCCTGTTCCCCTTGAGTATCCAAGGGAATCTGGTGGGATTTTGAATGAACCGTGGGAGTTCCGAGAATGGATATGGACCTATCTGTGATTTATTGAGAAACGTCTACTAAAGTGTAGTTACCCAAGTCCATGTTTCCTCCATGTCCACCAGTATCTCTCGCTGTTTGGAAGCTGCTTCAAGACGGTCAAGAAGGTCCAAGTACTACAGGAGATTTACAGTATGATGGACGTAGGAAGCGACACAGCTGATACCTTCACCCCAAGCCGATCCCGAACGCAACCTGTGCGACTTGGATTTTAGTTAACGGTTCATGATCCATATTTCAGCCTTCACGTAAACGTTGCTCTGAGTTGCACGAAAGCGAGATTCCACCATCTGACAAGATATGCTTCCGCAAAAGAAAATACTAGCACGATCTCCTTCATCTAAAAACCCTGGGCGCCAGGCATTATTTAACTCGGACGTTGATATCCGTAAGCCACATGTGATATCATATGGTGCAGGTGGCTTCTGCAGTTTGCTGTGGCGGAATCAAGGAAGAGACCATGTCAAGTCTGAATCGTATTTCATTATTTTGTTGAGCTGACTTTTGTCGTTTTTGATAGAGTATGGGAAGGACAGGAAAGCCACCTGTTCCTGGGCAGGTAAATATATTATTGTACAAATTGCCTCCACACTGCTCATTCTCTATGAGCTCAGCCACACTGGGTATCTAAGTTTAAAACGACAAGAGTAGAGAAAGAATGGGGAAAAGAAACTGGAGAATGGGATATAGAGGCAAATGAAGCTGTTTCGAGAGGTCTATCCGCCTCTCCAGTCTATAGGCTGTGAGAAGCAAGCGAGAGGAAAGAAAGTAATAATGGTAAACAAGTAAATAGATTAAATCAAGGCGTTATAAAAAGCAGGACATAAGCGGACATAAGAATAGTAAAAAAAAAAAAAAAGGGAACCAGGTCCAACCTCCGTCATTGAATACTATGATTAACCAAAACCCATGATATAGAGAAACAGGTTGCATGCGAAATGAACTAAAGCAAAGGCTGGAAACAAAAGGAGAGGAATGGGCCATGTATAGAGGATAGAGGCATGAAATAGGAAATAGACACAAGAATAGAAACACAACATAGTAGAAGCAAGCTGGGCAAGAATGAATGTAAATCAAGGTAAGGCATTAGGCATTATACCGACCAGCCTGGGTCGGCCACTTGGTAAATCATAAAGCAGCTTGGTAATTGTAAGGCAGATAGATTCTAATTGCGAAGAGTGTCACCATTAGAAACCGGGCCGTTGGTCTCGTTAGAGGTGAGTGAGTTTGATGCAGTGTGGTAGACAGTGCTATCTCCACTGCTGCAGACGTTTGTGGAGGCTCTGGGTCCCGTAGCAACAGCAGCAGTATCTGGTTCATGTATGATGGGCGGGTCTCTATCTCTTGTGGTGTCTCGTGTACCGCGAGAAGAAGGCGAGACATCACGCGAGCGAGAATGAGAACGGCTAGTGGTCGGTGTCTGGGTGGGATCGGATGGACGGACGAGAGAGGATACTTGCATCTGCGTCTGGCTCTGATTTGCATGTTGCTGGTGTTTTGAGCTAGAGCTTGAATAGGCATGCGATGTGTTATTATTTCTGGTGTTGATTTTAAAAGTATACTCTCCAATTGAACGGGAATGGGTTGCAGAACTGCTTTGTCTGCGTTTTTCTGCGCTGGCCCCCGAGTGTGATCGGTTACGGGGGTTACGATCAGGTAGAGAACCAAGGTCATCGGTAGTAGCCACCTCGGACAGTTGAGATGGGGGTGGTGGGATGGGAGCGTGCGAACTTTGCGCTTTACGCTTCTTAGGTGACGGTTGATACTCATTTCGAAGATGATGAGTCTGGGAGGAGGCAGAGGCTGGATTGCCGGAGTGGGGAGAGCTGTTGGGGCTTTTCCCAGCTGGAGTGGTGGGTTGAGATTGTGGAGGGACCCAATGGTGGAAAGATATGGAAGGGGAGGTCTGCCGTATTTGGGGGGCAGCTGCAGAGTCTTGTTTGGTGGAGACGGGGTGAGAGGGGTAGGATTGAGAATGGGAGTACGAGGACGGGGTGTGCGCACTGATGGCTGCAGAAGATGGGGTCGAGTTGTTCCTCTGCTGAATGGGATGATGCATGTCCGAGGCAGTAGAAAGGCGCGGGAGTGATTCGGTGGTCATCTGAGCGTGGTGGGCCATCGGATTGGGCCCGTATATGGTGATATGGGGGTGTGATGATGATGGCGGAGAGGGCTGCTGCTGGTGCTGCTGGTGATGCGGGTGAGGTGAATGGTGTGGGTGGTGCGGCTGCTGCTGTTGCCGGGCTTGTTGCTGGGACTGAGGCTGCTGAGGCTGCTGGGAAGAAGGGATGGAGAGTCTATGAGCAGAGATGGCGTATGGATTGGGTGCAATTTCACGGTTCTCAGAGGGTTCCATGGGGTTCTGCTTCGAGCGTAAGGAGAACTCGGGAGGCTGATAGATGGGGTTGGGAGGTGGCTGCTGTTGCGGAAAAGAGGGAGGCGGTGGTGGTCTATACTGCTGGGTATACTGTTCATGCCGTGGTTGCTGAGGCTGATACGGATTCAGATTCGGATTCATACCTGCAGGTCCGTTATTCTGTGTCATCTGTAGGATATACTGCTGAGCCCATTGAGCCTGGGGTCCAGCCAGCCCTACAAATACCAGAGGCACCATATGAGGCGGGACGTTGGAGCTGAGCGTATCCTGCAGCATCTTGTGCTCAATTTTGCGCTGGTCAAGCTTGAGGGCCTCCTGACGGGTGCGTTCTTCTTCCTGCTTGCGCTTATCCTCTTCAACTCTTGCTTGTAGCCATTGGCGCATTGCATCATCGTGGCTATCCCAAGTTCGCCCATCACGGCCTTGAAGATGTGGTTGTGGGTGTGTTGGCGGAGGGGGAAGGGGAATGCTAGCTCCCCCGTTTGAGTTAGAGCTGGAGCTGTTGGAGGACGTCATTTCCGTGACGGTGAGGCCCATGGCGACTGGAGGAGGCAGATTCCTGTGCTGTGAATCCATCAGGCGGCGGGCTGGTGTCGATGTCAACGGCGACGGCGACGGCGATGGCGACGGTGAGGGAGACGGGTGAGGGTGCTTCTGGTATGCGTATGCCGGCGTCGTGCGCGTGCATTCGTCAAGAGCCAGGGCGCCGTTGCGGGAAGATGTCTTGAGGGTGAGCAGCATGGAGAGCTCTAGTCATGGGTCTCTCCCGTTTCTCTCTGGTTGTCTTTTCTCTCTTTCTTTTTTCTCTGTCTTGTTGCTTCTTCCGTCGTGCTTTTTCAGTGTGAATGTGAATCTTGGATTTTCTTGATCTCCTCTGACGTCTGAGGCGGAGACCGTGTTATCTATCACTGGAAAAGAGGCCCATCATCCAGGTCATCGTCGACTCTGCCGCAGTTCGTGCGTGTTATGGGCCCTGGTGTAATTATAGCAAGGAGGAATGGGAGAATCGGAGTTTGCGCCGGGGCAGAAAGGGAACCCTTGCCCATAATCCGCAAGTCGCAGCGCATCATCCCAGACCCTTTTCCTTCTTCCTCTTCTTCATCCACCTTCGTTTGCTTTTTTTTCCTTTTCTTTTCTTTTTTTACCTTCTTTTCTTTTTAGCTCCAGCTCGTACTATGTATGTTTCGACAACAAGAAGGGAGAAAAGCGTCGCCGTATTTGGAATACGCACCGAGGCGGCGGTACAGCACAGGGCAGGTCTGGGCGCAACCCCATTGGCCAGCGCGGCTCCACTTCCTCTTTGGGATAACCTTGACCGGACATCATTCTGCTTACACTTTACAAGCGCAAAAAGGCAAACACCAAGACATTCTTCCCGTCGTATACGCCCGAGATGATTGCTATCCACACCGCTATAAAACGACGGCTTCTACGTGTTTGAAGAAACAGAAACAACGCGAAGTTTGCCTGATGGTCACTGAACTTTCCTGATCGGGACAAGGGCTCGGGAGTGTGCATGGACCCATCCTTATCCCAAAGCGGAAGGCGGTCCGGGCCCTTCTTGGCATGCGTCTTTCCTCTTTAGACCATTAGCAGGTACAGCCGAGGTTGCTCAGCCCTTCCCACTTACCGCTTTGGGACGCCTCTCACAGCCACGATGCAAGTTCAACGACGCACACAAAAGTAGCTATGGCGTACATATAAAGGCAGCGTACATACACTATTATGGAGAACGGCAAGGGCTGTCTAAATATAGAGAGCATACGGCGGGAAGGGAAAGGAAGATACAGCACAGAGCAAGACTATATACTCAGAAAGGGACGAACAACTGCTGCAGGTACTTCTTCTGCGCTGTAAACCGTTGGCCTGGGGCTAAAAAAAAAAAGGACCCTGATCTCCAGATCTCCTGCCTATATTTAGAAGCTGACTCAGCCCTTTCCCACTCTCTCACTCTTATCTCAACTTCCAACAGAAAACATCTACTCTACGGAGTACACAACGCTACACCATGGTACGTATTTTACTAGTACTACATGCACACGGAGATACGTCGTATCTACGGTGTTGTCTGGAGAAAATAGTCCAACCGCCGTTGACCTTGACATACGTAGTTACATATAACTATACAATGGTGGAGGCAGCAGTATGGGGGCCGTTCGACCGTGCATCCCCAGGCGGGCAACCAACCGTAGAAGCCAATCTATACGGTTCCACCCGTGATTAGCGTCGAAGATCCTAGAAGAGATGGCAGAAGCAGAGAAGACGGCCTGTCCATAGCCGCCGGGTTATTGTACGAGATGTGATGAGACAAGGTTGGGGCGTAATCGACTTCGCCCGCAGCTAACGGCCAACCACTTCGTGAGGCGGAGGTTATTATTCCTTCATTCAACCATTTACACGGATATACAGTTCAGCTGGTTGGTCAAGCCTCGTAAATGATTGGAGTTGGCCCGTTGTTCAGCCCGATCAACCAACCGATCATATGTAAGGGCCGGCGCTTAGCTCCCTCTCCCGTCACACCGTCGGAATACAAAAATCGCCTCCTGCACGCAACAAGCTGAGTAAAGCGGCAGAAGGGGCCACGCTCTAGAGGTTATGTTCTGTATCCCATCGCTTCTCTTCCCTTCGCTCTCTCTGCATATTCCGGCGTCCATAATACAGACCCAGCAGCGGGCGGCCGTTCCCCCTTACCACCCCCATATTGTCATTTGAACCATCCCAGTAGGCATCGGGTATCCAATCATTGATGTTGTTAGGGTTCACTTGTGAGGATAAGAGCTTACCTCCGCAGATACGACTCTGTCTTGGGTCGGGAATGAAAAAAGCGGTATAACTTCTAACTACTCCAATAGCAGAACATGTTAACGACTTCACTCATCAATCAATAGTAACTGCACACTGGTGGAGTCTCTCTGAACACCCAATATCAACTTCCACAGCCAACTCTTATCCACCTCCATCCCTCCTACTTTAAATACCCCAAAAAATTGGTCGTCCATATAATTTGCTTATTTCATTTGCACACATACCGAGAAAGTTACGCGCTTCTAGTGTTAGTCCAGTAACTAAAGAAAAAGTCACTTGTCGGGATCTACTGGGCCATAGGGTTTGTATGTGTGTATTAAGGTGCACTTTGACTTACCTGATCCTAACACTGTAACCACGGGGTAGCACGTATTGTCAGTAACTTATATATGTTATGACCGATATTAATACCACATCACAACATTTTCTTCAGCTAGCCAATGTCCTTCAACAGTTACTCCTTAAACGTCTCCTTTCTATTAGCTTATTTACGCCGCCATATTTGAAAACCCCAGCAATCGCGTTTCCGGCTACATTTGCGAAGGAATTTGGGTTTGGAGATTCAAGTATAGTAGAGTTAAGAGCGACTCGTTGTGATCTTGAAATAATATATTGTTGTCTGTACAAAGGTTAGTCTAATTTGATGCTTGAATTATGTTGGGGTTCTAGATCCCATGATCGGTAACAAGGTGTTGAATGCAGGCTTCTAGAGCAATAGGTAATTATGCATAATATTAGCATAGATGAGGAGTTAGGTCATACTAGAAGTCACGACAAATCAAATAGGTAGAGCTTGCACCATATCTCAGTTTTGTGAGAGTTAAAAGTCTTCTCCTATCTCCCGGCTGATCTCTGAAGACTTGGGCATTCTTAGGAGGCCGTATATGGAGCTAGCGACTGACTGATTACCCTGGTATTCAGGTTAAAGTGAAATCTTTCACATATGATATTTATCAGGGCAGCTTTCGCCTGAGATAAATACTTGTATAGAAATAATGTTTCTCCGTACTTTTCTATTCGGATACGAGATCAGATTTTTCATCCCCGATCAAGATCCGGCTCCGCGGATCATGGCCCAAACGCAGAACTGACTAACTTTCGCTGCCGTTTAACCGCTGCCAAGCCCTTATTTAATTGGTTATAGAGGCGGGCAGGGAAGACTTTGCGCTTACTTAAGCGACAATGACGTCATAGTATGTAAGATAATACTGATTAAGCAGGAAATATTTCTATCTCGATGTTTCCTGCGGCTTCAAGAGCGTGAAAGATCCATGTCGAGAAGGCAGTGCGATGTAACAGCAAAGACTTTTTCCGCATGGCTTCAACTCGAGGCCGACGGGTATAAGTATGGCGTCGAATCCTGTGCAGAAGTTATTCTTCTCATCATCAACAAGAACATGACAAGCACAAACAGGGCCTACATTTAGATCTATACCAACTATTCGCTACAACATAAACGACAAATAATTTACAACAACTCAAAGCTGTTCAAACAAACATAAAAATATGGCCTCCAACATGACCGACTTCACCCTCCACTACACTCCCATGGTCATCGATGCAAACAATGCTTCTCACCGCAACTCGAGGAACTTTGGGCACCACAACCACTCTGCGTCGTCGTCTCCATCTTCATCCCGCTCTTCTTCTCCATCCTCAGCTTCTCGTCGGAAAATGAACAAGGCTGCAGGAAAGAAGCTAGACTCAGAGGCGCGAGCTACTTACTTCGTCAGCCGATAGGCTGAACCCCGCCCTATTAACGGAGCACACTCAGTTACAACCATCGATTTAGATACTTTGTAGGGCATGATGAAACAATCACTACCTTAATTACCACTACGAACTACGAAGTAACGATATTCCCTAGTCCACGTTTAGGACTTGATGTAAATATGGGGTGACGATACTACGGTGTCTGGATGGCAATGGATGGAATATGGGTCTTTTGGGTCTTTAGAACTGATCTTATGTTTTAAACCTTTGTAAAATAGGAATACTTAATTCATCACTAATTCAACCAATCGATTCACAATATCTACATGTACAGATTTATAGTAGAAACATTAGTATATACTGGATGTTTAATCAGAATGCATCCCAAATTGGAGTGTTGTAGATGAAGTTTCGGATATATCATTATGTGAACCGAGATACATGTTATCTACACAGTCTGTTCGAGATATCTTCTGCGGAGGCCGGTAACTTCCTACAGTATATAGCCGTAAAGTCATACAAAGATATGCAAATGATCTTACAAAGAGTCGAGCTATTAATAGCGTACTACTTCGGTCTTAAGCCAAGCTGTATTTCTCAAGTTGCACATTATTGATATTTGGCTTGCAAGAACCCCTGTATAGAATAAAGCCTGTGTAAAGACGGATTTGGGGTGGGGGCGCTTTAATGCATGACGATTGTAGTCGGAACTAGTGCTTGTAATCGGGGCCAGGTTTGAATCGCTGATTAGGCTGGAGAAAGTTATACAGAGTAACTACATACATAGTATGTAAGAAGATAAACGATTTCAACGTTGTTCCCGGAAGAGTCGGGCAACACGGGAACTGAAAATCCACCGATTCCATGCATATGCTTCGAAAACTCTCAGCAGAGCCTCCATCAGCCTACAGATCTAAAAATAGAAGCAATGCAACACCTCAGCCCTGGATTTATCTTTAGCAAGGAATATTCTTGAAGGAACTATGCAGACGCCTTGGACGCCCACGGCAGATGATAGAAAATTGTAGGCTATGAGTAACAAGGAGGGGCAAAAATGATGATGACAGTCTGTCGTCTTATTTGAGAAATACATTTGTTTCACTACAGGCTATGTACGGTATCCCAAGAGTTTACTACTCGCGATCAAATTTGACGAGAAACTCCGTCGGTACAGTAGGTATATATTTTCGTGCACGCTCGCGGTTAACCCCTCCAAACCCGGCCCCGTAACTAACCAGCATATCGGTACTGGTCGGTAGTTGGAAGGGTAATGTGAGTGAAGGGTCGAGAAGGAGCGGGGCATTCTTGGGGATTGTTATTTGTGGCGATGGGGGTGGCGCGGGGGAAGTCGAACCAGCCGGGGATGATAGAGGGTTTAATACTCGTGGTGTCCGGGGGGTTTGTGGTTCTTCAACTAGCTTTGTTTCATCTTTTCCTTGGTTAGAAATGGGGCTACTAACGGGCTTGGAGTGCTGTCGATGCTGGTCGAGAATCTGCTGTAATTGAGATGGATCCTTTTGTAGGGAGATAAGGAGTTTCATTGCACTTTTAGAAAGTCCCTTCTCTCCCACCTCGGAGCGATAGAGCTTTACTGCATGGAGAAGCTGGTTTGGCGTAAGGCGCTGAAGTTGCTCTAGTGTCTCTATCAACGAATCCATGTCTTCACCAAGTGATGAGAAGCATTGAAGCCACTGTAGTAGTTCGATGAGCGGTTGAAGATGTCTACGAGCGGCTTCAACTGTATTTTCGCCGGTACATGTTGCAGAGCCGTTTTCATAATGCTCAGGCTGGCGGTTGTTTGTGCGTGCCCAATCCTCTAGGGCAGATACATTCATTCGAATCTGCATCGCTTTGGTGCGGGCAAGGTAGAGCTTGGTAGTCATTATCCGGTTGAAAAGTTCAGATCCGAGCCAATAAAACAGTTGTGCTATGATTTGGGTGGTAATGATTGAGTGGACATCGTATAGATCCAGCACAAAGAGAGTCGATGATAGTAAAGATGTCACATTACGGGGTGCAATTTCAGCCCGTCGCTTGGGAGATGGTGGCCGGTATCGTTTCTCCATTGGTTCCGGCTTCACTTTTGATTTAGTTCTGAATAGTTTCCATTCGTTTTGAAATTGAACATCTTCAAAGCCGGGGATCGTCTCGTGGTCAAGCATTGCTGTGTCCAAAATTTTATCTATGCGGCGCTCAGCGTCGCGAATGATAAGAATAAATATCTCGTTAATCAGCTCTGCAAGATGAAGCTGGAACTCCACCGTAGCTTCGACTAGCCCAGCATCTTTCTTCAGGTAATGTAATAATAAAGTGGCGTTTGATATCCAAAATGCCAGGATAGTCATGTCCCACTGATGCTTTTCTACCACACGATTAATCCGATCTGTGGCGGAGTGGAGGAGCGTCTGTAGGAGGTCAGGGCTGGCATGATAATGTGCGTATCGTGCGCAAAGAAAAAGTAAATTTGCTGGGACAGGTTTTTGGGATGGAGAACGCTGAGGTGTCATGTTTGTTATAACAATATCCAATATTCGTTCCAACTCATTTTCCTGAAACACAAACATTTGATCATTGAGGCAGCGATCCCAGACAAACTCTGGCTGCTCCTCAAACTCATCAAGGGACTATATTAAGCGGAGGGTTAGATTCATATTTCCATACTGATCCAGAGAGTGTCGAAGGAAACCATACATCGTCGTGCTTCTCATCAAGTCCCAGGCTTGATAAGTCGACTTCCAAGTTGATGGCACTCTCCTCCATCATCATCCTTCGCTTCATCTCGTTTTCAGCCATTTCCTCCTCAAATCGACTGTGAGAGAAGCCTGAATCATAAAAGTCTTCTCCACCAACAGTAGATCCGACATTATAGCCATTTTCATGGAGATATTTCGAAATATCTGTCCCGGGCTGTACAAAATCAAAAGCTGTCCCGCCGGAAGACGATCGAATATCGGGTGATGCACCGTGATCTAGTAGATTTTTTGCAATGGTCTTGTGCCGGTTCGTCATAGCCCACATTAAAGCACTCCATTGGTTGCGGTCTTGCTGGTCAACAAATGCGCCTGCATCAAGCAGCGCAGATACAACCTCATGGTGACCCTACGCCAATTTAATATATTAGCTAGCAGACTCACAGCACTAGAACTCACCTCCGGTAAGAGAAAGATATCCCACTTACAAAACAGCTAGCATATATCAACGGTGCAGTCCCTTCCTCATCCGGTGCATTAACGTCCACGTACTTTAGTGCCTTGCCAGTGACCAGCTTTCTAACCCGGCCAACGTCCCCATTACTTGAAGCCATATTTAGCGTCCGTTGTAGTATCTCCTTCTTTTCCTGATCAGACAATTTTTCATCAGACGCAATAGCATCCTCATCAGCTTCGACAATCTCTCCATCCCGATGTGCCGCCTGTGCAGCTAACATTTCCATTAACCGGGCATCATTTGACTCGGCTCCATCTCCCAGTCGAGAGCCACCCGTCAGGCTCTGAGACTGGAAACGAGGGCTGTAGAATTCTTCTTCGGAGTTATGATCGTCGAGACCTAGACTAAAGGAGAGCGGTTTTGTTGGCATCGGAGTGGTGAGAAATTGCGATTGGCCTAGTTGGGAATGTACAACCGTATCTGTTAGCCATATACCGGTATTCAAGATAAGAGAAATACCAGGGAAAACTCACCCTGCCATCCATCGTATATCTCCGTCTCCGAGTTATAGCTCGGAAACGAGCGCCGGTCGTCTAGTGAGGTGGGCAAGTCGGGTGGTAACGTTCTCGACTTCTCGACGCCTTCATCACCACTGCTCTCGTGCTCGGCAGTGGTGATACTGACAGAAGGGCCCCGAGCGTGGCCCTGGTTATGGCCATCAGGGTCCATCGCATTTAGATGGTCTGTATTCTCTGGTCCGGCCTGGTCCTGTCGGGTTTTTCTGTAGTGAGGGGAGTTTCAAGTTATGAAGCAAAAAAGTCACGTAAAGCTATCCTAAACTGCGGGGGAAACTAGCATCTGGGTCCATTAGGGCGAGTGAGCACGCGAACAGAAGCCGTAAGGGGCAGCGAAGATGGCGAGGCTGGAGTTATCGGATTCTGGCTTATGGTTGATGGTGAATTGCTTAGTCGGTTTGTTAACGTGTAGTTGTAGGTTTCTGCTTGTGTGGGTGGATAATGACTTTTTTTCCGGTGGAGTTGGAAGGACGTTGTTCTATAGCCAAGATGAACTTTTTAAAGTCGGCTCAGTTGCTAAGCTGTAATTCCAGCTACACGCTCTTTGATGGTGTATGTTGTGGAAAGAAATAGTTGTAGATATGTTTGACGAAATGTGCATGGCTTTGGAAAGTGTACATCCAAGATATAGAATAGATAGTATTATGCAGTACCTGACTTCTATCTCAGAGGCGTTGAGTATATGTAGAGCTTGTTGTATGTAGAGGGGGATATTAAAGCCATCAACTTGGAGTCCTGTCTCTGAACATATGTCTAGATGTTAGGACCGTACTCCATCTGGGCCGAAGATAAAGTCCTAAACGCCAACACAGTACAATATACTGTCAAAATCATTATCTCCTGTAGCTATCAAAAGGTATCCTGCTGTTAGGACTAAAAAAAAAAAGAAAAAGAAAAGAAAACAACAAAGAAAGGTCCATGTTTAACGTTAAACACGCTCAAGGTCGCTGCCGCGCTGTGCCAGCCCCAGATAAACCAAAAAAAAAAAAGACCAAACAAAAACCCACTCCAATGCTCCAAAGTTAAGATGTTTACCAAGTCCAGGCCCCAGAATGCGTACATGGGATGATAATTCCAAGGAAATATTAGAGTAATTAGATGGAGCCAAAATGCAAGACGAAAAGATAAATTAGAAATAAAATGGTAACGATGGGAGATTGGCGTTAATTAAAGATGTGAAACGATCCAGTTTCATGTATGCCGATTGTTTGCTTGTCGCTCGCTGGAAGAATAAATAGACGGTTTATTGATTTATTCAATCGCTTTGCTGAACGCTTTGATATCGTCGTCCGCTAAAGCAGCAATCCAAAGGCAACGCTCTAATACTCCGGGGACGGGCTCGAAGGTATATTTTGTGCTTGCATCAATAAGACGAAGAAGGCTTTTCACAATGGCTGCAGCAGTATGATAACGTTCAAAGTTGACCAGTGGTTCGCCGTCGCGGGTGCTTGCGATCTGCGCAGGCTTTTGAGCATTGTATGTAAGATCTTGAACATAGAGGCCTGATGTGATGTTAGCATGGCTAGTCAAAGTCGAAAAATATATGATAGGCCTGAGATATGACCAGGTCGCACAAAGGCACTCACCAACAAATGGAATGCAGCCGTCTTGAACGGAAGATTCCATTTCAGACCTAAGCTTGTGGAAGTTGCGAGTTGGTTGGATCAACGATTCCATTTCGGCCAGGATGCCCTTTTCAGTCTCGGGGACACGCTCCCACGTTTTCGCTAGTCGTGTACAGTCAACGGATGATAAAGCAATGACAATCTGCAGCATGGTGGCATAGTTGCGCAATTTTCTAGCGTTAACAGATATATGGATCAGTTTCGTGATCACAAGAGCACGCTCCGAGATATTCTTGGTTAGCACGATTTCTGATACCGCCCATTTGACCATTAGGTTGAACCGTGCGATAACCATGTCTATGCCCTTGCGGTCGAGACCAGCAGAGAGATAATCAACCCAGTTAAGCGGGGAAGGGCAGGAATGCGCCCAGCGCATATCAACGAGGTCCTTCCAGTCAACCTCACCGAGAGCTGCTTGTTCGACAATGGTGAATTGTTTGGCAAGTGTCTGCGAGTCATGAGCTAGAACAAATGCAATGTGGCCGGAGCTAGGGAAGGTGCTGCCTGAGTGAGTTGGAGTAGTGGGTGTTAGAGAGGGTTGAGAGTTATTTCGAGGACGAGAGAAGTTTGGGTGGGTATCATGGTGTTGATTGGCATATGGAGGACAGCCATAATGATTGTATGGTGGTAAAGAGGCTGGTGGAAGGAAGGATATAGGTACAGATGGCGCAGCGAGGGGATGAGTAGGATGTGATGCCCCCCTACTAGATTCTTCATCTATTGAGAGTTCAGATGAAAGCTCTGAGATGTTGTCATCAGCATTCTCATGTACGGGTTCTGCTGCCGTTGCGCCCTGCGCAATCCTATTCATGCTATCCGTCTTCTCTATGACTTCAATTGATGGATGAGATAGAGCACCTTGACCTAAGGGCGAAGGGTTCTCGGATTTAGGAAGTTGGGGTGTCTTCATCGATTCGTCTCCCAATCCTCGTTCCAGAAGCGGAATGGAGGAGTATGAATAATCCGATCCAAGGTAAGACTCCGTACCAGTGGGAATAGCCGCATCCGAAGATCCAGGGTAGGCCGTAGTATCATTACGAACATTTAAGTATTGCCCGTGTGTCAGTCCATCATGCCGAGCGTGACGAGACCTCCGTCTACCTGTATTAGAGAAGGCTGCTTTCTGAGGACTATCATTTACTCCGGAACCCATACCCTCTCCCCATCTTCCCTCAAGCTTAAGAAGAGCAGACTCAATACCCCCATCTGCTTGGTCAGGTATCTTCCGAAAACCAGCAACTGCATCTTCGAAGATATGCCTGCCCCGAGGCTGTGGAGAGGAGTAAGAGCGTGTATCGCTGCGGCTAAGTGAATCCAGTGCGCTGGAAGAAGTTGAAAAGTCAATTTCATCGTCATCATCATAATTGTCGTCCTCGCTATGGGAGCCGGAGCCCATATTTACTGATGCAGGGGGTATATACAATGCGGAGGACGTAGAGTTCGTTGCGGTTGTACCAGAAGCAAACTTTAATGTCGTCAGACCACGGTCATGGTTGATATTTGGCCTTTGTTCCACAGAGTCTACGGTGTTTTGCATCTTGCGTAGATCGCCACCTGGCCGTCTGCGAAGGCGTTTCTCTGGTAGCTGCAAGGGCCTAGCCGCAGGCATATGTACAGGTAAGAATGAATCTCTACTAGCTGCCATATCTACGTGTGCGGTAACCTTGGGCATATCGGAGACGGGCCGTTGGGCGCCGTGGCCACCTAACACGCTTTGGTAGGATGCATACTTGCGCAACCTCGAGCCTGGCTTGTTGATAGTGACATTTTCATGTGTTGAGATTGGGGTAACTTCTAGTTTATCTTTCTGGGGTATTTGCATGGGTATCGGTGTCAATGGATCAATTTCTGGCTCGGGTTCAGATTGACCAGAGCCTGGATAGTACATCTGGAATTCCTCAGGAAGCAGAGAAAGGCCTCCACCTGTGCCTACCCTAGCTCCAGTATCGTCAACGATAACTATGGACTGGCTGCCTGCTGTGATTTGGCTAGATACCCCGCGTGAATAGTTGGGAATGGGGAGCGAGGCGGGCATTTCTGCTCGCGGTTGCGATTTGGGGCTCGGACTACGAGCGACAACAGTAGGGGTAGCTACAGGTGTTTGTATTGCTAGAGCCCTATAGGACTGGTAAGCCCTGTCGCATAAGACGTCGATCCGGGAGGCGCTCTTGATGCCCGGTCTCTTTTCGCGATACTTGTCAGATCCGAAGACAACATTAGGTGGGAGGAGAGACGTTTTGCCATACGCTGATACGATAGGGCGGGGTTCTGGTTTATTAGATATACCGCTTGCGGAGGAGGCACTAGCAATAGAGCTGCTACCGTGTAGGACACGACGGAGAGAGCTGATGAATGTTTTCACTGCTGGTGCGGGAGATTTAGGCGGTGAGTCTGTCCGCGCGAAGGAAGCGGCTGCCGAGGTTGATGAAGAGAATGAAGGCGAACTCGGGGGTCGTAAACGAGGCATGGAAGGGTCTGGCGGTGGTGATGGCGGACGTGTCGTTGGCACATCTGGCTCCAAAGGCGCGAGCATACTGCCCCGAATAATACTAAAGTTCACGCCGGGCGAATTGGTAGTTTCGACGGTTAATTGACTCAAGGAAGTCAGTCCTCCGCCACTGCTGTCAATATTAAGATTTGACTGGGAGTGTGGCAGAGGAGCCCGGTCATCTCGAAACGAGTCGGAGAAGCTTCCACTGCGTTTATGGGAGTGCGAAGATTGAGAATGAGAGTGGAGTGGCCATCGCCATGTGGGGGAGCGCAGGCTAGGGGAAGCAGGGGAGCGAGAGGGGTCGTTTAGTTCTGGGATGGGATCTGGCGGATGGTGCGCAGTTCGGCCTTGGTTAGACAAGCTGTTATTACGCATTGAAAGGCGGGAGGAAGGCATATTGACGCTTGGTGGGCTGAAAGCAGACGATGCAGGCGGTGGACTTTTGGGGAAGTCGTTCACTGAAGCAGCTGAACCCTTGCGATTGTAGCTTGCAGGTGCATCCTGGGCGACAAGTTCGGAATAGGAAAAACACAGTCCATCACCGTTAGGCCGAGAGTCTGGCTTATTTGCACCAGGGACAATGGGATCATCTGGTCGTGCATCGTTAACAAACTCAGGATCATCCCAGTACTGCGCACATCTCCCGTTCCAGCACCGTTTCAGGTCCAAAATGATCTTAGTGTCGCTGACATCACGGGAGGAGCGGCATTTAAGATCTTCATATAGAGAATTTATACGAGAACAAAACTGTGCACGCAGGCCGTCGTTTGCAACAAAGTCGTCAACGAAGTAGTTTAGGATCCAGTGTCGCAGAGCTGCAAAGACGCGGATACGAATAATGCGCCCGTCATCCTCACGACGATTGATGGCCCACTGGAGACGAGCCAAGAGGAGGGATAGCAAGTTACCCGGAGAGAGGTAGGAGCGGAAGGTAAGGAAAAAATCCGAGACGAGTTCGTAGTCCATAAATGATTCGGATGATATCTGGGCAACAATGCGTGCTGGGGTAGCAGCAGAAAGCTGTTTAGTTTGTTTTGCATACCGGACAACGGAGGCGTCGTGCATGATGGGTATAAGGTCATCAAAGATGGAGGGTTCGATTGGCTCCATGAGCTTGTAAAAGACGGACTGGCCAATTGCCTTGTCGACAGACTTATTGTCCATCTTTGCCATCGATATTGGCGAGGACAACCTCGGAGTCCTGGGTGCTGGTCGATAGGCAGAAGCATGTCTATCAGGGAACCTGAAGTCGTCTAGCTTACGTGCCGGGCCTGGTAACTTGGGCGGTGTTTTGTCGACGGGCTCTGACCCCTCGATGACCACCTTCAATGCTCCGCGGGTGGGACTTGGCGGAACATCGTCTATGGTAGGCAATGATTTCCATCGACGGAGGTGATGGTAGGCTAGTGCAGGTCCACGCGAGGTTGTATCTGGCTGATCAACGAGGTAGGAGAACTGTGAGTTAGACCAGGCACTGGCCCGGTGGTCTGTTGTTGTTTCCGCTATGTTCGGGCTCGGTTGCAGGGTTTGCAATGCGTAGGGCCGGTTGGCGATTGGCCTGTTCATGGTGATTGTTAGGAAAAGTAGGCAGTTTGACCGGAGACAGCCAACCTACCGTAGATATAGCCGTCCATTGTTACCAACATTCGCGACTGTGAACTGGCGTCCATGAGAGGCACCTCTGCGACGGTGGGCGAGCACCTCATCACTGCTTTTCACCTCCCGCAGGCTGGGGCCCTGGCTATGGATGTTCTGGCTCTTCGCGACGGAGTGTCTTCGCGGACCAAAAGCAGAGTAGCTAGAGCTATTGGTGTTCATTATTGTAGCACTCCGTGATGAGCCCCAGGTGATTGTGGCTGCATGTTCGGCCGGAGCTGTCAGAGAGAGAGCGGATTCATTGCTGGGAGGGGGAAAGAAAGCAATCTAAATATCGTGGTCGTTGCAAGAAGGAATGCCGATCTACGCCTCCGGCAGGTGGATGTCGCGTGTTGCCCTCCCAAAAAGACAGATATACAGAGCGAGATTTTCGACGCTGGATCGAACGACGGAGGAGGAGGGCCGCGTAGAAGTAACACTCCGTCGAAGTAGATGTTATAAAGTAGCAGGCAAGCAGAGTTTCCTAGCGTTGGAGGGCGGTCAAGCTGGCAAGACAACAGGCAGCCAGCCTAGATATACCGATCAGCAAAACAGCACCAGAGATGAGACGAGAACCAGACAAGGCGAGATGGCTTGGGGAGACATGAAAAAGCAAAAGACTTGAGAGGAAGCCAAAAAAAAAAAAAGAAAGCTCTGAAGTGAAGAGAGAAAAAGCGAAGAGAAGAAGAAACGAGAGAAGAAGCAAAAGCATGATGCTTACGTAACTCCGAAAGCAAGGAAAAAAAGGCCACGCTTAGATAAGCAAGACGCTAGTGGAGCCGCTCGGACCAATAGTGGGGAAAGTACCCGCTTAAGTAATCAGTATAGCTTATAAAGACGACGAAGAAACGACTGAAAAAGGAGGGGAAGGAAGAAGAAGAGGGCGAAGAGACAGGCGAGATGAAGTAGTCCTCAAGGTAGAGACGGTCAGGCGGGCAGTCCAGGATATGTGCACTCACCATAAAACCTGTAGCCAGCGGTCCGCCGCCTACTTTTCCATCCTCTCTGTGTCGCCATAACCTGGCATCGCGCTGGATTTTGGTTTCTTGATAGTTGTTGTTTGTTGAAGGTTAACAAAAAAGCAAAGAGAAAAAAAATAGAAAAAAGCAAAAAAATAGAAAAAAACAAACGCCAAGGCCACGATGAGTAAGCAGCACCGGCGTCTGCTAGTCTAAAACCGGCAAGGGTTAACCTTAACTAAGCCCTAACCTTAAGCCATGTGATATCACGTGCTGTGGGGTTCCCCGTGACTTGACTTACGCAGGGCGTTTCCGAAAAGGGAAAAGAAAGCAAAAAAAAGTTGTTGAGCTTGTCCAAATAAGGGCGTGAAACTCCCAGAGGTCGAACAGACGAAAGAGACGACAAAAGATATATAAGCCTGCTCTCCTCTCCGATCCTTTTTCCCTCTTTTTCTATTAGTCGAACTTCATCGTCGTCAAACATCTCTCCCCTCTACTCAATCGACATTTTTGCCTACTTCTTCTTCTTACCCTTTGCCCCTCCTTACAGCTACAATGGCCCCGCAAGAGAAAGTCCTCCTCGCCTACTCGGGTGGCCTCGACACCAGCTGTATCCTCGCTTGGTTGCTCGAGCAGGGCCATGAGGTCGTCTGCTTCCTCGCCGACGTCGGCCAGGCAGAGGATTTCAAGGAGGCTGAGCGCAAGGCCCTCGCCGTCGGTGCGAAGAAGCTGGTCGTCGAGGACCTGAAGAAGGAATTTGTTGAGGATCTCTGCTTCAAGGCCATCCAGTGCAACGTCCGTTTACCAAGACGAAGAAACCCCTTCAATTGACTGGCTGGATTGACTAATGGGAACTCCATGTAGGCTATCTGGGAAGATAGATACCTCCTCGGGTAGGTTTCGTCGCCCCTTCCATAAAATATCAATAACTGGGATTGCGAAGCTAACTGTTGGAATAGAACTAGCCTGTAGGTCGCCTGGGAATGCCCTTCCACTCCTTCATGGGAGATGATGGTATACTAACCCTTCTCCCAGTGCCCGTCCAGTCATCGCCAGAGCTATGATGCGCGTTGCCCAACAAGAAGGATGCACAGCCGTCAGCCATGGTATGCGTTCCCACCGCTTCTTTAATCATATTTGCTTTTGATCTCTCGGACTAATGGAATTTCTTTTTTCGACTAGGATGCACTGGCAAAGGGTACCTCTCCCCTGTCTAATCCCTGTAACCCCATCGTGGCCCATGCTTACCGGCTCTGCAGAAACGACCAAGTCCGCTTCGAACTCGCCTTCTACGCCATCCAGGTAATTAACTACACAAACAAGCCTCCCACCGTTAGATTCGTTTCAATTGCTAATAAAACAACATTATACAGCCAAGCATCAACGTCATTGCCCCATGGAGGATGCCCGAATTCTACAACCGTTTCGCTGGCCGCAACGATCTCATTGAATACGCCCAGAAGTTCAACATCCCCGTCACTTCCACCAAGGCTAAGCCATGGTCCATGGATGAGAAGTAAATATCCCCAGTCTTGACCTCATTATTGGTATCAAAAAAAAAAATCAATTAACATTGGTTTATAGTCTTGCTCACTGCTCCTACGAAGCTGGTATCCTCGAGGATGCTGACCACACTCCACCAGATGACATGTGGAAGCTGACCAACGATCCTCGAACTGCCCCCGATACACCAGCTGACCTCAACATTATCTTCGAGAAAGGTCTCCCAGTTGCCCTCATTGACCCCAAGAGCGGTAACAAAACTACTGGCTCTCTCGCCATCTTCTCTGCTCTTAACGAAATTGGACGTATCCATGGTAAGTCCTTTCCCTGTTGGTATTATTCAACCCTTTTTTGCACCCAAATAACACTTAATCAAGGAATCGGTCGTATTGATATCGTCGAGAACCGCTACATCGGCCTCAAGTCTGTAAGTTTTATTTTCCCCCCGACCAAACTACCCTTGGCGTATGCATGCTGACACCTTCCCTGCACAGCGCGGTTGCTAGTAAGTTTCTTCTTCCGGCTGCAGGTCCCCTACTACCCCTGTACCGACACTAATATAACCTCCAGTGACTCACCCGCTATGACTATCCTCCGCCTCGCCCATCTTGACCTTGAGGGCCTTGTCCTTGACCGTGAAGTTCGCCTCCTCCGTGACCAATTTGTCACCATCACCTGGTCCCGCATCCTCTACAATGGTCTCTACTTCTCCCCAGAGCGCAAGTTCATCGAACAATCCATCACCGCCAGTCAAGACGACGTCAACGGTCAGGTCCGTATCCGATGCTTCAAGGGCACCGTCTCCGTTCTCGGCCGTAGCTCCGAGACCAGCAAGCTGTACGACCCTGAGCTGAGCAGCATGGACTCCATCGACGACTTCGCTCCCACCGACACCACCGGTTTCATCGCTACCCAAGCCATTAGACTCAAGGCCTACGGTAAGGCCGAGAAGGCCGCTGGTGTCGACCTTACCAAGGCGTAGATTTAGTACGAAGCTAAAGAAGACAGCGTACATATTCGGGGGTTTTATCTGTCGGAGTTTGCAACGAGACAAACATTGCTTTACTCCACCGCATCCACGCAGCAACTCACATCACCACCATGCTACATCTCACTACGTCTAGCTACCCACGTAGCTAACGTACTCTCTTTTTCTTTTTTGGGCCGGTAGAAAAAAGCGCGGAGGAAGAAAAGGAAACCACATGTGTTGGAGTTTTAGGCCAGCCCATGGGAGATACTTAACTTTTAATTAACGATAAAATGCAATGAAATAATGAGCCCGTGTGAATTTCTAAGCCGAGGCAAATATCCCACTTTATCAGTAGGTGGATGGTCAAAGCCCCACACAGCGGACAAGGCATGATCATATGATCAAACCTTAATTGATATTATATAATAAATTCGTAATCACTGCTTAGATAATCTTACGGATCATATGACTTGGCGGCTGCGCGCGTGTAATTTCAACTCAAAGTAAATACTGACTTCACGCTTATTCTTCAGTAATAATATATGATCAAAACATCTGGCAATTCACTCCGCCAGTGCATTAACTATACCGCAATTTAGCATTACAGATTTTAGGTGAGCATATTCGGGCTATTTAATTCATTATCATATCATCACTTACACATTAGACAGTTCCAGGATGAACAGGGGCCGGCTCTCTCATACGCAACCAACATACGATTTTCTTGCCGGAAACTCACCATCCCGGATGCCTAGAAGCCCATTACGACGAAGCACTCTGGCCAGCGATTCAGGTGTGAAGCCAGGTCGGTTACTCTGCTCACATAACGTCAATTTGTGCTTTGTTTCCTTACTAACAAGTTTCTACGGTATGGTCAAAAGATGTCGGAAACGAAGAGCTACGCGTACAAATAAGTACCCTGAAATACGACCTTGAGAACATAAAGCAAGAAAAAGACCTTACTGCGCTTCAACATGAGAAAGAGTTAAGGGAGCTACAAGCCAGAGCCGATGCGGACTTCCGCAGAGCGCAGGCGGCAGAAAGTAGTAATAATAAAACTCAGCATAAGATTGAATCCCTTACCGAAGAACTGAAAAATACACAGGAGGCTGCGATTAGCGAAAAGTCGTCGTGGGAAAGGAGATTGAGGACATTACAGGATGAAAATGAAACTCTACGTGAGGAATCAGACGATTATCAGTCGCAGCTTGCGGACCAGCAGCGCCAATTCAAGCATCGGATCGATGAATTGGAAGCTATCAGGTCCGCCCTGCAAAAGACTTTGGATGAACTACGGAGTGATCTCCAGGAGGTAACGAGCAACCTACAAACGGCGCAGGGCAGACTCGAAGAACGGGAATCCGAGGTAGAAGCTTTAGAAACGGAGAATATTCGTTTGAAGGCGGAAGGAACAGATCCCGAGGCGCTGTCTGTGTTGAAACGAGAATTATCCGAACAACTGGCACAAGTTAAGCGCCTCGAGAATGAACTGCGGCCGCTCCAAAAGTCGCAGAAGAGAGTGGAGGTTGTGGAGGAACAAAAGATGGCCCTTGAGAGCCAGCTTCAGATGATGAAGCGTGTTGAGGCGGAATTGCATAATGTGCAAATACGGAATCAAGTGCTGGAAGATGAGAAACGTTCTTGGGATAATTTGCTACAAGGGACGGACCAGGAGGCAGAATTTGAGACTCCTGAAGCTATTGTTAGAGCGCTTGTGCAGACTAGGATTGAGAATACTTCTCTAGTAGAGAGAATAGGTCACATTCAGTCTGAGGCAACGGAGAAGTCTGAACTAGCTGTGAGATTGGAAAGTGAAAAACTTTCCCTTCAAAAGGACCTTGAAAAATTACGTTCAAATGGTGCGGCTAGTACAACTTCTTCGTCTTCATCAGGCTCCGAAAGCCGGGCTAGACTCCGACTGGAACGCCAACGAATGCTTGCGCTGAAAGAAGTGGAATATCTACGAGCACAGCTAAAGGCCTTCGACGACGAAGAAACGACTATGAATGTTGAGGAGAACCGTTTCGATTCTCAAAAGGCTGAGCATATCGCACACTTGGAAGAGCTTCTAAATCAACACCGCCAGGAACTTCATGAATTACATGAGCAGCTCTCGAAGAAAGAGGCAGAGGCAATCCCTGCTACCGATTCACAGACAACCACGTCGCGGGGAACTAAACGGCCGCTTTCACCCGCTGATAGTGATGCGGAGAATGAACGAGTAGCAGTCCTAACTCGCAAGTACCGTTCCGCTCAAGAGTCCTTATCCAAATCAGAACAATCTGTCAAGCTACTTACACGAGAACTGGAAGCGACCAAATCCCACCTCTCTTCTCTCCAGGCTCAGTCCCGTACTCGAATCCTAGAGTTCCGCGACAACCCAACCGCGCAGGCTGAGAAGATTAAAATGAGTACGCTAAAAACGCTCAAGGCAGAAAACACTGACCTTCTTAATCAAATCCGCGGTGCTCGCGCAAATATCAAATCGGTCCCGGCCACGGTTCTTGAAAGTATGAAGTTAGAGCTCCAAGAAGCCGGTAAGGCAGTTGCCGAAAAGGATAAACGTATTCGACGGCTTAAGGAGATATGGACCGCTAAGTCTTCTGAGTTCCGGGAGGCCGTGGCCTCAATCCTTGGGTATAAACTTGACTTTATGCCTAATGGTCGTGTAAGAGTGACGTCCATGTTCCATCTCTCTCCAGCTTATAGACATGGTGATTCTGGTGGCTCTGCCGACGGGCCCGGAAGTATGGGAGATGGCGAAGAGAACTCAATCATCTTTGATGGTGAGAATGGGACCATGAAAATATCTGGCGGACCTAACAGTCTGTTTGCACTTGAAATTCGCGACCTCATTAAATTTTGGGTCGAAGAAAGGAAAGATATCCCTTGTTTCCTGGCGGCAATGACCCTGGAATTTTATGATAAAACGACAAGGGCTCTGCGTATGTAGGAAGTTGTCCGTCCAATATCTTTTATTCGTTCATGCTTGGAGATCTCTGAGCAGCAAAATTTTCTTTTCATATTGGTTATTTTTTATCCTTATCATTCAGGTGAATACTTGGTTGCAGAAATAGACTGGTCTTTACGAAGCCACTTTGATGTTTACTCTTACACCTAGAATATTTCAAAGTTAAGGCCAAAAGATCGACTATAGGGAATATTAGAATACCCTCAATTTGCTTCTACTTTGATTGAACCTTTTTGTCAATTGCATAACATAGAACTTCTCGGCGCCAGCATTCTGGCGTTATTGAGTTCTACTCCGCCTTATTCCTCAAAAACTCATAGGCAACTATAGTATGAATCTGCGAAATATTAACGAGTTCATCTATTTCAACATACTCGTCTGCTGCACCCATATTGTTCGGCGTGCATCCAACAACTACTGTCGGTACATTGGCAGCACGATACCAGCGCGAGTCTGATGCCCCAACACGCATATTGCAAACAGCCTGCTGGCCCAGAACTTCAGTCGAAACTGCTTCAGCCAACCTACATATTTCATGGTTTGGAGAGGTGTAGTTTGGCTCAGATTCCCGTAGGGTGCGCCAGGAGACTCCCTCCATCGGCGCAAGAATATCCTTCAATTTCTGTGATATCATGCCCGTTGATATACCTACCGGTATGCGGATATCACACTGGGCAACTGCAGAGCTTGGAATCAAATTTGGAGACACGCCGCCTTGAATCGTGCCCGTGTTGACAGTTATGCGCCGCAAGGTGTCCGATTCACCGGCTCCGGAGAGCTCTTCAGATATCACCTGCGCAGTATCAATGGCGTCACAGACCTCCTTTGGTGTAGGAACGGGGATCTTTTCAAGTTCATAAACTGCATCCAACGCCTTTCGGAGACGGTCAATAGCATTCAGACCTCTATGAACATGTGCTCCATGAGCAGGGACACCAACAGCTTCAATATCAACCCAGACAAACCCCTTCTCGCCAAAACGGACGACTCTCGGTGATCCAGCATCGCCGCATATCATAGCATCTCCTGTTGCCTTTTCAAGGTTATCTAAAAGCCACTTGGTGCCCTGTTTGCCCATTGACTCCTCATCTCCAGCCAGAGTAAACACGATCTCGCCAGACCATATATCACGGTTCTCCGATAAGATCGTCGCGGCGACTATGGACGCCGCAATACCGCCTTTCATATCAGAGACGCCTCGTCCATAGAGGCGGCCGTCTCTCACCACACCTCCTGCTGGAGGTACAGTCCAGTTCAGGTCGGTACCTAACGGGAAGGTATCAAGGTGTCCATTAAAAATGAGACGTTTGCCTGGGCGGCCGCTCGAGATACATGCAAGCACATTCACAATTCCCGGGCCCGGTTCGTGCCGGGATATTTGAATGTCTGGGATGGCTTCTGTGAGCAACTCTATGGCCGCTTCAGCTGCTAGTGTTGTGTCCCCTGGTGGGCATGGAGATAGAGCAGCTACTAGCTTCTGGGCTGCTTGCACAATCTCGTCTCTTCGTTTAGATACTTGAAGCTGTAGGCAAGCTCGTACTGTTTGTTGTTCTTCCATCTTTGCAAGGAAATAGCGTTGCAGGTGGCAGTTGAAACGGCTTCTCGGTAGTTATGTATATAAATGCTTCAGTATATTTAAAGTATAACTAGATATTTTCAGAAGTGTGTATCATTGGTAGGTGTTTGTCGTTTGCTGAGTTGCATCTTCATGGATATCCGAGTTAATGGTTTAGCCGGCATGACTTAAAACGGCCGAAACACTAGACTTTGCCGAAGCGCCGGCCGAGTTGATCAAGCACCGCAGTTACAGAATGCAATAACCAGTAAAACCCAGCGATACGAACATATATGAAGCACATCTAACACTATTAAAGGTTTACATACACTATTTATTGAATACATCTAGCTATAATCGTGGTTAATGGCCTGCCTATTAATATACTACTAATTGATTTACAAAAATGGGATACATATCAGAAAGAATACATGGTATATCAAGAAGGTAATACAAAAGAGCTCAAGCGAAGGATAGCTATCTACAACCGTACTATATTCAAGGGTATGTGTTAAGGGGAATGTGTTGGTATATAATATGCAAGCGGAGGGGAAGGGGGATAACTAGTTGGTGCTATGTATCTAAATTGTTGCTGATTAGGTACCGCTGGTTCTGACAGCCAGCCGTACACCAAGCTATCATGTCGAAACATACTTTGCAACAGTGAGCTTACGCTCAATTAAAGGCTCTGTCCAGGTTTCTGCGGAGGGGCTTTGTTCATTGGCAGTGTTGAGGTCATCGTCTGCGAACGGATCATCCACTTTGTCCTTGTTGCCCGCTTGTGCTGCAGTCAGCTGCGGAGTAGAAACGCTCACGCCGAGTCTCGAGGCATTGTCACTGCATGTCGCGTCAAATTTGGCTTCTACCTTGCCTCTCCTCGGCCAACTAGTTGACGTCGTAAACCTGGCGAGGAATTTCCCATCCTGGCCAGGTCCAACCTCTAGTTCGGGGATTTTCCATGTAACAGACGAGTTTTTGCGTCGGAAGACAGCACCAGTGCTTGGGTGCATGGCAGCACCTACAGCCCTAGCAGCTTCACGAGGGCGCATCGTGGTTTCGTCGATTTGAGATATATCCAAGTTTACTGATAGCAGTAGGTTGTGAAGGACAACCGATGCACCAGAGTCAGGAGATATGAATTGTGGGTTGAGCGAATATTGGACAATAACACTCGCTTGAAACTCCTCTTCATTCCAGACCGGGGTGAAGATAACAGGGCAGTAAGATGATAGATTCAATGGGTCAAGATGGACCTGGTATTTGAAGGCAACTGTCGGTGTGGGTCCTGCAATTGGTGCTAGACGCACTTGATATATGCCTTTCTGGGAATCATCACTCGCGGGTTCGTCTTCATTAGCTTGCACTGGTGCATTCTCTGTAACAAACTGTGGGTTTGCGGCAACTCGTTCCAAAACACCAAAGTTGTTTAGACGGATAAGCCCCGTATCCGGGGCCTCATTCCCTGATGAATTGTTATTGTATGCAAGAGCAAGCTCACCCACGACAAACGACCTGGTAACCACCCCATCCGCTACCATCGCGGTTAGCTTTTCCACTATAGAAACATTGAGACCAGGTTCCGGTAATTCAGGATGTGTGATAGGCCCTGAGAGACTGTGTAGGGTCTGTGACGAATGGATGGAGGTGTTATCTGGCACCGTATGGTCTTCGTGGACAGCCTTTTCAAGTGACACTGAGCTCCTTGGCATCTCAGGGGACGCTGTATTTGCAGGCGTAGCCAGATTGAAGGCAGGAACAGAGCTCTCGGTATTATGTCCAGCGCCTGAGGGAGGGGGTACAAAGATGGTATTCCTTACATCCCGGCGGCCTCGAACCGTCCCTGGACCACGGGCAACGCCCGACTGCTGTGCTTTCTACGACATGCGACGTTAATATCAGAATAGCAAATGAAAAAACGACAATGGCAGGCACATACAAGTCTTAGGGTGTTTGCTACTTGGTTCAATGCTTCTTTAGCCTCACTTTCATCCTCGGGGATAGGCTGGTCTCGGATGGTGAGGTTGATACCCGAATCGTCGGTGCTAAGGTAATGTCAGAACTGTCCCATATGTATATATATATAGTACAAAAGTACAGAAACTTACGCAGCAGCCTCCCGCTGGATTCGAGTAATTTCGTCTTCGGTATCGGGTCTCTGTGAATAGCCTTCTGCATCAACCTGCGGGGTTTGAGTGGGTGCACCAGTTGGCTCCCCATTCGTCACTGCAGGCTCTTTTGCTGCGGCCTCTTCAGGGATGCCGTTCGATGCCGTTGGAGGGGGCGATTCGACGATCGCTGAGTCATGTAAAGCAGACGAGGATGGTCGCTGAGACTCGCTCGAAGTAACCGTTTCTAAGCCATTAGGACCGTCCGATTCGTCCATTTGTTGAAAATTGCGGGATGGGTCGGCGCGACGGAATGGAGTAAAGGGGGATCGAAACTTCTTCTCAGACGGCCCAGGAGAAGGAACAATCATGCTCTTTCGTCTCCCCATAACAGTTCCAAGTCGTTTTAAGCCACCAAAGGCGGTATGGCGAGGTTCCGGCGCTAGAAGTAGCATTAGCTAGATGTCTAAAAAAGCGCATAATAGCAATAGATGATGGTCTGCACTTACCCTGTTGGAGGCTTGGGCGACGTTGAGCAGACATGCCAGAACGCTGGCTTGCACTGTCATCGTGAACCGGGGGAGGCGAGGGTAGCGGTTCTGCCATAGCGGGTGGAGTTGGTTTGGGGCTTGTCGGTGTCTCCTGTCGAGCAGACGGTGTAGCGGGAGTGGAGGGGGCAATTTCAGCTGGCAGTCTTCCTCCGCTCTTCTTGCTAACGTATGCGCGGATCTCCTCTCCGGCTTGTATGTTTAGAAGGGAATTGAGCGAGCTCTCTGCAGCCTGGCGGCTGCGCTCAACCTGGTCTGACTCGTGGGTCTGGTACTGGGTAAGGATATCTCGCAAGTGGTTCACACGGTGTTCGTCGATGGCCTGTAATTGCTCGAGAACAAAGGGTGCTCTGGACTGCCACTGTGTTTTGGCATCATCTACAGCAGACTGTGCACCAGGCACCTTCGAAGCATGCTTGGGTCCTTTATCTTTGATCTTATCGAGCTTCTTCTGCGCGGTTTCTAACGTCTTGACGAGAGATGAAAGATCGTTTTGGATTGATACCATTGACTTCATGTCGGCATTTTTGGTTTCATATTCCCTTAGGGGCTTTTCAGCATCTGTCTCGATTCCGGTTGCCAAGGCTTCATGCGATTGAGCCATGGACTCCGTAGCAGAAAGTATGCGCTGCCATGGTACTTCAAAGACTCTATCGCATGGAGTATTAGATAGTATCTCGGTATGTCAGGGTTATTGAGGGTAATAACTTACCCTAATGCCTGTCCTCCCTCTGGGTGTGGTCTCCGCGCAAGCTTCCGAAGCCCAACGTAGTATACTTCCTCCAGCCGGCGTCGTTCCTGTTCTTCACATTAGCGTCTCATCTTTCCATAGTAAAATATGTCTTTATAAAAGCAAGGCATACAGCAAGCCAATCCGCAACATCTGTGTTAAGTTTGTTGACCGTCCGCAATCGTTCAGTGACAACTGATATAGTTTGGCCGGGTTGTAAGATGCCCTATTCCGAACAATAACTTCGTTAGCATGTGAATTAGCAATAAGAAGATAAGCACATCAGCAGCGAATACTATGGGATAACCCAACTCACCGCCAGGGCAGGGTATTCTTGTCGCGACAGTTCCATCTCAAACTTGTTTCATAACCAGGCTTCAGATAAAGGAACTATCGCATAGTTTGTCGGCAACAACCAGGTAAAAAAAACCAACCGATAGAGGGGAGTATCCCGAGCTGAAATAGTAAGAGTGACTATTGAATGAATGACTGCTCTTCTCTGCTCTTTGCGACTGAGAAATATGGAGGGTCAGGAGAGCAAGAAAGATGAGACGGCCGTATTTCTTATGGAGAAGAACATGATTACAAAGACAGTCACGTGATATCATCTTGGGGTCCCGCTTGGGAAAAAAATAAAGAACGCCTGGGGAAGAAGAAAGACGGCAGAGAAAGGAGAGGATAATAGAGGAGAAGGTTAGGATCTATAAGTGAGATATGTTGCAATGAGATGCTAGGCCTTTGATGCTGTCATCTTGGACCAGATTTCAATACATGAAATCAGACAATCATTCCTTCTCTTGCTGATATCAGAACAGCACCGTTGGTTAGCGTGGGGGGCTATACCTGCACCGACATCCAACACAGTTGATAGGTAAACCAGGGGATAAATATCCATATCTTAACTGGTGATGGCTACAAGTGCGGCCTGGAGATCAGAGGTTGCGTTTTCTGATCGCCTGGCTAATGTCACAGCACTGCAAGTCACACAACATCCCTTATCCAATTGCATATATTAAGATGTCTAACCGGTCTATATAGGAGCGCAGCATACTGTCACATCCATCCAGACCCCGATAGCCTCTCCCAGGGGCGCGCTGAAGCGACCAAACTTGAAGCTGAGGCATTTAATAGTGCTTCCTCGAAGGTAAGGGGGAAAAGTCAACTATCTATACCAAGTGTTACAGCGGACCGCGACATATAACACTCTCAACCCACCTAGGCTGAGTACCAGGATACGTGCGTGAAATATTTAGATGATCTCAAGAGCCAGCAGGCGGAAGATGGAGATCCTAAAATATCTGAAGTAGGTCGAGATTATGATCTTGATCCTCGGCCCGGAAAGCAGATCGGGCCGTATAAGAAGGCACTGCTTGATAATGATGGGCTCTTTTCCACCATCTACAAGTCTAGAGATGCCGAAGGAACGCTCGTGGCTTTAAAGGTCACGGTTCCGCATATGATGAAGCCGCCGCACGATTCAGTGCGTGAAGCGAGAATAATACGTCGGAGTGAGAGCGTTAATGTCATTCCATTGTTGGATACTCTACATGAACCAGGCCAGCGGTTTGTCCTTGTATTTCCGTATCTGTGCTACCAATTGGACACATTGATGAGCCAGAATGTACTCTCATTACGCGAAATGCAGTCCATTCTACGCGATCTGTTTCGTGCATTGGACCACATACACTCACTAGGCATTATACATCGCGATGTTAAACCATCAAATATCTTACTTCGCTCCCCAACGGGGCCTGCGTATCTGTCCGACTTCGGCATTGCCTGGGACCCGGAAGACGCAGCATCTGAACTTGCTGATGAGAAAATTATTGACGTTGGGACAACTTGTTATCGACCACCAGAGATACTGTTTGGAGCAAAGGACTACGGCCCCAGCCTTGATCTGTGGGCCGCTGGATGTGTTGTTGCCGAAGCTATTAACCTACCTACTCACCAGGCCTTGTTCGACTCTGGTGATCTCGGCAGCGAACTGGCGTTAATACATTCCATTTTCACGACCTTGGGAACACCCAACCTTGACTCTTGGCCGGTATGTACGCAGAGTATAGAATTAGGTTCCAAGTTCACCCTAGAAAATTCCCCACCTGCTGCGGGTTTGCATGCTGCCCCCTCTCCCGCTGTATGCCGGAAATTGCCATGACGTCTAATTAACAATTCATGTAGTCTGCGAAAGGATTGCCTGATTGGGGCAAAATCGAATTTAAACAGTATCCAGCGAAGCCTTGGGAGGATATATTGAGCCAGGCACCGCCCACCGGCCGAGACTTAGTACGGCAGCTAGTACTTTACGAGAGCAAGGATCGAATTTCCCCCAGCGAGGTTCGTATTTCATACATAGTAAATACGCACATATTTGCATGGTACATAGGCTACAGTTTTGGGGAGTTACTAATGTCTTAAATATTAGGCATTGAAACACCCATTCTTGTGCTAGCCCTTTATATGGGTGCATACTTGATATATATCGGCACCGTTTGAGGGTTGTTTCACTCTTGATCTTCTATATAACAAACTCCTTTCATTTTTAACTCTTCTTAATCTAGAAATCCGTGACTTCATCATGTCGATGTTGATAATATCAATAATACTTTGTTTCCCCTTGAAGCTCCCGGGAGTATATCTGTTGCTGATATATATGCGTCCATAATAGCGAATTCTTATCATAGCTTGCTGTTATCATTTCCACACGTGAAGGAAATGTAAACATCTCCAAGCTATTTGGTTTTAATGACAATAACACATATTTAGGCAAGGCAGAAGTTTCAATACTGCATCAGGTGGCGTCCGTGAATCCCTGAATGCGACATGCACTCTGCGACCCAAAGCTGCTATTCAGCCAACAGGTAGTTGTTCCCTCGGATAACCTCCTTGTCGCCAAAACCAACCTTTGTCTTAGGCAGCGAGACGTTCCGGACAATTTGGATGAAATCGTGCGAGCTGAACAGCGCCGCAGAGACGGACCAAAAACGGATCCGAAAGCCAATCGGAGCTTCAGCCCTCCAGGAACCCCATTAGTATGTTATTCTGACCAATTAGTGGCATCCAGTTTGTACGTAAATCAACGAGTCGAAGCAGGCTTTAAGCTCCTAGGCGGGATGAGCCGCTGGGAGATGCTTAGCCTAATCTGGACAGGCGCCAGTGCAACTACATACTATGTATGTAAATATATTTAACAGTCATCCAAGGGAGGGAGATGTTTCTTTCAGCTTAACTTCTCTTCCTTTGGCACCGTGATTTGGTCCAGCCTGATGGAAGACATGGCTGCCAACTTGACTGACACCTGGCCTGCGTGTGCTCGCGATGTCGACCTTCAGTTTGGCCCAACAGTTGGTCCCAATTGCCGTGGTGGCTTTGATTTCACCCTCACCTTCGAGCAGTCTATCTTGACCATCACCCCATCTGTCTTGCTACTGCTATTCACACCTTTACGTCTATACTGGCTATCGCGCGCGAGTCTCAAGACAAAGTCGTCACTCTCCGCAGCTTGTTCCACTAAGCTGCTCGGCGCTGTCGCCCTAACAGGCATCCAGGTCGCCTTGCTGGCGCTATGGGCGAAAACTCCGCAGGCTCAGACAGTCGTATCGATTCCAGCTGCTGTCTTGTCACTGGTCGATGCATTAGCCATCTGTCTACTGTCTTATATGGAACATACTCGCTCGATCCGGCCTTCCACCTCTCTGGGAGTCTTCTTCTTAGCGTCTCTCGTGCTGGATATTCCTCAGTCTAGAACGCTATTCCTTTCTCCGGATGATAGAACTCCCATAGCCGCTGTCTTCACAGCGGGGATTGGACTCAAGTTACTGTTGCTCGTGCTAGAGGCACAGAGTAAGATTAGAGAACTCAAGCCACCATATCTGTTGTATCCGCCAGAGTCAACGGCTAGCATTTGGGTCCGCCTGGCATTCTGGTGGCTTAACCCCTTATTCTTCAGAGGGTTCGCTCGGCTGTTAACCATGCAAGACCTTTTCTCTATGGATAAGAAACTTGTTACTTTCACCATCCGCGACAAGATGCATGCCACCTGGGATCGTCAAGGTAGTTTATCCTTTTTATTCTGTGCAGGGTAAGTATCAGATCAGTAAGAGCTAATCCGCATGTAACTAGCACACTCCAAATCACCCTACGCACTCATCAAAGCCACGATCTCGTGTCTTCGTTGGGCTCTCTTATCAGTCGTCTGCCCACGAATATCGTTGATCGGGTTCAAATACGCCCAGCCATTCCTAATCAGCAGTGTTATTGGTTTTGTCCAGGCTCCCTCTTCTGACCAGAAGCGCAGCCATGCCTTGGGTTTGGTTGCGGCAGCATTTCTGGTCTACCTAGGTATAGCTGTATGCCTTCCCCGAAATATATAACATATTAATAATATTAAGAGAGCACACGACGCTGACCGCATTTTAGGTTACGACTGTTGGTTATAAGCGTGAGATGTATAGAATGATTGTAATGGCTCGTGGAGGTCTAGTTGGCCTTGTCTATAGCAAAACCTTGAAGATACCCGATGGCTCATACGATGGGTCGGCAGCACTTACTCTCATGAGCACCGACGTTGATCGAATCACCACTGGTCTACAAAGCTTGCATGAGGTGTGGGCGCGAATAGTTGAGATCGCAATAGGCATGTGGCTCCTAGGGGATCAACTGGGTGCCGTAGCTGTTGTCCCTATTGCAATGATTGCCTGTATGTTGCTCAAATCCACATCCGAAGTACTGAACACTTAACAATGCTAACTCAAGGCCCGTAGTATGTACTTTCGCTAACTCGCAACTCTCCAAACGAATTGCTGGCAAACAAAAGGTCTGGAATGCTGCCGTCCAGAAGCGTATTGCGGTAACTTCGTCTATGCTCGGTTCGATGAAGAGCATGAAGATGATGGGTATGACCGAGATGGTATATGATAGTATACAGGAGTATCGTGTCCAGGAAATCCGTTCTGCAATGGGATACCGCTGGCTATCCTTGTGGACTAACACCATTGCTTCGACCCCTGTTATCTTCGCTCCTGTCCTGACCTTTGTCGTCTTTGTGGCCCAAGCTAGCACCAAAGGAAGCGGTAGTCTATCTACACAACACGCTTTCACTTCACTGTCAGTGATAACACTAGTTTCTCAACCAGCCTCGCTCTTAATGTATGCTATCAATGAGTCTGCAGCCATGAAGGGCTGCTTTGACCGACTCCAGAAGTTCCTTCTCACACCGACAGGGTCTGATGGTCGGGGTGCATTTGCTGTCACTAAGTCTACGTCAGATGATGCGAGTGTGCCAAAGACTGATCTAGACGTGTCGACTGGCAAATTCGACGCAATCCAAGTACAACAGGCGACTGTCCGCCCTGCTCCAGCTGCAGACCCAGCTTTAACCCAGGTATCAATGAACTGCCCCCAAGCCTCTCTCACTATAGTCGTTGGACCAGTTGGATGCGGAAAGACAACCCTTCTTCGAGCCGTTTTAGGTGAAGTCCCTTGCGATGAGGGAACCATTACCCTCTCATCAAAAAGAGCCGCATTCTGTGCTCAAGCTCCGTGGCTACCCAATGGTACCATCAAGGATGTTATCAGCGGGTTTTGTGAAGAGGGACAAATTGATGATGTCTGGCTTCATACGGTAATACATGCATGTGCTCTTGACGAGGATATACTACAGCTACCCCAAGTGGAGAATACTGTTATTGGTAGCCGGGGAGTAACACTTAGTGGCGGCCAGAAGCAACGGGTGGTATGTTTTATAGCACATCATATACATTTGGTCATTTGGACTACTAATTTGATTTCCATCTAATAGGCACTCGCACGAGCTGTCTACACTAGGTACGACATCATTTTACTTGATGATGTCTTGAGTGCTCTAGACCAGAAAACCGAAGCGCTTGTTGTAGAACGCCTCTTAGGCCCCCAAGGCCTACTCCGGAAATTGAGGATTACCGCCCTGCTGGTAACTCACTCTAGTATGTTAAAACCACTCTGATAAGACAAATCCCATATGAGCCGGCTAACCTTATTTAAGCCCGCTACCTCCATATTGCTGACCAGATAATCGCCCTGAGTCGAGATGGAAAGTTGAAAGAGGTTTTACAAGGCCAAGATATACAAACCAACGGAGAAAGTCAAGTGGCCCAATGGGGGAATGATATGATCTTGGAGGATGGGCCCCCTCGAACAGGGAAAGTATCCAAGCCGCGACCAGTGGCTAAAGCTCCCAGGCCAAACAATGCTGATTTAAAACGCAAGACGGGAGATCTTACCGTTTACGCTTATTATTTTCAAGCATTTGGCTGGTTACGCACATTCGGATTCTTGGCTTGTACTGCATTGTTTACCTTTGCAACAACCTTTCAGCGTTAGTTGCACTTATTTAACTATTACGTTCCGTCATGTCGGGGAAACTGCTAACAGGCCCTAGAGATTTGGCTTCAATGGTGGGCTGAGGCGAATGGGGGAGAAATTGCCAAATATATGAGCATTTATATCGTCTTAGCTGTGGCAGCTATGGTATCACGATGCTTTACTTTCTGGTATTTGCCGCATAGCAAAAGGGGAAATTAAAAATAAACGAAAAAACACTGTCACTAACAGATATTCTACAGGTGGTCGTTGATATGGATGTCACCTATTTCCTCCATCAATCTTCATAAAATCTTGCTCCAAGTGACTGTGAGGTAGGAATTCAGAGTTTCCCTTCAAAGGTATGCCGACTATTAACTAGTACATAGGGCTCCTTTATCATTCTTTTCAAATACAGACAGTGGCGTGCTATTGAATCAGTAAGTACCTAAAGCTACTTACAAACACCGTGGTCCTGACATTACCTAGGTTCAGTCAGGACATTGGCCTTATTGACCGTGTACTACCACTTTGTCTGATCCGGGTAGTTGTGCGTAAGTGTTCGACAGGATACCCGAAAATAATGGAGGTTAATAGTATTAACTTGGAATGCAGAACTCTTTATTATCCTGTCACAGACAGCTTTAATTGCCATGGGCTCAACCTACATGTCTGTCTTAATCCCGTTTTGTATAATCACTGTGTACTTTTTGCAGCGATTTTACCTCCGGACTTCGAGACAGCTGCGATACCTTGACCTAGAATCCCGCAGTCCACTCTATAGCCATTTCTTGGAAACCATAGAGGGCCTGGCGACACTCCGTGCCTTTGGCTGGCAGAAGGTTTTCCAGGAGACAAACACAAAACTTCTAGACACATCCCAACAGCCTTTCTACTTGCTATACTGTATTCAGTGTTGGCTCAACCTTGTCTTGGATTTACTAGTTGCTGCAATTGGTGTGGTTGCCATTGCCCTAGCTGTTCTTCTTCCGAGTTTTACGACCGCCGGAACAATTGGTCTGGCATTGAACAATGTTCTTGGGTTTAATCAGGCACTGGCAGTTTTGATCGATAGCTGGACTCAATTAGAGACTTCACTTGGAGCGATTGCGCGACTAAAAAATTTGGAGCAGTCTGTTACGCCCGAGCATCAAGATGGGGAAGATTTAGTCCCCCCAGAAGCATGGCCCGAACATGGTGCGATCGAGTTGCGGGATGTCTCAGCATCTTATGGGTAAGCACTGATCTAATGGACCAATGTATTGTGAACATTGCTAACAGCAATGTCAAGAGCTTCCAATTCAGCACTGGACGAGATCTCCCTTTCCATACTGCCCGGTCAGAAAATAGGGGTCTGTGGTCGAACGGGAAGGTATTTATCTCACGTTTCCGCGTACAGCTGTCCCACTTTACCCTACTAAAACTATTTCCTCTTAATAGTGGCAAGAGTTCCCTCCTGTTGGCCCTACTCCGGCTGTTGAATCTTGATAGCGGGTCTATTGTCATCGATGGTTATGACCTAAAATCTCTTCCGAGAGATCTCATACGCAATCGTCTTGTTGCGATCCCTCAGGAGCCCTTCTTCTTAAGCGAGTCCGTTAGGATCAATGCGGATCCAAGTGGCAAGTCGTCCGACCAAGCAATTATTGAGGCTCTTAAGAAAACCCAGATTTGGACGGTTCTTGAAAAGCGTGGAGGTCTAGATACCCATATGAAGGAGCAACCACTTTCTCGGGGAGAACAACAATTGTTTTGCTTGGCTCGCACTATGCTGCGCTCTGGGAAGGTTTTAATTCTTGACGAAGCAACCAGCAACGTTGACGCAGAGACGGATAAGCTTATGCAACAGATTATTCGGGAGGAGTTCCAGGATTATACAATCATCACCGTCGCCCATCGACTGGACACTATCATGGATTCGGATATGGTTGCTGTACTGGATAAGGGCCGTATTGTAGAATACAGCTCTCCACAAGATCTGCTTAGTCGACCATCCATGTTTGCCGACCTTGTGGGCGGCAGTCGAGGGGCAAAAAAATGTGCTTCTTAAGTAGTAATTATGTAAAGTTCCATAGGCATTGCATCTCGTTCCAATATGATCTTAAATCGGAGTTCCGTCTAGTGCACTTAATCTTTATAACTTATCTAACACAAGTACCTCGTAATTAACTACTACTAAGCCCTCTGTTTATGAGACCATTATTGGTGAGAAGGAAATGTCTCTCCAGGATCGGCAGGCTATCGGTACAAACAGATATAGAGTAGCAGTTTTATTCTAGCATCTCCTCAACAGATTTCTTGTAGACACTCCATCTCGCTCGAAGCTCTTCCATTCCTGGTTTCGCTATTAAGCGAGCAAACGATTCAGGTGTTTGATATGCCATCCGCGTTCCTTCTCGCCACATACTATATGATAGGTAGGTTAGTCGATATTCCTTCATCAAACGCATGGAAACACTCATACAGCTGGCAATATCCGTATCTCAGGAGAGTATTTAGAAGGTATCTCATGATCTCTGAGTTGCTGGTCGGTTAACTTGTTGACTAAGTTCTGTACTTTGGTTTTGGGCAATCGTCATTGTGCTTGGGGAATAGAACGCGTGCGAGCGCGATTAGCAGATGTCCAATACACAACTCTGCCGTTTGCCTTAGATAGTCATAGTACGCCGTTTTAAGTGTCAAAATCTGCCATTCGGCCAAAAAGGCGAGCCCCCGCTGATTGGTGATAGAGAGACTGGTTGCATTTGACATTAAGTCTGTGTTTGCAGCGTGGCACTCCCTCTGCAGGCTTCAATTTCCTTATCACGAGCAAAGCCCTTCTTGCAGAGAGTGCTGATACATCCCTGCATTCCTCGTGTTTGTGTCTCGAGGTTTGATCAGGCCAGTCTTTCCCGCGTAATCAAAGGTGGTGGAAGGACAACAAACTCTTGCTGTTGCAGCTCGAAGGAAGAAGCCGACCAGTGCACGTGATCTATGACGTCACATAGTACTATATATTCCCTCATAATACTCTCTATTCACTCATTCCATTGGGCCGTAGTAGCTTTTTACTTTTTTACCATTGGTCAATATGTCACCTGGTAAATTATATGATTAGCTACTTGGCTAAAAATGGCCAATAGAATTAATATATACGAACCAGAATAAACCAATCGTTTCACCGCAATAACGACATCTTAGCCGAGGAGAAGAAGAAGAAGAAGAAGAAAAGAAACCAACGCTGGTTGAGACCAGCTTCAACCAATAGACAAGCTTCGCAGGCTCCTCTTTTCCTTTCGTCTGTGACAGAGGTCGAACTGGATCCCATCTCTGCAAGTCTCGTATTGATCGACAAAACGACAAAACACGGCAGACAAGGAGTGGAAAACGCCGGCGCCAGAATGTTTCCTCCGTCGCCATGAACACTTGCACAGGAGAAGAAGGAAAAAGAGAAGATATGGAACATGGAGGCGTCAAGTCGAATCGATCGACTGTGTGTGTGTGTGTGCGTCTCGCGGGATGGCGGCCATGCTGTCTGTTTGCTCCATCAGCCGTGTGGATGTTTCTATCACCATAAGGGCAAGGCGCCAGGTACATACGAGCAGCCTCATCGCCATTTTCCAAGCCACCAACAAAAGACCAGGTTACATGGTACAGCCAAGGAGGAAGTGCGAGCCCCTGGCCACCTCGTACCGATGTTTAATTAAAATAAAATACGGCGAACCGAGGAAGAAACAGCTGAAAGAAGCCAGAGAAAAGTGTGGTACTTAGGGGCTTCTCCGTACCAAGTCGATAGACGGCTCAACTGGTCGACTAAGATGGCTACACTGCTAACTGGACTGGCATCCTGAGCCCACCGCGATCCCCGTTCGATGCGTGGAATCTTGTGTCTTGCGCGATTAGTCTGAAAGTGCCCAGGGAGGTACATATATCACTCGCATGGGTAGCGCCCATGGACTCGCCCGGCTTCAGCTGGTTCGACTAAAACAGCCACTAATTTCTTAGTGTCCCAAAAATACATCTGGGGTGGTTCTTTTGCCCTGGCATGAAAGTCTCCTCCGGGTCCCCCAGGCTTCGTTCAGGTCTTCTTCTCGCTTTCTCACTCTTTGACCTGACAAAAAAGACTCCTGACTCTGATACACTCTTTTTTCTTGTCGACCCTCGACGTTCCCTCTTTGTTCGCCAGTCTCCAGTCGTTCTTTTTTAGTTCATTCATTCTTTTTATATTTTAAAAAAGAGCACTCCATAGTAGGAGGGCCTTTTTTTGTCCAGTCATTCCCTCAGTTGCAGACTCAGCGTCTTGCATAGTGGTTTCGACAGGTGGCTCTCTGATGATGATAATACCTACCTAGCCACGGGAGAAGCATCAAACTATATATCGTTCTTTGCAGAGTGCACTTGTTACATTACGTCTTTTGGCCAAAAGACCGAACCCACGACAATCTATTCTATATCATATCGCATACCATGACTCGCCACAGTCATCGCCATAGGGCTCGGAGACACCCTTCTATTGATGATATCATCGACAACATTGACGATATAATCAAGGGCGGCGACGGGGAGAAACAGTCAACCATCACTTCCATCGTCTATGTGACCGCAAAGCCGACATTCTCTGGACCAATTGGCGGATATTCTACTGCGACTGGCGATGATGGCGATCACCACCACCCAAAGATAACACCGTTTCCCCCGTTGGAGACTCCCACGCGGTCAACAAGGAGGCCCAGGCCAACAGAAACCAGTGAAGAAGAGCCAGAACCGACGTCAGAACCAACGCCAGAGTCGACATCAACGCCAACACGTCGTCCTTCCTCCTCTTCCTCGTCCTCCTCACTGTCGTCTTCACGTTCATCGTCTGTGACAACGACCACAAGTAGAGACCGGGACTTCACAACTTCTACATCAGCCCCTACTCGGACAACCGCAACTAACTCAAACGATGCTGCTATCGGGACAGGGTCGAATTCTCCATCCGCCACTGCGATCCCAGGCGCTGGAGGGTTGAGCTCCGGCGCAAAGGCTGGTCTCGCAATTGGCCTCGTCGCTCTTGCTGCCATTATCGGTGGTGCCATCTTCTTCTTCTTCCTTCGCAAAAGGAAAAGAGAGCAGGAGGAATTGGAGGAAATTGATAATGAGAAATCCTTCAGCAACCCACCCGTAAGCTTTCCAGCGCCCCCCGTTTCCAGGCCATCTTCGTCCGCTACTCCTCCAGTTGCACCGAAGCTCAACATCCGCCCTGTGACTCAGTTTTCTCCGGACTTTGGAACTGCGCTACCAGGAACAGGCAAGCCTCCAGGCACGCTCAATGCTTTACCCACTCCTCCAACATCGGCCAATGGCACACGCAGCTTGACAGACGGCCCTGGGCCATCAGCACCAGTCAAGTCACATAATGCCACGAATTCTGATCCGTTTAATGATCCAGTCAACCCCTTTGAAAACCCCAACTCGGCACCTTCGTCTCCTCCGGATCGAACTCTTCCGGATGCCCTTCAGGTCCGTACTCCCAGTCTTAGATCAGATGTTAGCCGACCCGTATCCCCTGTCACTCCCGAAGGCACTGTCAACACCGGCGTCGTTGCGTCTGCTACCGCCCTAGCGGCTGTCACTACTGGAGCTGCCGGGGCTGCCGTTGCTTCTGTTGCATCTAACGATGATGCTCGGAAAGAGCAACAACAGCAACAGCCTGTTCCTCCACAGATACCGGCTACCACTGGCCCTCCTTCAAGTCCTGCCATGAGCACCGGATCCGCCTCTGTCACCAGTGTAGCCCCAGCACCAGTTGGAACCCCAGGTCCAAACAACGTCTACCGTGTTCAGCTCGACTTTAATCCCTCCATGGACGATGAACTGTCCCTTAGGGCAGGACAGCTTGTTCGTATGCTACATGAATATGATGATGGCTGGGTATGTAATCTATCTCCATCCACCTATATGTCTTTCTTCCCATGCTAACTTGGCCTAGGCTCTCTGCGTCCGCCTTGATCAGTCTCAGCAAGGTGTCGCACCACGAACGTGTCTTTCTTCCCGTCCTGTTCGTCCTCGCCCTCGTGGACCTCCCGGCCAACGCGCTCCCGGCCCAGGTCCCATGTCCCCCGCAGGTGGTCACAACTCCCAGGGCCCAAATCCCAACAGTCCACGCTTCAATCCTCCCACCAACGGCAGACCAGCTTCACCTAATGCAGGATATCGCCCTTACCCTCCGCCCCAAAACAAATTCAATGACATTCCACGCTCACTATCCCCAGGCCCAGGTGCTGGTAGCCCACGAATCCCACAGCCCCGGTCAATGAGCCCCGGCCCATATGGACCAGGTGGAATGGAGAAGCCCGTGATGCCTGCTGCCCAAAGGCCGAGGAGCAACAGCGCCAGCCAACTTGCCTCCCCAACAACACCGGCACCAGCTTCTGCACCAGCTTCTGCACCAGCTTCCATTGAACCTGCAGAGAAGCCAGAGCCAACTCGCAGCCCACCACCGAGTCTGGGCCCTGCAAACCGTAAACCCGTTCCAGGTCAGGAGTCATAGATTCGGGTTGCAAATACAGATTACCCCATTTTCCTTCCCTCCCCCAATCCCTCCTTTACTCTATCTCACGGTTTGAATGCTTTTAATGTCTAGTTTTTATCTTTCTCTTCCTTTCGAGCTAACGGGTGTACATGAGATGACTACCTACGTACCTATCTAGCTCTATCCATATAGGCAGTAGCCATGATCATACATGCATACGTGTTCTCGCTAGCGATGCGATGGCAGTGATATCCCGGATCTGTTTTACTTTTTCCTTGTCCCCCCTTCTTACCCTCCAACACCGGGCGAATGCTCGCTCCGATGTTTTAAAGTCAAGCTCAAGGGTGTTGTATTTACACATGTCTTTGCCCTTCTTTTTTTTACCGTGGCTTTTGGTTCCACTCCCCATTATGTACAGAATTCTTTTCCTTTCTTCCCCACATGCCCGGTTACCTATTACTATGTTTTTTCAATGCGTCAAGTCTACCTAACATACATGTTATATAAATCCTGAGTAGCAGTTATGAATATAAGCCGTGGCCAATCCCTCTGTGCTATGCCGGTACCAGCTATGTTTGTTATATTCAGATAGACGTAAAAAGTTAAACATGCCATTTGAGACGTAGAATAAATATCAAGATATATATATATTTCATAAAAACTGACCGAGACCAACTGATGCATATTTCCCCACTCTATTATCTACAAACCGAATCCGAAAAAATAAAAAGGTATCCCGTTAGAAAATCACTTCTAGACTTTCCAGGAAAAAAATCCATCTCGTTAACAGTATTGATATAGGGTATATATAAGATATATAACTTTATGTCATGAATGAACCACCAATCTAATCAGAGGTGTGGAACTTTCGCACTCGCGAGAACCAAGTTAAGAATGCTCACGATACCTTCTCCAAGGATAAGGCCGGATGCCAAAATGACAATCGTAGGTGATGTCGAATCTTCATCCTCATCCTCTTGTGCTTCGGAGAGCTCTTGTCCTTGGCCGTACTGGTGACTGGGATCTCGTGGTGTAAAGATAGACGGGCGACCCCGTATGAGCTTTGCGCGATATTGCCATGCGAGAGCAATGATACCCCCGATTGCTCTTGCTAAAGTAAACGATGGAACGTTATACATCCCAACGGCAACGGCAATGCCACCGGGCACCCAAGCGCGCCAGGGGGCAAACTGAGGTCCCTTTCCACTAACAGCGGCGGATACAGTCCCCACAATCCTCAGGATGGTGGTTATAGAGAATATTATGCAAGCGATGCCGGCAGCTGGCCAAGCCATTTCTGGTAGGCCCTGGCCGGTAACAAGCCGTGCGGTGAATAGCCATACGTATCCGGTTGGGACCTGGAACATTGGTCCGGGAACGGGATATACGTGGATGTAGAGCTTATAGACACCTACAGAGATGATAGCACCGAAGATACTACCGATTACCTGTCCGTAAAACTGTGCCTTGGGGCTGGCGCCAAGTAGGTGGCCCGTTTTCAAATCCTGCATCATATCACCAGCTTGTAGTGCGCCAGATTCAGACACCGCGCCTGCTAAGAGGTTTGCAACTATAGCGCTGCGGCGGGTATGAAGGCTTGCCGGGGTGGCAGCAGCAAATATGAGTTGTGTGAGCTTACTGATGCCAGATACGGGGTTGAGGTCTGTTTCACCCAGAGCACGAACGCCCATTACGGACAGAAGAAGGGCTAGGAGAGTGGCGACAGTAGAAAGAAAAGGGGACATGATGTCGCCAAAACTTATGCGCATGCAGACGACATTTAGGATCAACGTTAGCGGAAGGAGGATCATAACGGTACGGTTGGATATAAGCTCGGACGGAGGAGCGTCATAATCTTCTGCCTTTGGATCATGGCTTTCCCGTTGGCGTATAGCAGTATAACTGTGACTAGACGAAGAGTTGCTACTGCTGAAAAGACCAGTCCAGAACGTTTTTCGTCTAATGTTATGCTGAAGACGGACAATAAGGCCAGGGCCGTGGTTGACAAGAGGTCGAATCACCAACCAGGCCAGGTTGATGATTGAATCAGCGAGCATGATTGCAAGGGAGACCCAAACAATCCAGCCTTTACTGCCGGTTTCCCAGTTGTCGACTGGACCTGGTGCCCAGCCATTATGCTTTGCCAGAGGCGAGAGGACCGCCCATCCAAGTACGGCACCAAGCAGCATATGAAGAGAGGTAGAAGGACCCATAATGATGCCCTGTCCGATGTACGCAGGCGATGGATTAAGGGTCCACAGCCATTTATGCGCCAGCGGCAGGCCAAACACTGGCAGGTCGCGCAGCACTGGCGCAAAGTATGAAAGGAGAGTCTATCAATAGGTTGTGTTGGTAAGAATAGCTGTTATATTAGAAAACAAAGGAGGATAAGGACTTACGTAGAGTGCGGATACACCAAATGCAAGAAGCAGCATCCTGATCTTTGCCTTCCAGGCATTTTTTCTCCTCCTGTCTGCTTCATACTGTTCTACTGTGTCGTTGACGTCATCTCGATAGGTGCTGGCTACCAGTAACCGTTGAGTCTCTGCAGGACTGTCTGTGGAATGATCCAACCTCCTTTCAACCCCCTTGCCCTTCTCATCCGTCTTACCCGCAGCATGCAGCACATTTATCATCAGGGCCGTAGCTGTTCCACTTGGGAACTTGAGCTTTTCCCGTACGATAACCTCTCTTCTTAGAGGCACAGCAAAGACGACGCCGAACAGACAAACCCCCAAACTCCAGACGATCAGTTTCCAGGACGTCAGCTTCAGGGGCCCGCCTTCACCGTCACCACCGTCACTCCCATCCATCGGGCCATCAGGTCCTGACCGGAGCAGATACTCCAGGGCCGGAATGACTCCTACGAACCCACATCCCAACGGCATCGTTCCAACGGCGCCGGCCACAGTCTGAATCAGCACATTTTCGACCGGGGTAAACGGGAACGAGAGATGGCGGGAGAGAGCCCTGAAGACGGCAAACCCGATCAGGGACGAGGGCATCGCCATGGCACTGATCCATCCCGTCTGCAGGCCGAAATATGTGTTTGAGAACGTTATCAGCGCTCCTATCGCGAGGCCAACGAGCAACGACCGCGGCGTAAAGCTCTGCGCAGGCGCCTCGGATGAGACATCGTCTTCTTCTCCCTGTCTTTCACGGCTGTCCGGTATATTCCTGGCCTGGCTGAACGTGCTGCCGGAGCCCTCCATCATGGTTCTGTTCTACCGGGACTAAAAGTTGTGTATCGTAGGGCAGAAACAACGGTCCTTATCGAGGTCGTGCGAGGCAAAAGAGCGGTAAGAAAGTATCTGGAGATCACATATTACATATTCTCGTATGCTTATATATCGCAAGCGCCCTTCGGTTAAAGCTGATTTCTTCTCTTCCTCGCATTTCTTTCTCTTCTCTTCGATGCGAAGACTCAAAATTGAGGCTATCACGAGCTGACTAATTGCGGCGATATCGGCTTTAAGTTCGTTGCGCTTATTTTCTCTTGATATATTTTGATCTATAATCGATGCATTATTAATGCATTATAGACGTAGATGTCGATGATGAGGGTGTACATGGTAGGTGTGTGGAATTATCAACTGGCCTAGACCTGCATCTTGACGTCTTGATCTATGTCTCTACCGGTATTATACAACTGCCAACAGGAAGGGAAAACTGCGGTTCTGACTCTATGGGCTGCATCAAGAGTTGATATCTCCTGCTACGCTCTTTAGAGGATGTCCTATCATCTAGTCATATATCTATGACATATACCTCATGGACAAGCTGGTACGTCGATGCAAAGGTGGACGATCCCTTTCATTTTAACTAACAACATAGCAAAGGATCAGACGGTCTACAGTAGACGGAGCTCTTCGCCACAGTTCGCGTGAAGATCCAAAGATACCGCTTAACGCTGAAGATGGCGGATTTCGGGCTACTTACACTGAGTGAGTGTCCAGAGGCTGGTGTGCACCACCTCTAGAGGAGTGGAACATCCTCAACTTTACAAATCTGACGGTCCGATAAACGGCTCAAACGGTCCGGATGAATCCTGCCGTCTTGATCTCCAGCTTCTTTATGGCCGTTCCAGGGTTATTTATGCTGGGAAAGCCTGAGAGAGGAGTTAACAAAAGATCCATACATTTAAATAGTATAACTACGCCGAGATGAATGTATTGAACTCGTCAAATATTCATGTTGTACATCGATAGATAGACATTAAATAATCGCAGCCTCCCAGAAAGCAAAAGAAAAAGCATATTCGGAACTCCATACCGAAAAATAAATACACAATCACAAGCCTGTATGCGTCCGATAAAAAGATAGAAACAGTAGTGTGGCAGTGAGAAAGGTCAGAAACCAAAGCTATCAAGCAATGAACTTGACTCTGGTTCTTGGAACTGAGTGGCATTCTGTGGTTGCTGAGATTCGCTTTTGACAGCTTCAGTCTTCCTAGCATCATCCTTCTTGTCATGGGTGATATGCATGTCCGCAACAACAAGGCTCCCCCTTCGTTTAAGCAGCTTGCGTGGGTCTGGCGAATCTCCCATGAAGCTGATTGACAGCCTGTTAGAGACAGTATCCCTGGCTGGAGGTGGGGTGAGAAATTCCCACTCTCGTACTAAATTGAGGGCGAGAAGATCACATCCCATGCGGTCATATAGACGCGCATTGCGCAGGACAAACTCCCACTCCTCCCGGGCAGAAATTCTAGATGCGCCCTTGAGAGTTTGCAGAGTCTTCTCACGCAGCTGCTGATACAAAACAACCAGTGCTGGGTCGTTAGACAGGTACGATTTGGCTTGGAGAGCTATTTGGCCTGGACTCGCAGGTGATCCAGGAGTTGGGGGGAGAAGACCTTCTATCGGCGTCTGTACTAGATGTTAGTAAGGAGTGGCGAATATAAAGGCCTGAAGGCACCTACAACCAAAGCACGAACGGCCATATCACGTCTGTTGAGCATCCAAAAGGCCCATGTGGCCATCCATCGGTTACCCTCTGTGGCAGCTGTGATAAGGACTCGGTCTTCAAGGATTTCTTTTAGAACCGGCCCATCGTCCCCTTCGTAGGCACGCGCAATCGTGATAGCAAGCTGTATGTCTCGAAGCTGGTTTATGCAAACGTTTACTGCATCGCGTAGATGGTCTGCTAGCAGAAAGAAAGCAGCAGCGTACTCTAATAACAAGTATTAGTAACTTCAAATATCTACTTTTTGAGCTTAGAGTAAGGTCTCACCAAATCTTCGCTTCCCAAGTAGTGCAAAAGCATTTTTCAGCGCTGCAGTCTGCCAACGAGCCTCTTTAAAATCATTTGACAAAAATCGGTGAGTGTTTGATTGCTCCTTGTGCCAGGTTGCCATTCTCCAAAGACCTTGCAGGACTTTCTTTTTCTTCAAGGCAAGATAGAAAATGCTGCAGTCGATAGGGTTCTTGTCTTCGGACTTGGTATATTCATTTCGAGCAACAACTTCTAGGAGCGAGCGCTGGAAACATACTTGGTTTAGCACACTATAATAAAACAAATAAAGTGCATGATAGGGATATATCATACCAGGGCATTCGTGTCAGTAATCCACATGAAAATGCCACTTTCTCTAGCATTCTCCCAAAGCATTTTGCTGTGGAATTGCCTCCCAACCAGATCTGTGAGAATTTCGTGACTACCACTATGAAAGGCCCAGACGATTTCTCTCCATGAAAGCATATACTCCTCGAGTAACCCTTGGCTTTTCCGAAGCATATGTTGCCGAAAGAAGAGTATATATCTCGCAGCATTCACATCCATTGAACGCCGATGTTTTTCCACAGTTGCAACGCATTCAACAATATCGACAAGACGGAATTGCTCTTTGGAAGATAACTGCGGAAGAGTTATCTTCTTCAAATATTCGTTGAGTGAAGCCGCTATTACCTCATCTAGGACGTGAGGTTCATCGTCCACAGTAAAGTTGGCATATGCGGAATTCATCTCTTTATACGTTATTTGCTGTATAGGCTGGCGGCAAAGGGTTAGTTTAGCCGTAAGCTTTCGCAATCATAAGGGATGCTTTAACTATACTTACGGATGCCTCATTATATATATCTTCGAGTGGGATCTCCAGAAAGGCTTCAACATCGTCGCCATCAGTGACATATTTCAATTTCTGATGTAGCTTTGTTAATATTAAGTGAACCAGCTTCGTTTTACCGCTCAGAATACATTGAGCGAGAAACTGAGGATGGAAAACTGGTAGTGGCCCATTAAGTCTGCTAACAGCGTCAAATAGGTCGAAATGCGTCTTGTCGTGGTACGGTAGACGCAAGTTGGTAACCCATCTGTTGCTTGCTTCAATATATTTATCATATACGAAGAGCTGGTTTCCAGCACCAACGACAAGATTGCCATTACCTAGCCAACATGAATCGCCAATCGGGTGAGGTGTGTGACGTCCGATCTTTATCTCGCGGATTTGGGCCCATGATGGCCCAGCGTCAAGGTAATCGTATCGTAGTTGTGAGAGGAGAATGACCTTGTGTGGGAACCCGACAGCTAGGATCGATTGGACGTCAGGGGTTGATGTCCAATCCAAGTCTTGGATGATATCGTGCTCTTCAAAACATTCCTCCAATTCCAACTGCGCGCTGTTTGTATCCCAAATGGTTAAATGTGTTCGTTTTTGGTCTACAAGAGCAGCCTTTCGTACAGAACCAGCGCTGGCCAATGAAGGGTTGACAATCCCAGTTTCAACAGTAGCAGTCAGTAGCCAGTCGATTCTACACTGTGATTTGTCAACCTTTGCAGTCCAAGTTTTCATGGTCCCGCCATGCGAGTAAGAGAGAGCAATATCAGTGGCAAACAAATCTAGATAATGGGATTCTTGGAGTTTGGAGCCGGCTGGGTCAACAGGGAGGATGTAAGAAACATCCTCATCCGATCCAAGGCTAAAGGTCGAGAATTCTCGTAAAACAGGAACATTATTATCTATCTTCGATTGCCTTCGATGCATGCTGCTGGTAGGAAGTTCAACTTCCCAGGCAACGCCCGTCATATCGGCCCCTATAGCTGCAATATAAGACGTACGAGGTTCAGATGTGGGTATAAGCAATACGCAAAGAGGTTTGCTGCTAAGATGAAAATCACTTTTTCCAACCATTTGCGCCTCGAATGAGCGAATATCCCACATAGATATACCGTTATGGTGTAGGTTGACCAGAAAATTTCCGTCTTCAAGTAAGCAAGTTCGATGGATGTGCATATCACAGTTAAGTGAGCTTTGCTGGATAAGCACGGAACCCCTACTACTATTTGATCTCTGGCGCCATATAACAGCATTGTTATCATCGGTTCGTGAACTTAACACTTTTCCGCTCGGCGTGCGTACTATCTTTTTTACTGATTCTGTATGTCCAGACCAAGTGGCCTGGGAGGTTAAGCGGCGCTTGCGCGGCGTGGGATCAAATAAAATATCGACCCGTGAATCAAACCATTCAATCCGTCCGTCAAAGTAGTGGGCGAGGACAGTAAATGACGCATCAGAAACACCTCCAGCAAAAGGGTAAAACTGTGCGTAGTCACCAGTTGGACTGTTACCTAGCGCAGATGAAAGGTCCAATCCCTCGACATGAGCAATATTGAAAATACTGGCTTCAGCATTGGCTTTACAGCCGGCGTTTTCCAGCCCCCAGACACACATGTGGCCGCTTCCATCAAGAATAACACACACTTCCGGATTTTTTGTAGCGGCCTCAATGAGATGGTCAAGGGCAAATTTGTCCTTTTCCGTTGCTGGTCCACGCTGAACAGCACGTTCAGTAGCAAGAGAGAAATCACGACTGTCAACAATGAATCCATATCTATTATTAGATCTTTGTGTTTTCGGAGGGTATCGTGGTTGAATTGAAGCTTCCATATCAATCACATTCCAAAGTTGAAGTGCTTGTAAGGCATGACGATCCATCGGCGCCCATACCCGTATCTTGTTGTCGGCGCACATTGTGTAGAGGACATTGTCTATTGTCTGTTCTACATGATGCGGTCGACGCCAATGTATACCTGTTACAGCACTTGGGTGTGATAGATACGTAACGTCGAACCGAGCCTCGTCCGCGCCGTAGGAAAGCCGCCTCCATACTTTCACAAGCCGATCGTAGTCACCAGTAGAAGCGATAATTCCAGCATCATAAGAGAACTGTGCGATCTTAGCTCGATTAGCCAGTCTGTTTGTCCATATAGCATGTGGACTGTCGTCATTAAGGTGCCAAAGAACGAGACTCTTGCTGCCTGTTAGCAGCTCCCCGGAGCCACCCCACGACAGCGTTCTAATCTCCCCATCGTAATTTCTGGCATCAGCATCATTACGCTGGAATTTATGATGTAGATTCCACTGCAGGCTCGTTAGCAGCTTCTATACCATCTCAGCGAAGTAGCAAGGGTGCCCAGCGTACCTCGACATTGTTGCGTATTTTCGACGGATTGTAAACAAGTATCGTCTGTCCTCCACATACAGCAATCCTCCCAGAAACTTCATCTATATTAACCGCGGAGAGCCATTCGATATCGTCAAGGTAGATGGTCTGTAGTAGCTTTTGCGGTCCTCCAAGTATAACGACCGCATTGCCGGATATATACACCTATACATACCGACGTAGGGGTCAGCCAGGCCATTCAAGACTCCAACAGGTCAACTGGATTAGAGATACTGAAAAGCTGCATTACTTACGACGATACGGATGCCTTCCCACAGAGCTGTGCTAACAGCTTGGAGCTTCGGCGCAGGCCTGCCCGGAAGTATGGTGCGCATCGCAGAAAGCCGTGGAGGGGACACGCCTTGTTCAGATGCCACACGATACCATTGCAGATATTGACAGAACCCTACAGTTGCACATGAAGAGCAACCATGCCGCGGAAGAGGCCTTTTTGATGCGGTTACAGCTTGGTTTCCTGTCGTTGTTTGCTGGTCGTTCGTATAAAGACGAAGTTTGGGTGTTTTCGGTGAAACTTATGACGTGCATCTTGGGTTGCGCCTCAAATTTGCGACTTCAATAACAATCAAAAATCAACCAGGTCGATTTGATGCTACATGTGGAGAAGAGGCGAGCTCTATTACCCCCGCGACGGTGTAACTACATCTTAGGCATGGCTATACAATATATACTTCTCTTTTGATCGATATTAATACACCCATATATTATTACACGACTACTTGACTAAACTAACACCAAGAATACTTCTGATAACCAAAATATATATATACCCTCCTCAGCCAGCCTGGTACAAAGCTGGACCAGCAACAATGTGCGGGTTGATCATTGACAGGTTGAACGACGTATACGGCGTATCAGAGTCCGTAATGGCGATGAACATTGTCCCATTGATTGCTGGATCGCCCTGGAAGGTCTCCATGTTTGGCTGCACGGTAGACCCCGAGCTATTCCCCTGCATCTTCAAGGGAGAATATGTGACGTTGAGCTGCGAGACCCAGACGACAAATTTCGGCATTTTGGCCTGAGAGGATGTGATGTAGCTGTTATTTGGCCCAACTGCCTTGCCGGGGCTATCCCACGAGAGATTAACAACACGGCCAGGATAGGACAGCGGGTTTGTGCGGTTCTGGGTGATTGCTGGGCCACAGTCGGTGGATGGACTGGTTGTGTTGAGGCAGCCCTGTGAAGCCGTAATGTTGGAGCTACGCAGCGTATTCATGCCAGGACTTAGCGTCTCGTTTGTCCTTGCTGAGCCGTTTATGCGTGCCGGGTTAGGCTGGTTGATTATCTGAAGAGCAGGGAAATTTTGCCAGGCAAGTCTGGTTTGGTCAGGTGGACATGAGCTGATGTACGGTGCCAGCAATGTCCAGGCCCACGACTGTGGGATGCCGACTTCAAACCATACGGGCATAGGGAACATGCCGTTAAATTGACGGAATATCATCTGCTGTCTGGCCTCAGTGGTGATGGACTGGAGGAGAAGCGTAGCTGCTTCACCTGAATTGAGATGACCGAGAAATCCATATACCCCTGACTCACCGAAGCGAGTAAGCTTCTGGCAAAAGTCGACGAACTCACGGACATTGGTGAATGGATAGTTATATGAACACTGCATGGGAGCTTGGGCGCCTAGGATATTACTGAGCATTGTTGCATGGCCGATTTCCTGTTCGGCCATGAACTCGATCAGATATCGATCCTCGGAAGTGAGGCCGGCAGCAGTGAATTCTTGCTCTGAGAACTTTTGAAGCCCGTACCGAAAGAGATCTAGTTCGATCCATTCTTGATACAATGCTAGGGCCTAGCTCATCGTTAGTACAGTTCATTCCTAAAAAAGGAGGGCTTATACAGCCACTTACCAATGATTCATAGTCAAAATCACTCTTGACGTTATAGACTGGCTGAGTCCCGTTTGTCCCTCGACCTCCGGCAGGGACAAAAGGAGCAGGCTGGGGATTATGAAGCTGCCCATCACTTGGGTATGTGGTGGCGGTTGCAGCGGGAGGACCTGCAGGTATCTCCGTACCCAATGCGGTATTCATCAACGCACCAGAGACAGTCGCTGTTCCGCTAAAGGGCCCGTGAGTTGCCGCAGATTGGTGGCTTCGGAGCGGCGGTGCAGCAGCTGGTGCTGGTGAACTACTTTGTGCAGCTACATGCAAGACACAGCTGCCAACCAGCAATGTTAAGGTATAAATAAGGTCAGTAAAAGTCCGCATTATCCTTGTCCTTTTTCCTCCGTTACTCCTGAGGTATAAATGTATGTCTATACATATATGTGTGGAAAAACAGCTCTACCAGAACTGAGTCTTGCTCGAATTGACCACAGAAAATATTTCTGTATTTCTCCTGATGATTTTATTGTGGAAGAAGTAGGATTAACTACCGGATCCAGGTGGAAGAATGATAGTTGCGTCATCTTGAGGTTCTTCATTAAATAGCCGACACGTCCGAGCATAATGGGCATTTAGTAATAATTCCCTTCTAAGAGCCACTGTATATTCATGGAAAGAGCATAGACAGTATAGACTGGCACTGGAGGCCAGTTGGAGGTATAATTCTCTTGATTTGTTGTCCATTAATCGTGTGGTGTAATGTAATGTAGTTTTATTGTCTCGCTAATATCGAATATGCAGGTAACAGATCTAATAAGATAAGAGCCAGGAAATAATAGCAAACATCTGGGATTCTGACCGTCGTTCCCAAGTTAGAGCCCGTTTCGCCAGTGGAATACGGTATAGATAAATCTTCTTGGAGGAGGGGGGGGGGTTATTTGCGGTTTGTTTGGTCCAGTCAACCGTGGCGTGGAGGGATGCTGTCTTCGTTCGTCTGTACTTCGTTCCTTTTCATATATCTCTTCCACTCGCTCTAATTGCTTTATTTCTTCTCCCACCTTACTGTCCTCCTCGTAGAGCTAGAACCAGATGTAGCGTTGCTCCTCCTTCAAGGTTATACTCCGACGCAGCTTTATCATCTGCCCTATTCAAGGTCAAACAGTTAGCAATAAAAATGAGTTCAAACGGGTGCTGGAGAATGCTGTACATCTGCTTTCCGCCAAATATCAACCGTTGCTGCACCGGTGGAATTCCCACCTTCTCCTCTACGCGCTCTTTGATGCGGGATACCTAGGCAGACCACGAGTCAGTATGTTTGTCCTAGTTTCAGCAAATACAGATAAAGGCGCACCTTATAGTCCGGCTCGATATCCAGCTCGATTTCCTTGCCTGTGAGTGTTCTAACTCTGTTGATAAACTAGTTAGCTGGTGGATGTGGGGGGAGGGCGTTTATACAGTATGAGGGGCAGAAGCAGCATACTTGATCAGCATGGTGAAGGCGGCGTATAGGGTGAAGATGGAGCTGCTACAGAGAATAAACACACAGTATAAGGGTAGAACTCGAGGCTGTGGAGCTGTAAGTCAAGAAACCAACTATTATATTATTTCTTCTTCTCTTTCAACTTGCCAAACATACAAAATGAGCGGAAGGAGCCACGCCAAGAATCTGATAAGACTTATCAGCACGTGAACGTAGAAGCAAGCCGAAAATGTCGAAGATGAAGACGAAGAAAGGCGATGATGGAGAGGAATAGATGTATAAAAGACGAAAGCGAAGATGAAGATATAGATGGGTAAAAGGTAGGTACAAGGACGTGGAAAGGCCATGTAAGATGCCTACAAGTAGGTCTCTACCAGGTGTATACAGCATCACCATACAAGATATATACCTGTCGATGCTATTATATAAAGACTATTACAATACTCCATACGTTTATATCTATAATAATATCTCTTAATATATATATGTATATATGTGCTGAAATGTTGCTTGTACGGATGTTTTGTATGTCGTGCTTACATAATTCGCCTAGTTTCTTGGCTTCCACAACGTAAGCGAGCGTGAAATTCGACACACAAAAGTCGCATCGACATCGACATCGAACAATCGAACTCAGCGACCAGCGACCAGCGACACAACCACTCCAGTCTGTGATCCGGCGAAAATCAGTCACCATGGTAAGAATATGACTCCTTCTTCCCTTCTGGCCGTATCTGTTTTATATACCGGAGCGTGGGAGGGGGATATCTCAGCGAGCAATCGAGGCAAACGACCCCGTCAAGCGCAGAACCAACGCATTGGATAATTTGATAATTTCGACAAGATTGAAGGCTTTCCCCGGAGATATATCAGAAAGGCGATGTGCAATACTATGGAAATACTATGGAAGGGCTGAAAATAAAATTTGCGGCAGAGATGGTTGATACTTTTTATCTCCAGAGATGGCAGCAATTCCTCAAAGGGCGGCAGCTTCATGGACGCACAACCTATACTCACAAAAACAAAAACAAAAACAAATCACTCAGCAGCCCGCTAGAGAGGAGATACTTGCTTGAGAAACTCGCTAGGATGGCCCTAAGCTTCATAAAATCACACAACACACAATGAGTTGGTGCTCAAATAGCATGGCTGACCCTTGAACTCGAACAGGTCAACATTCCAAAAACCCGCCGGACCTACTGCAAGGGCAAGGACTGCAAGAAGCACACCCAGCACAGAGTCACCCAATACAAGGCAGGCAAGGTCAGCAGCCCCACGATCATATTACCTTTGAACAGTGTCCGTCGCACATACAAGATACTGAATAGTCTCATTTCAATTCATTAGGCCTCGCTATTCGCCCAGGGTAAGCGTCGTTATGATCGCAAACAGAGTGGTTATGGTGGTCAGACCAAGCCTGTGTTCAGGAAGAAGGCAAAGACCACCAAGAAGATCGTCCTCCGAATGGAATGCACAGTCTGCAAGACCAAGGCACAGCTCGCCCTGAAGCGATGCAAGCACTTCGAGCTTGGGTACGTTTTCTTCTATTATCTATATCCCTTGTACATGGAAGCAATATACTAACGATCTCTTTTCAACCAAACAGTGGTGACAAGAAGACCAAGGGTGCCGCCCTTGTTTTCTAAACGGCAAAAGGAAATAAAATATAAAACGAATGAAATACCTTCTTCAACCACCTCTCTCTCGATGGCATTCTTCTTCGAATTTTTTTCTCCCACTATCATGCCGTACGTCTTTTATTAAAAACAACCCCATACCACTTTTTGATACCTTATTCAATCTTCTTCATCCATTCACCGCTTCTGGAGTGGGAGTTTGTATGGGGGTGGTCATGCGGAATGGAAAAGAAATAATTTTCAAATGAATGTTTCGCTTTCCGTGTAAACTAGACGGCAGAAGCAAGAATGATGAAGCGGTTCAAGAGAAATGACATAAATTTAATGAAGCTTTTTCGTTTCTGCTCGAGCAGGTGATCAAGTCGCTGCGTAGGATCGATTTATTATCATCATACTTTTAAATACAACATCTCCGTGCAATTGTCATAAACATCCTAAAATCGTTTCTGGGGTCGTTCATCCAATATACTGCATCCAGGTGGTACATTTCACACGAAAGAAACAAAACGAGACATCAAATATCTGCTTTACACAGCTCCCTGAATACCCTATCCGGAACTCCTATGTTTTACTATCATTAGACAGGCAGCAAGGTTATACCTGATGGATAATGAAACCCCAGTTATTCCATGGGATACTGCCAGCTGTGACCCAATATTGAGCTTGGAGCTGGGACTGGATCGCTTCGGCATGCGGGTTTGCAAAGTCGAATGCTGGTTCTGGCACCGGGCATCCGTGAGTAAGCAAAGGAAGGGGGGTATCTTCCGGTGATGGGATGGTGGTGTGCATGAGGTCAGGCTGTGACTGTGGTTGTTGCTGCTGTGGTATGGACTGATGTTGAGGCTGAGGAGAGGCCATTTCTCTGTTTAAATTAGTGCTGGAGGTTGTATATATAAGGGCAAACATTGACTTACAGCAATTGACTAAGAATTGGAATCCCCTTCTCGCACAAAGGACTCCTGCTTGAAAGCAGATGGAAGACCTGCAGCGCGTCGACCAATAGGGTATGGATTTCATCATATTCCGCCTGGCTTTCAGGGTTCATCAGTATCACGGCGAGCACGACTGCGGCATGGAAGGCGTGGAAGCTAGCCAACCCAGCAGTGTACCATTTATAAGGCGCATACTGCGGTGATTCAGCAAGGGTCTTCTGGATGGACAGCAGGCCCTTTGCAGCGTCGAGACAGCGGTTCCGGGAACTGTGGGTGCGGTCGTTGATGTCTCCGGTTAGATAGCGGTTGAGGGCTGGGCGATGCAGAAGCAAACGCAGCTGGTGAGAATACCCAAAGAGGATGTTGATATGGGCAAAGTGCTGGCTGGGCAGCGGCTCGACACTGGTATCAGAGTGATAGCGTGCAGTCCACAGTTCCTGTTGGCTGGTGATATCATTGTCCAGCTTTGCTATGACAGCAGGAGATGCTTCCGAAGAAAATATCTCGTTACATATTGCCAAGGCAATGTCATAGAGACGGAACTTGAAGAGAAGGTAAGTCATCTGCGTAGGACCGGTAGGGTGACGGAGCTGGTCCATCGTGAGACCGCTGTTCTTCATCAGATTGAGGTCGTTGGCATCCAGGGGGAGACGAACGTCACGACTCAGACGCTGGCGGTCGAGGTTGCGGTAAGAAATCTTCTGGATCATATGCAGCATGATCAGCCCAGCCCAGCATCGCCGGCGTTCTTCTGCTTCGACGAGGCTGAGGTTGAAGTTATCCGGGTCTAGATGGCAGCCCATGGCAATGGCTACATGATGGGTCATGCCGATGAGGACCCAGGATGGCTGCGAGCTATGCGTGAGGGCATAGATCAAGAGGACCAAAGCCTGTAAGGTCTTCATGGAGTGTCGAGACAGCACCTGGTCTGCAGCAAGACACTGCATGGCTGCAGACCGGTACTGCTCTGAGATGACCCTGATATTGGCACTGGGAGTAGTTTCTCGTCCCAGATCGGGGAGCAAGGGGTCATCGTCGCCCAGGCTGGTGACGCCGATGGCCAGGACAACGAAGAGCAGGGCCAGCCACGATAGAGACACCGAGCCCGGATCCTGTCTGAAGCATTCATACTCTTCTGCAAACGTAGGATCGTGCAATATATGAAATAGCTACGAAGACAGCAGTTAGCAAAAAAGAAAAAGCATCCACAATCTTGATATCTTATAGATGTTTTGTTTTGACGAACCGGAGAAAATACTCGAAAGTATGTGTCCTTCAAGGCATCGCAGTATCTGCTGGGTGGCAGACGAGCAAGCAGCCTGTCTCTCGAGGCCGGGTCATCACATTCAAAGGGGAATCCGCTGGGCTTCTCCTCGTTGACGCTGTTGACCTGGTTGCGATACTCGCTAGCTGAGATCTGAGCCAGATGGAAGTCCAGCTTGGACGACTGCGGCTCGAACCGAACATGGCCCTGCGGCGAGATCGATAGAGACCCAACATTCTGCAGCAGACTCTGCGGGAGCTCTGAATTGTTGTTGCTGTTGTTGTTGTTGCTGTTATTGTTGTGGTTGTTGCTGATGCTGAAGCTGTTGTTGCTCCTGCTATCACTCTCCGTGTTGGCGGAAGCGTTCGTCGTCGGCGGCGACACAGGCTCTTCCTGGCCCTGACCGACGATAGCATGAGCCCCGACGTGCTTCTTGAGCAGGTCTTCGAGGTTTCGGATGCGCTGGAGGAGTTCCTGCTGGACTATCTTCGACGATTCCGCCGTGCCAGCGTTCAGCGGGTTGCGCGCCTGGCCCAGGAAGAAGCAGTCCGCCATCCCCAGACCACGGCGTATACAGGTGTCGCACGGCGGTCCATTGCGTGGACAACGGATCTTTCGCTTGCGGCAAGGCTCGCAACTGACCGGCAGCCGCTTGTTCGTGTGTGTCGTGCTGCTCATGGCGATGGCAAACCCGGTTGATCGTGGAGGAAGACACCAGGGATACAGAGACGGCAGGACGCCTGGTCTTTCTTCTGCTTCTCCTTCTTCTCCTTCTTGTTCCTTTTTTGTATGTTGAATATTTTTCCTCTACGCCATCAGGAGTGAGGGGATTTTGGCTCTTGTCAAACGCCTCCGTCAGTTCTGTTTTTTCATATATGTATAGTTATTTATATTGCTTTTGGCTGGCTCCTTTCATCACATATAAAGCCTGCCGATTATTAACCACTGAAGGTGCCGAGGAGGAATTACCTCCCGAGAAGAACAAAAAAGAAAAATAACAGCGAATATATCAAGCAGGGCCTGCCTGAGGAGGGGAAAGATGAGGCGAGTCGCTCATACGCAGTGCGACGGCGATGTTAGACGGTGTCGGCGGCTTGCTGCATCGTACAGCCTTCACATAGAAGTGAAAGAAAGGCGCCGTACGCCCCCCTAACCAGCTATTTTCATATGTTCGCCCGGGATATATTAATATATTATGCCCAAGGGAACAGCTGATGCCAGCTTCGGCTGGAACCGTATCATCGCCCTGGGCAGGTTGTTGCACTGCTTGATAGAAGACTCTTCGATGACCTGGTGAACACCCTTCTAGTTGACATAAGTGGTTATTCCATCTGTCCGAATAGCTTTTCACACCGGGATTGAACCAATATCGCTCTTGGACAGTCGAACATCAGCTGTCAATTGCAGATATAGGAGTACAAGTTTATATCTATACAATTATATGAGCCTTAGCTTGGTAGATGGAGAGGGTACGCTTACCATATCGACGGTGAACAATTTGTCTGACAGCCTGGTATGTGGGCGGAAGGGTCAATAAATATAGATAAACCAGTTTGAAAGGTGAATATATATTGAAAAAACAAATAATTAATTCCAATTAAAGACTATCAAAGGTACCAAATTTCCATAATATCCATACCAAAAGATATAGTTATAGACCCAAAATACTTCCCGTTTTCATTCCATGAAGACCATGTCTGGATGGGATTGAGCGATGATCCATCCTGTTATTTGATATAAATCCACAGTCAATCCAAAACAATCCAAAATCCCAGCCCGATCCTGTAGTAGTCCTCATGTCTGATAAACCAATCCCTCAAGCAAAACAACCAAAAAGAAAAAAATATTCAACTTTAGACATCTGTAGGATCTACAGAAATGCCCGGATGGACCTTGACACTCCATCTATATCCTCAAACACATGCCAGTGGCCGACCTCTTTCAACACAACCGGGGCCTTGCAATTTGGTATAGACGACGCGATAACACTGCATGTAGACGGTGGGCTGACCTTATCCTCATCACCGGTGATGATCAGAGTCTGGCAGGTGAGGCTCCCAAGGTCCAACGACCCAGTTTCATTAGCCAGGGCAGTGCAGGCCCTTGCATAGCACTCTGGGCTCTGGCTCAATAGCGTAGATCGTACCGCCATGTAGGCGGCTGGTTTCCTGGTCTTGGTGAACGTTGATGTGGCAGCCGTGGCAACCGTATCCGCAACAGCAGACATTCCTCTGCCTCTGACCACCGCAGCACGGGCATGAGTGGCATTGCGCCCCGCCGCAGGAAGTGGGCATGGAGGAGGGCCTAGGAGGATGAGTTTGTGAACCAGTCCGGGATTTTGAATTGCGAATACTGTAGCTATGATGCTGCCCATAGACGATCCGATTAGTATCGCTGGCGAGGCCGTTGATATACCCGCTAACGAGAATATACACTTCACGTCGTCAACGAAAGAGGAGATGCTCGGAGTTGACAGGGCGGATGGAGGTGATAGCCCGTGTCCCTCGAGGTCCAGCTGGTGAATTGAATAGGTCTTTGTCAGGCCCAGGGAGGAAATCAAGGGATCGTAATATTCAGATGTGCCCCCGAGGCCATGTAAAAAGACAATCGGAGGCCCAGCCGGGTTTCCATGTTTCTTATAGTAGAGCTGCTTGCCTTCGTCGTTTATTCTGGTCAGTGAACTGCTGTTCCCGATCATGATTGCAGTGTAGGCAGGTCAAATCTCCGGCGTTTTCCTTGTTTTCTTGCTGCCAGACTTATCCTCCCATCTGAAAACTGGCTCTTGAAGGGCTTTATAGAAAAGAAGCCTCCCCCTTCACGCCAAATATGCGGACTTCCGCGTCCATGCCAGCAAAGCGAAAATGCCATGATCGGGGTAACGGTCAAGAAAGAGCGGATGTCAAGGGGATGCGGCCTTCCCCTCCGGCTGACTTGACCATTCGCGGAGATCTAATCTATGCAAATGCGAGCTGTCGTCCCCCAGGCGCGGGAATGATGGAGGAGATGCTCCAACTGCGGACATCGAACTGCTGCCCCTAGCCCACCAAAGGGCCGGCTGATGGGCTTGATGAAGGATTCAGCCATCTGCTTGCTCTTCTTCCTCTGCGATCTGTTCCACTTCTCTCTCCACCACGAGGAAGACGGACATCTGTGCGGACTCCATGTCCATAACTGAGAGCAGATGCAGCTTGACCCACAGATCGAGCTCTTCTCATTCTCTGCTGTCTTCTCTCCGCCTTCTCCGTCATCTCCGTCAAGTGAATGGTTAAGGGTGCTGCCGGCAGTCTCTTCCTTGCTGCATGGAGTGCGTAAGGGGAGAGACTCGTTTTGCTCTGGTCTTCGTTCGCCGACGTGAACATATACTATGTAGAGAGGAGGGCGAGACGAGATGACTTCGTATCCAACAGCGGAAGAGAAATATAAACCATCATGGCCTCATATTCTGCAGTCACATCTGCACGTAGTAAAGATCCCAGTCTTTCTTCACGTCAAGTTGCTGTTCAACTTATTCTCGACCTCGCTCCTCTCCTGTCGTCCTTTTCTATGCATCTGTCGACTTTCTTTCCCCAACTCGAGAGTCTCCTTCATGATCCAGCTTAACGAGCCAGCTACTGCGTTGCCCTTGGAGTTTTCTGTTTAGTTCCCGTCGTCGGCCTTGAAAGTTGGCCCTGAAGTTGGCCCTGAAGTTGGCCGTTTGGGTCGACCTTCAACGTCCTAGAAAACTTCCACCTCAAGGACGAAACAACAACGGAGGACAAAACGAACGAACATTGCTTTCAAGTGCATAGGGAGTAGAAGAGGATGCTGAAAGACTCTTGCAAAGGAAAGCTCTTAAATATATTATGCGACTGAACAGCGACCAGTGAAACGTTTCTATCTTCGTAGCCACGAGCAGTCGCACAGCAACGACTCCCTGCTACGAACATGTTCAACCAGCATCAGATTTCCATCTCTGACGGTTCTTTATTGCTGCTTTCCAGGTCAAGAGGCTTCAGTCCGCTCTGTTTGACCTGGTTTTACAAGAAGAGTCGCAGTTCTCAAGCTTGTCCATTCCCGAGGAGTGACTACAGCGCTCGGAATGCACTGTCTACAGAGCCCAGATATATAGCCTCGGATCCTTTTTCGACATAGTTATACATATATAACTCGCTCGACAGTCTCGCCAAGGGAACAGCCTTCCTCGCTACGGCTTGAAGCCTGGTGGAGGGCTCACTTTGCGTTCACGCAGCCATCGCATCAGCCAACGCGAACAAGGTCCAGGGTTACGGTTTCTCTGCAAGCTGTGACAGACAGAAACTCAGAAGAAGCTTTGCGAATTAGTGGAACACAAAAGTTACAGAGACGCAAAAGGAAAAAGGGGGCTTAACCCTCCATGCTCTTTCTTTTACATACGTTCGCTGGCTTGACATCTTGTCTCAGCTTATGGGAAGATGGATGGACCAACCTGGCTGATAGTCTCCTTGATTGCCACCAAAAGACGTTTCTTTCTACTCTTGAAAAAAAAAAGAAAGGCCAGCATGAAAAAGGGGCTAGAAATAGCCTCCCGTTTCTATATGCCACTATTAGGTATGTATAAAAAACGAGGGCCCTGTGCGCAGAGTAAGAAGGAGCTTGGATGGAGTTTTCCTTCCCCAAAGTCGGTCCTGTGGCGCATCTCGACTGCCTCCATGCAGATGGCTGTTTTCTCATGTCGATCGCCCACCTGCAGCGCCGTTGTATCGTTCGCGGCCCTCCAAGGATGTGTTAGACGGAACTCTCTTCACCGCGTTCAAAGAAGTTCTTGCAGTCTGATGGCTGGGAGGGGGGAAGGGTAACTACAATCCCACGGTCGTGTTTCCAACGGAGAGTCAGCGGAAGAAAAGCATATCTGTCTACCTTCCCAGCGTCTTGATCAGTTTGCAGAAGATTTGCTGAGACACATCCTTGGTTGACGAGTATCTATCGCCCACGTACTGACAGGCCATGGTAGTGCAAAACTCAAGCTGTTGAAAGACATAATTTCTGCAGCCTCCCTTTTTCTGCCTGTCCTGCTCGGGGTGGATCAGTTTGTAAAGCAGAACTCTAAATCGATGCCAGGAATTTGTGCTACCGATGAAAAACTGCCGTTCTCTATAAGAGCAACGGGAGGACATCCTTTGAAACGGCATTCGAGGGAGCGAGCAGCTCCCTTGAACTCGAACTCAGGCTTATAACCACTTTGTCAAGTCATGGCAACGGAAAAGATGGAAGAACCTCCAGTTTCATGGCGCTTGACGGCGAGCAAGATACCCCCTTACGATGGCCCGCCCAGAAACATTGCTACCATCGATGCCCTGGACTTTGGAATCAACCTGACCCCTAAGAAGTATGAGATAGCAGGAACCCATCCAGACTCCAAGATCATGTTCCTAGATGTTGACATTTTGGACTCTACCGGTAAACTACCATATCGTGGCGATGTTCTCATCGAAGGTATGTTAAACCACTCTGATTGGCCCTCTTTAATTAACTATATACACCAAATTATGGACCCGTGGTTAACTGTCGTGTGAAGGAGAGAGAATAACTGCTGTCGGTACCATTCCGGGGAAAGAAGAACTGAAGAAGAATCCGCGGGTGCGGAAGATACTCGGACGTGGCCGCACGTTAATGTCCGGTCTTGGTGATGCACATACGCATCTCTCCTGGAACGGAGGCGATCTTGACCGGCTAGGTCAGCTTGCCGTTGAGGAACATACCTTGCTCACGGCCAGGAGTGCTCATTGTTATGCTGACTCCGGTTACACAATGTATGTACTTATCGCCGTTTTTTTGAGATATTCTGATGTCTCGTTTTCAATCCGTCTGAAACTAGCTTTCTGACGATTCGTTTAAGGTGTTTTGGAGCTGCTGCGGCTAAAGATCGATTGGATGTGGTGATCCGTGATTCTATCAATGCTGGCGATATACCTGGCCCAAGGTGCCTAGCTAATGGGATGGAAATTGCCAGGAGTGATGGAGAACTGGTAGCTGGCATCACTGCATTTGCTGACGGGCCGGAGGAAATGAGAAAGGTTATCAAGCACCATGCCGAGCTTGGGGTTGACCAGATAAAGCTTAGTATGTCTGGTGAGGAGGTAAGCTGAGATTTACTTGCCTGTTTATCTATACCTTTAAACACGTCTGCTAATAATATATTGCAGATCACGGAAACGAGGCATGCGCAAGACTGCTACTTTACCGATGAAGAGACGGCTGCTTGTGTCGACGAGGCCCATAAGCGTGGTATACGCTTATGTGCACATGCCCGGGCTCGGGACTCGGTGAAGATGTGTGTTAAACATGGAGTTGACGTGATATACCATGCCTCATACATCGACGACGAAGGTGAGCCTTCGGACCGCTAAGGATAGCCTGTTTCAATGAAGTGGATGGAAATAATGACATTAACTCTTCAATAGGAATGGATATGCTTGAGAAAAATAAAACAAAACACATCGTTGCACCGGCCCTAAACTGGCTGGTCAATATATTCACCGAAGCAGCGAAGTTTGGTTACACTCCTGAAAAGGCGGAGGAAGTCGGATATCGGAAAGAAAGGGAGGCTGCACTTCTAGCTCTACGGGAAATGCACAGACGTGGTATCGTCATATTACCAGGAGGGTAAGCTCTACTATATAATTCGGCTAACTATTTGAGGATGAATCTGTTAACACGAATGGCAGTGACTACGGCTTCGCCTGGACCCCTCATGGCACCTACGCTAGAGATCTCATGCACTTCCAGGACCTTCTAGGCTTCACATCCCATGAAAGTATTATTTCTGCCACCGCAGGAGTAGCAAAACTGTTCATGCGCGAATATGAACTGGGCAAGATCCTTCCCGGCTATTATGCAGATTGCATATTGGTGGACGGAAATCCACTGGAAGATATTGCTGTTTTACAGGACCACGGAAAGCTAGACGTCATTATCATTAATGGGCGAGTACATAAGATCGGTAAGAAAGACGGTGCTGGGCGGGTCGCTGCCGGTGCAGAAGGAGAGAGCAATGGCAGCGAGAACGGTGTAGGGGACGGAGAGAATGACCAGGAGGAATTTCCAGAAGTTAAAAGGAGTATGCAGAAGCAGTATTGAAGCCCCCCTTGTATGGAAGGTGTAGTTGAAGATTTCACGAATTACGAACCAAGCAGCGTGCCATGACTAGTTTTAGTTTTACTGTTTCACTATGGACTTTCGATGATGTATTTTGGGGCAATCATATTTATTATCAAACGTTGATACGTGATTTGGGGCAGTGAAATTCAATCTCATAATTGTATGGCACCCAATGAGCGAGTATTTACCAGGTTAAATGGAACTTATAGTTGCAGATCATAACTCAATAACAACCGACACCGCTATATAGATTGAAACTTCATTACCATCATGATACATCACAAGGAAGTTATAAAAAGAAATGATACAAAATAAATATGACATCAACAAGGTATATCAATCAGAATCATAAGAATTAACATCATGGCATAACTGGGAAATAACCAACTTGACAAGCCACCCATAACGACAGACATATAAAACACAGAAACTATAACCAACCCCTCTATCTCTTTTCAGGTTTTCTTCTGTTATAAACTTCATTGTGCCATGAAAATATACCTCTCTCTAAAATGCGCTGGCCGGTTTGACGATGAAGTATCAAGAAGCCGGCCATGCTCATCAAATCTAGGAGGAAGTTCAATGGTAGAATCCGAGTCCGGGTCGGTTTCACGCCGAACTTGTGCTGGTGCTGGGTGCTTGGTGGATTCATGATATCTTTCAGGGTAACGGGAAGATGAATAAGAACAGGAATCAGATGTAGCAGCAGATGAAACTGATGAGACACTGTTGCTATCAATGTCATGCTCACGATCATGAGAATGACGAGAACGAGAGTAAAAATTCGATTGGCGATGGTCTCTAGGATGGAGTCGTCTGTCGTAGTCAATAGTTACATCGGAATCAGAAGCAGAATCACTGTCGTCGCTTTCATACCCGTCATAGGACGAGGGAAGGTTAAACTGGACGGATTTACGGCGGGAAGACACTTTGTCCTTGTGGGAGCGTGGAAAGGGTGGAGGCGATGGTGATGAAAGTTCAGATGATGAGGGTGAATTGTTTTGAACGGGGCTTGAAGCGGATGATTCGAATAAAGATCTCTCTGAGGTTCCATTTTCAAACCCTTTATCTCCGGGCCCATTCTCGTTCTGGTGAGATGTCTGTGGAACCTTTACACCTGCTCCTATTAGCCGTGTACTACATAATATTAGACAAGAGTTTGCGGAAACATACATTTTCATCTCCCCTATATCTTGTATATCCGTTGTGCCCAGGAGGTCCTCCTGGGCCCGGGCCGGCAAAGTAACCTGGGCCTGGGGGAGGTCCAGGTGGAGGTGGATATCCTTGCCCCCCAGGTGGCCCTGCTGGGGGAGGAACACCGTAGTATTCCTGTGCTGCTGGAGGATGTTGATATGGAACAGATCCTGGAGGTGGACCAGAAGGCGATGGATATTCCTCTTCGTATGGATCACGGTAGTCCCTGTCATGTTCAGCCCGACCATTATCGTGCTTTCCATCATGGTGATCTACAAGATTTTGTCAGTAAAAATATGTTCTTAATTAGTTAGATTGACTGATTAGGATATGGTCTCTTACGCTTTGCATATTCATGCCCTGCGTATCCGGCGCCCGCGGCAAGGCCAGCGCAGCCAGACCTGTGCTAAGTTACCGGTCCCATGCCTACTGCGTGACGGCTATGACGTCTGTCCTTCCTGTCCTTCCTTCTGCGTCGTCCGTCACTGTCAGATCCGCCGTATTCGGTTGATTCACTGTAAGAATCATGTCTAGAGCGGGTGCGGCTCTTACGTCTGCGTGATGGGCTCCTCTAGCCGAGGCTGATCCAGGGGCCGCCCATAGTAGTCTGGCCGCTGGGGATACGACCATAAGACTGGATCCGCCACCCGTAATGGGATTAAGATCCGGATTGTTGGATTCTATTCGTGATTGCCAAGGCCAGCATGCCACGTGAGACATCATAGTACTAAGAAGTAGACTGAGATCGACGACGCCGGGAACGAGAACGGCGACGTTCTTCTTTCTCGCTCTCATGCTTCTTTTCGGCTTTCTTTTGTTTATTGTTCTCATACATTGCGGCGATGGCTGCGCTGCCCAGTCCCGCAGCAGCAATAGGTATACCCTGCCTTATTCGGCTATGGGATCGAGATCGAGAGCGATGGCCCTTGCGAGAGCGTGACTTGCTGCGGGCATGTTCAACGAGGCCTGCTACGGTAGCTCCAGCAAGGCCGGCTTCTGCCATGCGTTGGTTGCGCTGTTCGCTCGACTTTTTCCTACGCTGCTCCGAGTCCTCTGTGTCGGAGGAGTAAGAGTACGTGGATCGAGAGTCACGCCTGTGGCGTCGACGACGGGAGTGGCTCTTACGGCCGCGACGTTTCTCGGCCTTGAGGGCATTTTCTTTCTCGGCCTTGGATTCCGCATGTTTATGGGCGAGAGCCACGGCACCGGCAATGGCAGCGGCGCCAATTCCAAGGCCGGCAATTGTCTTGGTGTGTGAATGGGCCGAAGACGAACGAGAGCGGTGACGTGAGCGGCTACGGCCATGGCGGGACCGGCTACGGTGATGCTTGCTGTGGTAGCGATGTCTGTGCCGGTAGTGCTCACGATCACGGCCACGATCGAGAGAGTCAGCACGGTGGCGGGACTTGCTGCGATGCTTGGATATGGCGTCTACAGCATATGCGCCCACTGCTCCTGCGCTGAGATCCTTGGTTAAACGTGAAAGGGTGCCAGAGTGCTCTTTTCCCTTGTCCTTTCTGCTATTGCGTCGCCAGAGCTCCGCGGCACCCACACCGGCAAGGGCACCCTCAGCCATGTGTCTGCGGCGGTGGTCATGCTCGTCATCACTGCCATATTCACGGTCGCGGCGATGATGCCGGTGATGGTGCCCTAAACTTGAGCGACTCTCGGAATAACGATCTGAATAGCGATCCGAGTAGCGGTCGTCGATATCGCGAGGATCATCATCGTATTCTCGAATGCGGCGCTCATACCAGTAGTCAGAGTCGTGGGGTGAGCGATGGACCACGGTGCGATCCTCTACACCATCGGTGTGATGGCGGACAATCTGATACTCATGGTCATCATGAGGGGCGTATGTTGACCCCCGGTAGGCTGTCAGGTATTCATTAGATATCGTCATAATAGGAACTTAAGAGGTAGACTATTGGACAGATGAAGTGAAGGAATGAGCTCTGAGGAGAGGGACGGTGAAAACAAGATGAAGAGGAGACCTACAGTCGTGGTCGACGTCAATATATTCATACTCCTGGCGACGGTCCATAGTGCTAAGGCGGCGGGGCAGTATCTCGCTTCCAGAATCGTCGCGGTGGGAACGGGCGTCAGGCGCAATGACGTAGCGTTTAATAGAGTATCTTCCACCGTGTGAAGATCGGGGTTCGGATAGCCGTGAGATTGTATCAAGTTCGTCGTCGTCCTCCTCGTAGTAGTAGCGGTACTCTCTTCCTCGGAAACTCATGCTAAAGAAGACACGGAACCGGGATCGACGGATATTGGCGACTACCAGGAATCCCTTTTATCTGTCAGGGAAGAGGAAAGAATAGACAGACAAGGGATATAGTTATCTCGGCTGGAGCCCAGATTGATAGTATGCGATGATAAGAGCGAGAAACAAGAACAAACGAGGGTGAGCCGTAACCCTTCTGGATAAAGGATTAAAGGAAGTTGGGGCGGGGCAGGGCGCCCGTTGTGCCCAAGTTCAACTATGGCCGATCCCAGCCATGTATCCTATACGCCGGGATACAGGAAAATACACCCTTTCGACTGGACAATGCTAGTATATCCGTGTCATTGCACGGCAAAGACGGTACATCCTCGTACACTGCGATACGGGCACACCAGCATGACATCATTCCAGGATTCCATGATCAACAATTGCTGGCAGATCCAGGTAAATAACATGGCACAAACAGCCCAGCTGGGGCATGGGGCGGAACTATGACTCAGTCAGCATTTGTGAACTGCCCACGGAGATGACGGAAAATGTTTCTTTGATCCTCCAAACTAACTGCTTGCCTTACTATGTATAGATATTGTAGCTGTCTGAGGGATGTTTCCCCAGCCCTGCCGGGCGCTCCTACAGACGTGTCAGAGCTCTTTTACCGCCAGCTGTCGATACACGGCGCCATCTCCTCACTTTCTAGGCCAATGACAGCCTCTCAGGATGCAGCTAGGCGACGTAGATCCGGGGAAGTTCAATCGCGATGTTTGATGCTTGTAGCGAGGATGAAGATGAAGTTGGAAGTTCGACGTCTGGTTTGGCCCAAAGGGGAGGCGGCGGGCCGTGGCAGAACCAAAGCTTTTTTTCGACTTCAACATAAAAACTTGCCACAAAACACTGGCCTACAGAGTACACCATGTTCACGTCGACGCCCGCGGATTCACCGTTCGTTAGCTGCCAGTGGGCAGGTCCATGTGAGCATTGGATACAAACAACTCTAATTGAGCCGTTGAGGACCGCGGAGAAATCCCAAAACTTCGGGAGGCGCCGACAGCTAACGGTTATCATTTAATGATAACGGGAATGTCTAAACGAAGGGCCCGCCTGCTGCTTTACTCTATCGATGGGAGGCGGCGATGCCGGAGATACCGAGCAGCTGAGAAGGCAAAGAGATATGATGTTATTGCGGATGGCAACCCGGTTACGTATCCTGCCTGTTGCCCAGTCAGCAGCACTTCAGGAGAAAAGGTTCAGATATCCACCTGTGATGTTTATGTGCCTGTGTACCTTCGCCACTGATTCTAAGTATAGTTTCCTTGTCGCAGCTCTTTACGCTGTCCCATTTAGGCAGATGTGAGCGTACCATTTCTGGCCCAACGAACCCACACAATGTTTATAGGACAAACGCTCCGGCCTGACAACTTTCCCGAGTAATTAGCAGATACTCGTATCATGTCTTAGCCAACCTAGCTGTCAAATGATCGTTATACGGCAGTGTATTGGTGTGATTGGCAGAATTCATATGTTGAACACTCGTAGGTCCCACGGGGAGTATAACTTCAATCCCATCTCATTATCCGATTGAACTGAGGATAGTTATAACTGTCTAAGAGTATAGCATTTTTATCCCCAGACAGGTGGAAGTCGCATAGGTATTCAACTTATCCTCCAATTTCCGGAAGCTATGCATGACTGGTAATGTTATATAATCAGAAGGATATCTTCGGTAGATGGCCGTGGATATGTTGGGCTCCATTATAAACCCAAAAAACTACAGCCAGATTACCTCGATACTGTAGATGTTTGTCTGGAGTACCATATCAGACTACATTAGCACGGGGGCTGCCGAAAGCTCAGCTCTAAGAATGGGCAAAACCATCTCTCCGGAAGGCATCGCCGCCATCACCAAGGCTATCGATGACAGCTGTGTCGACGGGGTGATGGGACTCCCTGGCGTGACCGTCATGGTGGTCAACAAGCAGGGGGAGGAGCTACTCGCACATATAGCGGGAAGACGAGAAGGCGCAGAGTCTGAGGAGCACTTGGCACTCGACGCGGTGTACTATATGGTGTCCCGCACGAAGATGGTCACTGGCCTTGCCTGCATGCAGCTGGTGGAAAGGGGGAAGTTATCGCTGGACGATGTCGAGGCCGTCGAACGGCTCTGCCCTGAGCTGAAGGAGGTGAAGGTCCTGCAGGATGATGGTACTTTCGTTCCAAAGAAAAGGGATCACTCTTCGCATGCTTCTCTCTCATACCGGTGGGTGGCTTCTTCTATTGACGCAACTGCTGCTTTTATAGACTTACCCGATACATAGCCGGGTTTGGATATTCGAGCCTCAACAAGAAACTAGCAGGATTCAAGGAGAATATCTGTAATATAGAACAGTTTATGCAGCCACTAGTTAATCAGCCAGGCGAAAAGTGGGAGTATGGTGTAAGTGTCTGGCTAATGCTGTATCAATTCCATCTCCGTTCACACTGCCTACTACCAGATCAGCATCGACTGGGCCGGTATACTGGTCGAGCGAGCAACAAAGATGCGACTGGGGACGTATTTTCAGGAAAACATCTTCGACCCTCTGGGAATCAAGCATACGTCTTTTTCCCTGTCTGGCGAGATGAAATCCAAGCTGGTTACCATGCATAAACGACACCCTGATGGGAGCCTCAGCCCAGCAGATGCCCATCCCAGACAAGCCGTCGTGAACGCCGAGACGGAAGAAGAGCAAGAATCTCTCTTCCAGAGTGGCGGCGCTGGCCTCTTTGGCACAATCAGAGACTACTCTAGTATGGACGGCTATTAGTTAATAGTTCGGCGGCCCCCTTGTTCGATAAAAATATACCAACTAACACGGCCTCTTCCTCTCTAGGAATTCTCGCGGCGCTGCTGAATGGCGGGACTTCGCCGACTACAAACTATCCGCCGACACGGTAGAGTCGATGTTCCAGAATCAAGTACCGGACATGCCAGACTTCGCTTCCCAGCTTCTCTCCGCTAACTCCGGAGAGCTGCAACCGTCTGGATGGGGGCTAAGCTTCATGATGAGGGCAGCAATCCCCATGGGCAGAAGCGCCAACAACGCCTTTTGGGCCGGGATGGCCAACTGCTTCTGGTGGTGTGATCGTGATAATGAGGTCGGAGCCTTGATAGCAACGCAGGTTGTACCGACTGGAGATGCTAACATCCTCGAGTCGACTATATATCAACACCTCCGTTAACCCTCCGTATGGACTGGACATTCTCTCGGCCAGACTTCTCCAAGTCTTCTCCTTTCTCTTGGCTTCGACGGCTAGACCCCCTGCAAGGTCAAGGATTTATGTTTTTTTTTTTAGTTAATATGTCAACAAGTTATCGTGCACTCTTTCTTCCCGTCTTGCATGGTCAAGGGCGGTTTTTCCCTGCTTTCCCTCCCACTTCCAGGCTGGTTACATCATACTATGTAGTATCCCCTCGACAAGGATGAAACATGTCTCTCTCCCCGTCTTCACCACCCTCTCCTTCGTTCTCTCTCCTTCTCATCCTCTTGTAGCGATACTTCTTCAGCTGCAGTTTTTATATGCAGCAAAAAGTATCAAGACTTTTCCTCACCGCCGTATTGATATTGTATTATATTACCGGGACAACATTCGGGCCGTCCGCTCAAGTCACTGTCGGGTAAATAGCGCAAGAGTAACCTTAGTCAGCCGTCACTCTTTGTATCGTACCGTCACATAAATACGAGGCCTCGAACTTTTTCTCAACTTCAACTTCTTCAACTTCTTTTATATCCAGAACAAAAAAACGTCCTCGCCAGAATCTCTCGCCTTTCTCGCCTTTTCTCGCCTGTCTGGCTTCGTTCCGGTGGTTTGCTGTCATCGTCTGCCGCTTGCTGCCCAAGCTACGACTCCTGCATCCGCATCACACTCGCAGTAGCCCAATAAACAAGCTTCCGGCATCGAATCTTCAACACCGTCCAAAAAAAAAAAAAAGAAAGGAAGAGAGAAAGGAAAAAAAAATCATCATCGACATCTCTTCCCTCCCCCTCGACTGACTGGGCCTTGTCCCATGTCCAGCTTCACTTCGCTGGCTCCCTAGACCTGCTGCGATCGCTGTCGAGCAGTCCGTCTCCTCCTACTGGCCTCATTCCGGCCCCAGGTTTCTTCGCCTCGCAGTTGACGTGGGCCGCCCTTATTGGGCTCTCTTTTCGCTCTGCCGCAGTCAAGACAGATATATTTCTTTCTTTTATTTCTTTCGAACCGACCCCTTGCTGCTTCAATTCGTGCAGCTTGTTTGGCTGCCCGGGACGAGCCTGGGTCGGTCCGTCGAGCTCGCCCTGCGGAACTGCCCAAGCCTGACGTTAAAACCATCCGGGGAGGGAGGCTGTTTTGCGAGCCCGACCATGATCGTCACCCCTGTATAATCGTTCCAGCACACACCTACGCCTTGTTCCTCCACTTCTAATCGATCCTGGCCCTGACAAATACCATTCTGCGCCGTTCTCTCCCTTTTTTCGCTCCGATTCTAGTCCCTCTTGATACTGGCCAATCTCAACGTTATGGAGTTTTGTTGACCTATGAACGCCTCATTTTGATAACTCCTGCACGCCCAACCCTCGCTGGCCGATCATATCGTGCCAGCACTTGCGTTCCGGATTCGATAACGAGCACAGCTATCTCCGTACTTTGCTCTCTAAAATCCCCATGTCGTCGTCTACCAGCCGCCTCTTATCCCCGTCGAGGCCAGCGCCAGCAGGGCCGTCACCTGATGACGCTGTCAAACAAGACACTCCCCCTTCCGCAGGCCCCGATGGCCGCAGTAGTACCAACGGAAATGGGACCGAGAGTGCACGCGAGCAGCCTCAATCCAGAGCAAATCCCCTAATGCTCCCTCCAACCATACTGCACCCCTCGTCTGCTTCCGCATCTATAGACCCATCATTGCGTCCGAAGCCTCTCCACCTCCATGGCAGACCTCTCCATGCCCCCTCTTCGCCCAATTCCGTGGCTTCCTCGAGAGAGACATCCCCAATACCGCGCATACCGCGCTCGGCCATTGCTCACTCAGCCGCCCATTCATCGGCATCCACATCTCGATCAATCTCCAGGTCGCGGAAGGGTAGCAGGGATCTTAGCATCCCTCGCTCTCCAAGCGGAGGTCCCGCAACTCAAACTCACGGTCAGAACGTTCAGAAGCTGCTTGCGGACGTGAACAAACCCCTTCTGCCTCCGCCAGTCGACACATTAGGACGACTCTCCCCAATTTCTCCCTCGTTTACTAACAAGCCAATTGATTCACAACTCCAACGCTCTCCGGGGCTGAAATCACCCCAGCCACAATCTAATCTATCATCCTTCTGCCTGCCGGACAGCGTTCCTGAATCAACACAACAGAATAAGGAAAAGGATAGCAGATGCCAGAAACAGCAGCAGCAGCAACCACAACAACAACAACAACAACAACAATCGGAAAAACAGGCCGAGGACCCTGAAGATAGCCAGATGTGGAGCATGAATCGTAACCTGTCCCGTACAGGGAGCGTGACAGGTTCTGTGTTAGAAACCGTCGAGGAGGCAGGAACTCCCACACCAACTGACTCACACGTTACCCTTGACTCTAGACTAGATGAGAAAGAAAGGGGGAAAGACGAGGCCCTGTCCAAACCCGGCGGTGAAAGCGGCTCAGACTCCAGCGGAAAGAAGAGAATGGCTCGGCGTCCCTCGGATCCCTATAGAAGAAATGCATCGGCTACAACCCGGCCAACCGCAGGTGATGTACTGCCAAAACGGTCGTTTACCTCACTGAGTTCTACTCGCGGGAAGCCGGGAGAAATCTCCATGACCAACATGACGGTTGAGACCGAGACCGTTAGCTCAGTACCCCAGGTACCCCTTGGCGGCGGAGCAACTGAGCGTGGAGGCACTGGTACATTAAGAGAACGAAGAAGCGATGAAACCATCAGGCCTAAAAAGGAAAAGAAAAAACCACCTAGAAAGACCACAGTGCCACCTGGAGGAAGTAGGTTCCCTTTTCCCTATGTATCGTTCATTGTTCGTTATTTTACTAATAATATATGTGAAGTGTCATCAAAGGCAGATATATTCGAGGCCAAGGTTGCTAGTGCCGTCGATGATGCGGACTCTTCCGATTCTGCAGAGACGTTTGTCTATGAGTCTAATCCCCGTGACCCGCATCCAGCTCGCCAACATAGATATCACTCCAGGACTCCCTCTGCAGCCTCGGCAGTTAGCCAGCTTGATCAGTACGGTGGCCGCACTCGCTCTGCACTTCGTGACACACCCGGTTTTCACGGAATCTCTGGAAAGCGAAGCATGAAGTTTACTAACACCACCTACAACACCTTTGACGGCGACGATAACATGTCTTCTGGACGGGGCAGCTCACGGGCCAATGGCCATAATATACACACCACCAGACACCATACAGGTCGACACGCCCGCAACGGTGCGCATCCATCGCTTTTCGACCATGCACGGTTCTTCTCTTCACAGCAACTGCCAACATCCAAGGGGTTCCGATACTCTTCTGTCAATAGTAACAGTGTACCTCATCGTTTTGCTTCCAAGCAAGACGGCGACTACGGCTACGATTTTGATGCAGAGGGTGCAGACGATGAGCGTGCACCCCTGGTAGGCGGCTCTAATGGTCGTAGCATCCGCTCCCGCCATGGGCGTCGGCCAGGAAGTTCCAGCCTTCGGCAACTAGAGTACATGGAAGAACGGCGTCGTGGATGGTTCGCCAGAATCACGCTCTGCACGCTTCTACTTATCATTATCCTACTCCTCGGTGCAGGGACGGCAGTGTTCGTTGTCGGAGTGACCAAGGCGTTGACCAATGTACAGATCCGTGGTATTCAGAACGTGCTTGCTTCAGAGGCATTGCTAATGATGGACCTGGATGTTCAAGCGGTTAACCCGAACCTCTTCGCCTTGACCGTTAACCATCTAGATGTGAACATATTCGCGAAAAGCAAGTTTCTGGACGCCGAAAGCATAGATTTGGGCAAGGCACGAATACTGCCTCGCACTAGCGATAGTAAATCGCGAGCTCTACTCTCCCTTACGGCGAAGGGAGTAGAGGTAGATTCCGAAAGAGAAACGGTAGAAGGGAAAGTTGACAAAGGCACCGACCCCATCCACGATCCGTCAGAGCCTAATCCACAAACCATGCTCCTGGGCCGCGTTTTCCACCTTGACTCGCCGCTTACATTCACTCCATCGCCGTGGAAGCATCTTGCATCCAATTCAACGGCTCAAATCCGCGTTCCTAAACCTGGTAATAGGACTGAGGAAGGCGGCTCTTTGCGCTGGGAAAAGATCCAGCAACATCCCTTTGAGCTCATTGTGAGGGGTGTTGTGCGGTATGAGCTTCTGCTTAGCTCAATAGTACAGAGTGCGCCTGTCAGTGCAAAAGTTGCCGTTCTGCCAGATAAAGGGAATGCAAAACCTACGCCAACATCGACTTCCACTCCAACCGCACCAACAAAGACAGTCACCGCAAAGGCGTCAACGGAGACTTTGGGCTCTCCTTCCATACTGACCCCTTTGCCCTGACCTGACGCTAAGATTTGCCGGCCAAAGATCCTTTGTACGACCACCTTTGAACTTCCGAATTATTTTAACGAATTTTCTATATCGATTGTCGTTTCGCAAAAGAGAATCATCTTTGCCCCCTTTTTTTATAAGATGATTCTAACGAGTTTCCAGATTATTACTTTGAGCCTGCTTCGGATATTATATTTTGTTAAGCGGTTTTTTTTATAGGAAAACACTTATACCCCTATCGCTTGCTGTTACAATGCATAGCTTTTTAATGCTTTTTTCTTTTATTATTTCGTTTTCCTTGTCTTTGCGCGTTTGTTTTTATGTACATGCTCCGATAAAGGGAAAAACCTGTGTTTCTTTGGCATTGCTAGGGGAAACATCATGACAACAACACCAATGACAACAAAATAGATCGGGGGAAACGGGGAACTATGGGCGCAAGCCGGGATTTTTCTTTTATTTTTCTCGTTTTATTTGTTTATTTTGTCCTTCATTATTTTGGGTCTTTCTATGATGGCCATTCATTGCTATCGCACCACACTCCTTTGATTACTGAGGCAAATGAGGTCTGGCAAGAGGGAGCAATTGGCATTATAAAGCCGAGTTCGTTTGCCTTGCCTTCGTCTGCTTCTTTTTTCCTATGTTATCGGCTTTGATCAGAAACAACAATTGCCATGAATAAAAGACAACCACAACAGATCAAAACAGAATGTGAAGGGATCATGTAGCATATGTATGCAACATTAACACACACAAATGGAAAGACATTTATGGTAATAATTATTTTTACGGGCTAAAATTAGTATTATTTTGTTTAATATTTCTTTGGTCTCCATGGTAAGAAACAAGCAGTTCTAAGGCCCATAAATAACAAAATACTCCAATATGTCTCAATTGAACTTTTATATATAGCTGGATGGATTGCAAAACCCAAAAAATATGCCCATAATGTACTAGAAATTTGTCCAGTCAAATTCCAATCAAACGCTTAAAAATGTCGAAACGCTTCAAAATCCAGCTAACACTTGTGTCCCTATCCTGTGCACTATGCAAAACGAAAAAGATAAATAAGGGTAAGCAGAAGATGCTCTTTATTTTCCCTACCAACGGTATAAATGCTGTCTACACAATGCGGTAAACGCGCTTGGCGACGTAGAAGCAGATTACTGCGAAGACGACCAGTCCGGCGGTGACTAAAATAAGGATATGACGTTAGCCAAGTTTCATGAGAAGTAATTAAACGAAGTTGTAGCGTTTGGAAGCTTACTTGACCAAAACCAGTTGAGGCTTTCAACATCCTGTCCAGGAACCTTGACGTTCATGCCCCACATGCCACAGATGATGTTCATCGGAAGCACGATGGTACCAAGTACTGTAAGCTTGCCCAAGACGTCGGCTGTCTGCTCTTGTCGTTCGTTCATTCGGATGTTTATCTGAGCAAGATAGTTGGAATGAGCGCGAGAGAGTAGTCTAGTATAGAAAAAAGGGTAGAAGTTAAGAAAATGAATAGCACGTTGTATGTGTAGGGGGTTCGTAAAGGGACATACGTTTCGTAGTGAGTCAGATTGCTTGTCATAGTTAGGATGTGATCCTGGATATCGCCTAGGTAAAGCCCAATTTCTGATTTCGGAGCAACCTCCCAATATTCATTGCATCGTTTTGCGAACCCCTTGATAACATCTGCTTTGTTGCCCAGTAGCCTATAAAGCCCCATGACTTTCTTGCGGCATGAACCCACTTGACGAAGCATATTGGATCCGGAACCACTTGCTTCAAGACCTGCTGTCTTTTCATTGTTGTCAATATCCTTGCTGTCGGAATGTAGGCGTAAAATTTTATCGTCAATTTCGTCGACTTCGTCCTCAATGGCGTGAATGAGAGGGCCAAAAACATCGGTGATATCGTCAATGATGGCGTATGATATCCAGTCCGCGCTAAGGATAAGATAATCCTTGAGTTGGCGTATCCTTCGGCGAACATTTGCTGGGTGTGGAGTTCGAGAGAAATGGAAGCTGAGTAGGCCTTCGCGGAAAACTACCACGTACATGTTCACTGGTTCAAGGAAATCAGGACTGTTTACATCCTGCTCGAAGGTCCGGTAGTTGATAAAGTAGTAGTTGCGGAACAGTTCAACCTTCTCGCGGGCTTCTTGCATCATGATATCTTCAGCAGTCAAGGCATGTATCCCGAATGCTTTGGCGATGACTCTCATTTCGCTGTCGGTAGGGCTGAGGACATCAAGCCAGAATGTAGGCCTGGGTCCATATCGTGGCTCCTTCTGCGGGCTCTCATTCCGACTATTACCATTTGTAGTTACGGGTGTAATATCTGGGTTGTCTGACAGAAGATCTGGAGGGTTGTTTGAATTGTGATTGGCATAAGATGCTGACGAGGGTTTATCGCGGTTAGCTGTCCCGTTATATGGACGAGGATCGTCTTCTTCATCTGAAGAATCATCCTCTAGGATTGGGGGTTCGGGAATGAAAAGGTCTCGGAAGGTTTGGCCTGGTTGTTCAAGTTCTGATAAAGTCTGGCTATGCAGAGTGCTTTGGAAGTCCTCATTGAAATACGTGAATCTATACGGTGCTTCCTCTTCTTCGTCATGCTTCCATACAAGATTCCGAGTTCTTAATCTTCCACCGATGAGAACTGGTTCATTGATTCTCTTGGAGCGGGTTGCGCCGCAACGGGCTTCCTTCTCCTGTTGACTCCATTCCTCTAGTACTGAAAGGTCCGGCCATACCCTTCGTGACCTACGTCGGCGTGCTCGCGTGTCTCCACCAGCTGGTACTTGTGATTGGAGGTCTTCTTCGCCAAGATCTGAAAGACCACTGGCAGGAAAACATACATCTTCTTCTACCGGGAGAGTGACGGTCCGACGACGCTGCATGTCAGGGGGGGAGCGGGATAACGATCCATGCCTAGATTGTACCGCTGGTCTTCTAGAACCCGTATCTACATCGACAATTGCATCCATAGGTAGACTGGTCGAACTCATCGCCTCTGGCGACTGTTGCCGAACAAATTCCGGCCCTGTGATCACGGGGCCCTCATAACCCATATCAGGTAATAATTTAGGGCTCCCAGGCATAGAGGGTGGGTTATTGACATCATATCCCTGTCTAGGAACCAAAAGGGTATCAGGCGTGTAGCTATTCTGCGGTGAGCGTCGTGGCGATTGAGCGCCTATTCCGCCCATATTTGCCGACATAGAGAAAGGCGATCTTAATTCACCAGATCCATAACCTCGAGCAACCCCACCGCTCTGAACTGTAGAATTTAGCAACGGTGAACGGTCATCTGCGATGGCAAACTCATCCTCTGGCAAGGTTTCGTGTCTGCGCGCTTTGGTACGTGAGCTAGACGGCGAGTCTACGATAAGCTGGTCTGGACGGAAGCTTTGAGCTAGCCTGCTCTCTCGACGTGGGCGCATCATGGGTTGATTCCTATGGTGTGGAGAGATAAAATATTAGACGACAGCGTATATTAACGGCTTTCAACTACGAACTGCCTTGCTTACCTGTGATCCAGTAAGGCTTCACTCTCAAGGCTGGTCTCACTAAGGTTCCCTCCACCAGCTCTTCGGAGATTGTAGAACGGATGAGAGCGAGTCTCTGTTGGGGAGGGATTCTTCGTATCCTCGTCGCCTTCATTTGGCTGCGTATCGACTCGACTGAGGGGGGACTGGTAGTGCGTAGTTTCCCCAGAGGGAGCAAAAGACGGTCTTCTGTTGCGTTTCTTTCTCGGTGCTCTGTGTCTCCTTTTCTTTGCCGCACTCTTTTCTGCCCCCATGACATTGTTGGTAGGATCCATCTTCAGGCTAGGCCGTTTGAAGAGGAGGTATGGAGTAAGGTGACGATGAATATCATCTGTGGTATTATCCCGGCCGAGATTCCGACGGCCCTTAGGGCACTTTGGAGTCGTATGCAGGGAGAAGGTAAATGGAAAAGGATGTGAAATTCGGCATGGAACAGGGAGAAGAGTCGACAGAAATGTGTGAAGTTGTTGACAATCGATGACTGCAAGCATGACGTTTTTTTTTCTTGCTAGGGCGGTTCAGCGCAAACACTAATACTAATCCAAGCCCCCAAAGGCAAACTGGGCTCTTTTGCCAGCATCAAGTTCCGGGCTCCAGGGCCCGGATCCTTCTCCCATGCAGCCGGTGGTGGGAGTGCGCCTATGTCGCTGTCCAATAACTATGCCGGAATATGTTTCGTGTCATACTGCATATTCTCTGTCGGGCTTGCGGACCAGCTTGGGGTACCTTTCTCCCTGCTTGAAACTGCGTGCCACGCTGATCCGGCATCAGAACCGTCTGTTGCTTGCCGTGAAGAAGTCGGAGAGATCGAAGGAGGGAGATGTAGCCAAAAAGCCATTGGTCAAAATAAAACCAAAGATATTAAATACAGCTACATACATCAAAAATAAGTACAAAAAAGTAAGACATCGTGAGCCTCGTAATCATTATCCGAGAAACAAAAGAAAATATCTACCAAAAGAAGAAAAAGGAAAGAAAGTATTAAAAAAGAGATCACCAACTCCCTGTAAAGTTTTCAAGGCACGCCCAAATGCTAACCGATCCTGTTCATCCCATCCGAATACGTTATTCCAGAAAGATATCCAAAAATAAAAAATAAACATAAACACAAACGCCGTAGTTTCCATGTTCCATGTATTTGAAAGACAAAAGAGGAAATGTCATCAAGAGTATCCCCTGAGCGAACGAGAAGATATGAGTGTGACGCCTCATACTATGTTGCTCGGGTTGCTCGGGTCCATACTGATGGACGGGAAACTTTGAACGGATCTAACGCTCTGTCTATCAGCGCTTAGCCCCTTGGACGATTTCCTATCTTTTGGAGGCCTAGCGACGAGGACTTGGGCAGGACAAACAACTATCTCTTCGTCACCATCGCCCTCATCGCTGCCCTTCTTGACAACCAAAGGGAAGAGAACCATGCGGACGACTGCCCGTTGCGCCTCAAGCTCTTCATTTGAGGTAGTCTCACCGCTGCGTTCGTTCATAAGTGCGGCGTTAAAGTAGACTTTCCTGAGCAATTCGCCATTGGTGTCATATTCAGGCTGTAAGGGAGGCAACATTATGTACTCTGCACGTTGGGTGCGCATCTTGATTGAAAGGTCGACTGCGGACCGCATCACATTCCGAAGAGAGTCAAGCACGGTTTTCTCTAGTTCATGAGGAGGAGGAAGTAGCTTTGAGAGGGTACGGTAGATTTCCTGAACGACAGCCTCCGTATCTTGCGCGCGTAGTTCTTTGAAGGATGGACGTTTGGAAAGAAGGGTTAAAGTAGTGGCTCTCCATTTATGGACTGCGTTTGGCGGGCCAACTTCAGCCAGGTGCTTTTCGAGTGTCTTGAGCTTTTGTCGTTGCTCTCGGTCCATCCCGAATAGGTAGCGGGTGAATATGTATTCCCACATCATCGTCATCGCAACCGACATGAAAACGTCCCTTCGTCTCACACGATCAGAGAGGTATGTGTCAACATCAGTTCCATCTAGGATTGCATTCTCAAACCGGTCAACAATCTTCTCGTCGCGGAGCACACCGGTTGTGCGGCATACGCGCATATCAGAAAATTTAGAGAATCTCAGGACCCATTGCTGGACGTGTTGGCATAGTTTCTGGCAGGCGTTATCAAAATAATCTTCATCATGGAAGACGAGAATGTCGTCTTTGGAGGCGGCTTGGATCTGCTGCTGGAGCTCTTTGATCTTGTGCTGCGCATCTGCTAGGTTGTCGCGCAGTAACTGTATCTCGGCATCCTTATCGGCCAGCGCAGTGCCGACTTCGTGCTTGACCATCTGCTCCAGACCTGAGGATAGCTGGGCGTACTGCGCTCGAACCTTCTCCAGCTCCTGCTGCGATTTCTCCCATTCCTTCTTGTAGTTTGAGCTGTCGCCGCCATCAAGTCCGCGAGAGGCTGCGTAGCTGGCGTTGGCAGCAGCAAGGCCTTCATTGACCTCCGTCAGCCTGGCAATCTCTTTCTTCAGCCAGTCTGACGATTTCTGTAGCTGCTGTATCTCCAGCTCCTTGTTCTGTATGGTCTGGTCACGTGCTTCTAATGCGCGGGCATGCTGCCGCTGGGCGACAGCATGGCTCTCAATTGCTCTTTCGGCAGCAGCTTTCGAGGAGCCAAGCAGACGGTTCTCAGATACGAGCTGGTCGAGACGGGTTTCGAGCTCCTGGAGGCGCTGTAGACTGCGACGGCGGCGCACACTGGGCGGGCGAGTAGGCGACAGCGGCGGGGCGCCCTGGACATCGCCCCATCCTTCCTACATACAGCCTTCCTGTTAGCGAGGATTAAAATCATTGCTTTCAGTAACTGTGATATCTAAACTTACATAAACGTCGGCGGCCATGCCTCGCAGCGGCGCTTTGCCCTTGTCTGTGACCGGATCGTAGGTTGAAGACGATGGAAGTTGTCGCGCTTCTTCTTCTTCTTCGGCTTGTTGGAGGCTGGGGGACGGAGTTCGAGTTCTTCCGCGCCGAAGGTCACGTTGGCTCGCCGCTTTAAGGTCCGTGCTGCGGCTGCTTTTAACTCGACGTAGAAGTTTTGGTGGTGTCGATTCTGGGCTGCGGATGATATCGACATCAGACGCCGTCCTGGCCGGTTGCTGGGCCGGTTTCTTCTTCTCGGGGCCGCGGACGGTGGTGGCGGTGTCTGGGGTCGGCTGGGGGAAGGCTGGAGAAGGCGGGTTTGCGTATGGCGGAGAGATGGTGGAGTGTTCCTTGATCGTTCCTAGGGGAGTCTTGGGCGGAGAGGCGGATCTGGAGGCGGATCTCCCTCGTTCAGCGAGCCCATAGGGGCCTCCAAAGAGAGATGGTGGTTCCAAAGGAGGTCTGGCTTGCTCAGGGGACTTGGATGTGGTGCCTTCAGCCATGGCTGGTTCTATCGTTTCCTTCTCAGGGGTAGGGAGGAGTGCATGGTGGGTGGCAACATCATCAAGAGGCTTATCGTCAGTCTCAATGGGCTTGTACCATCGGCTCGGTGTAGGCGTGGATGGCCGCTCTTCGGGTTCCTCATCCTCCATTACATGACGAGCTGGGGTGGTCATGTAGCCGATGTCCCGGGTCGACGGTGATGAGTGAAAGAGGATGGATGAGGACCGTTCCTTGGTACTTGACTCAACCGAGAAAGGGTCATCATTGTCTGGACACTTGGGAGTCGGTGCCATTGCTTCGGCCTCATCAATTGACCTGTCTTGCATTTCAACGTCCTTGGTTGGCTTGTTAAGCTCCCTTTCGGTACCAGAGGGGCCCTGTACTGGTGTATCGAGGTCCCTGGTGGTTGTTATTTCTTCTCTGGCTGAAGAGCTGATATCTCCAAGGGAAAATTCATGTTGCTGCGACCAGTCGGGCACTTCCGAGGTTTCCACGGCTGCTTCAGTTACGGGTTCAGGTTGGGGGGTTGGTAACTGGGCTTCTGTGTTATCCGGGCTGGGACACTCGAGAACCTGTGCTTTGTTCTTTCGTTTGTTCTTATTCACCCGTTTGCTCACGACCAACGCCGGTAAATCATCCTCCGGCCCGCTCTGTGGTTCTTTTGGGACAGCAAGAGTAGGATCATCGGATTTGACTGGTTCCTCCGGCTCAACAGGTGGCTCACGAGACGCATCCGGGGGACTTTTTTCCGTTACCACAGAAGGCTCTAGACGTTTACCCTTATCTTTGGACTTCTTCTTCCCTTTCCTCTTCGTAACATTCGGGAGGAATTCCTCTTGTTCAGGCATTTTGTCCTTTGGGGCCTCTGTAACGGGTTCCATGGTTTCGATTGGAGCCTCAGGTTCAACAGAAGTTAGGGGGAGCGGCAAATCTTGTGGTTGTTCTGTTTCTACAGCAATTGTTTTGTCCTTCTTCTTGTCTTTGGATTTCTTGCTGGTTGCTGGGAGGGCATCTTCGGCTTCCTGAGGAGGTTCTTCTGGCACAATTTCAGGCTTGTCCAGGAGGTTTTCATGTGCACCCTGAGCACTTGTTATCTCCTGACTGTCTTGTCCTGCAGATCCAGTCCATTCAATATCACCAACCGCACGACCTTTGGCCTTGGCCCTTTCCCCTATTTCACTCGTCGTTGGTATAGGAACGTCTTCCACTTCTAGTTGCTTTGAGAGAAACTCAGGACTTGGCTCCGCCCGTTCGGCTACATCTTGAGGCCTCACATTTGATGGGTCTTGAAACTCCTCCATTTGAAGCAAAGGGGTCTCACTCTTGTCTTCCTCTATGTCCTTGCCCTTGCCTTTTGACTTCTTGCCCTTTTTCCCTTTCCTCCCCTTGGCTTCCTTTGACGAAGTTTCTTCCTCTTGTGTTGAGCCTATTGGGACCTCCGTAGGTGTCTCCATTTCTGTCTTCGCTGTCGGTTCTGGGCCAGGCTCGTTTCCTATTGACACATCTTCAGTCCGTTGTTCTTTCGCTGGGCCAAATTCCACGGGCTGGGTAGCATCTACTGGAAAAACTGGTGCCAGATCGTTAGATTCAGAAGCATCGGCTGTCGTCTGTTTGGGGGGTGGTGTGATTGAATCCTCCATAGATATATCTCTAGTACTATCTTCCATTACTACACCGTGGTCTTGCGATGGATCTTTGGGGGCATCGTCAATATCCATAGCTGAATCTGGTACAAATTCAGATATATCCTCGCTCTTCTCGGGAACAACTTCAGTCTGGGTGGCATCGCCAGAAAAGGCAACTTGATCTGGTTCACGTCTTACTTCTTCCGGTTCATTATGCGGCTCTTTGGGAGTATTGTTAGTTTCGGGCGTCGCTTGGCTGTCTTCCACGACTGGGCGAAAATCATTCGTATCCTTCAGCTTCCCCGGGTCGACCGTCTCAAGGGCTAGTTCAGTTTCCTCAGGGGCCATTTCCACTGGTTTATCTTCTAAGTTCTGCTCACCCTTGGGCATCGTGTCTTCGCTGAAGTCTCCGATATCAGCCGTCATAGAGTCGGGAAGCTCTGACTGCTGGATCTCCGGGGTATCGTTGGTGACTTCATGGTCACCGGAAAGCTGGAGATCCAATGATGCCGTGTCCACCTCTCGTTCGTTGTCAACCTGAGCGTACGGAATAGTATTAGATACATGTTCATGGATATGATCCCAGTCAATAGTTGGCCATACCTCGTCCTCTTTTTGGGCTGCATCCTCGCCAGCAACAGACATGTCAACTTCAGGACAGACGGGAGACTCGACAGGCTTCTCGGTGTCCTTCTTTTCTTCCGCAGCGGAGCTTTTAGCTTCACCATCCAGGCTGCCGATGTTTTTCTTTTTCTTTTTCTTATTTTTCTTCGAAGATTGTTCCGGTACTGTTGGTTCCAGAACAATTTCTTCTTTATTCTCTTCTTTTCCCAGCTCAATCTCCTTCATATCGTCGTCAGCACCGGGATCAGTAGACGCAGCTACCATACCTTTACCGCGCTTCTTCTGTTTCTTCGATTTCTTCGTTGAGCCAGAGACTTCTCCCCAGGCGGCTTGGTCCTTGGTTGTAGCCGTCACAACGGGAGCTTCAGGCAGGGCAGAGCTATTTTCTTGTGAGGTTGAGGTAGGCAGAGAGGGAATATCTCTTTCGATAGAATCAGCTGCCACGACCGTCGAAATGGGTCGTTCTTCCATTTCATATTCTTCCCCGGTAGCAGCTTCATCTGGCTTTTCAGTGATTTGGGCATCAACGGATCTGTCGATATTTATATCTTCAACCATACCAGCCGTGGCATCTAGCACGCCCGGGATTGGACTGGGTTCCTCGGTACCCTTCCCCAAATCCTCTTCAAGGACGTCAATTGCAGCTTTCCGAGCCTTCTTCTTGGCAGCTTTCTGCTCCTTTTTCGAAAGCGCACGAAGCGGTTTCTCCTCCGTTTCAGCAGCGGCGGGTTCTGGGGCGTTATGTTCTTCAGGTAAATTTATCACATTACCCTCCGGTGCTTCAGGACCAACTTCAGGTTCTTGCTCAAGGACCACATCCTTCTTCTTCTTCTTCTTCTCTTTTTTGGAGCTCTTGCCTACATGTTGAGTTGGTAGTTCATCAATTACCATTTCAGGCTCGGGTGCAGAGCTGATTGGGGCATCTCCAATCAAGTGGCCATCTAAAGGAGCGGCCGAAGAATCATGAACATTAGGTATTGGATTTTCAGTAGGGTCAAGAGGTAAATCGGCTTCAGTATTTGGAACTTCTGTTGGGGGCTCATCTGCAGTATCAAGAACTATATCTATTCTCGCAGCCTGTGGGAGTTCGGTAGACTGTTGTTCGTAAGGTTTCGTTGAACTAGCGAAATAAATTGTCTCAGAAGTTGAGGTAGGGGTTTCATTCTGCATTTCCTGGGTTTCCCGCTGAATGATGGATTCGGGACACGTCTCTTCCACTAAACCCTTTGCCCCAGTTAAGGCTTCAGGATTGTCCTCCAATTCTTGTTCTGTAGGCAACGTAGGCGGTAGGGGAATTGATATTGATTGATCTTGCGGCTCAGGAACTGAAGATTCGTTAAGTGCATCCCCTAGACCAATTGGTGATAAGTCTTTACTCTCATTAGGTAGTGGTTCGGCAGGATTCTCAGCGGCGCTCTCTTGGATATGTTCCTTATTTTGGTCATCAAGAGATTGCCCCGGTCCAGTGCACTCGACCTCCTTGGGTGTTTCAATACCTTCTTGACCTGTTTCCCCCGGGGGCACAATTTGTTCTGTGTCCGTTTCCATTGATTCCGGGAGAGGAATTAATTCGGGATTGGCAGTTTCATCAATGGGAGCTGATACTGGTTCCTCAGCAGTGGCTATCATATCCTCGGGGTAAACATCAACATCGGTCGGGCGGTCTGATGGCTTGGGCTTCGATACGGCCAGGTCTAATTCGGTGGCATCGGGGGGATTGTTTGAGGCGTCATTTCGTAATAAAGCATCCGTGGCATCGGGCGTGGCATCAAATTCTTTGGGAGGTTCTTCATTAATAAATAACGATCGTTGCTGAGACTCAAACTCCGTAGGAGGGATTGCAGGCCCATTATCAACCTGCGTAGGCGGAATTACATCAGTCCAACCAGAATCTTTAGCCTTTTTCTTACTTTTGCTCTTCTTAGATATAGAGAGTTGAAAATCTTTACCGTCCTCGTCTGGATTGCTAATTTTATTTTCACCACCGGCTCCTTCGGGACCAGTTACTGTTGTAGAATCTCCTTGGTCGATGTCTATATCAGCAGTACCTTGGCTGATCGAACTGGGCTCAATTGACGGTCCCACTTGATCTTCAGGTTGTTTTTCAATATCTTCTTGCACAGGTTCAATAGAAGAAGACATGGGCTCCGGCGCGACAGCACCTCCGGTTGGAATGGGGATCTCTGGCTGGGTTTTTTCACCCGATATTTCGGTGTCTTGGGGAACCTCCTCTGTCCAGTCCATCGGTTGCTTTAATTTTTTGCCCTTTTTTGCCTTCTTCTTCTCCTTCGCTGTCAAAGGTTGCTCGAAAGGGGTCTCCGCCGAAGCGTTATCAACGCCTGAGGCCTCCTGGCTCAAGGGTGTCACATCTATATTATCTGGATCAAGAGGCGCTTTCACAGGCTGAGATTCACTTTCCCAAGGTTGAGGCTCTTGGTTTCTCTTTTTCTTTTTTTTCTCCTTAGCTGACAGAGGTTTTTCTGTAGAAGTTTCGACCGATATGGAATCAGTACCAAATGCCTCGTCGAGAATGCTTTCAGAGGGCGGTGGAACCTCTTTAGACGGCTCAGGCTCATGTTCCAAAGGCGCTGGCTTTTTCTCGTTCTTCTTCTTCTTCTTTTTCTTTTCCTTAGCCGACAGAGGAGTTTCCGGAGATGGTTCTTCCATGACGGTATCGATTCCCACAGCCTCTTCGCCCAAAGATTCCACAGGGAGGCTTTCCGAGGGATGCACTGCCTCTTTAGGCTCAGATACATCTTCCAAGGGCAGTGGATCCTGGTTCATTTCCGCTTCTTTCTCTATAGAAGGCTCTTCAACAGGATTCTCCACGGAATGGGTATCTATTTCCAAGGCTTGGTCCTTTGGGGTTTCAATAGGAGATGTTTTAGGAGCATCAGACGTTGTTATGGACTGGGATTCCTCAGACAAAGATAATTGTTTTTCACGTTTCTTCTGCTTTTTCTTTTCTTTGGCTGTAAGAGGCTTTGCGGTTGGCGTTTCCAGCGTGGACTGATCATCCATAGAACCAGTAGGGGGCTCTTCAACGGGAGTTGGTGTATCTACCGCCTCGGGTTTGTCATCCTCCAAAGTTTTGGATTGGCCTTTCTTTTTCTTCTTTTTCTTTTTTTCTTTCAGTGAAGGAGCCATATTGGTTGACGGTTCCGCGGGAGCGTCGTCTACAGGATCAATTGCCTTATCCTCTAAATTCTCTACTAGCTCTCCTTCTAAAGATTCAGAGGGTTCATCAGCTTGAGATTTTAGCTGGCTGTCGTCCACAAGGTCGGCGGATTCATGCTCCCGGGTTTCTGAACTTTTATTTGCTTGCGGTTCAGGCTGTTCCTCCTCTTGTTCTCCCAAAGCTTTCTCCTGAGGCCCCGACTGTTTCTCGTCTGAAAATTCGACTGGTCCATTCTCCTGGAGCTCTGGAGCCGCAAGTTCCGGTTGTTTTTCCTCCGTAGGCTCGATTGGCTGAGGCTCTGGAGTGTCGGTTTCTGGCTGCCTTTCCCCTGTAGACTCGATGGGCTTAGGCTCATGGAGTTCAAATGGATAAGATTCTGACTGTTTGTTATCCAAAGGTTGGGCAGGATCGTACTCTTGAGGGGCGGAGTCCTGAATCTTATGTGTTTCTGGCAGCTTATCCTCAACCAGCGTGGTGGGCTCATCTTGCTTGGTTTCCAAGTCCAAGCTTTGCTGAGTTTCTAGCTGTTTTTCCTCCACGAGTTCGGCGGACCCATACGCTTGAGATTCATGGAGGTTAGGGTCCTGCTTTATCTCCCCGAGTTCGATGGCCTCATAGGGTTGAGAATCGGAAGGATTGTCCTCAAGAGATTCTGCTGGCGAAACTTTAATATGAGAAGGTACTTCTGTAGCATGAGGCGTATTATCCTGTGATTCTGAGGGCACCCCTTGGCGAGGCTCGGGCAACCTATCGGTGGACAAAGGTTCCTGGGATTCCGTATCCCGCTCACTTTCCATCGGTTTATTCTCGAGAGGGCCCGCTGGTGAATTATCAAGAGGTTCCGGAGTCTCTATGGCTTGAGACCCATCATCAACAGAGAGCGACTGGCCTTTTTTCTTTTTCTTTTTCCTCTTCTCCTTGGCTGTTAAAGGCGCCTCAGCCGGAATTTCCGCGACTGCATTGTCAATGGATGGCAGTTTGTCTTCTAGGGGCTCTACAGGAGCATCCGGTTGGTCCTCTGCTGCTTTAGCTTCAGAGGGTTCTGGGGGCTTATCATCCGGCGGTCCTGTGGGTGTGCCCTTCTCAAGCTCCGCGGGCTTATCTTGTTGAGGCTCCTCTGCCGGTGTCTCTTCAAGAGGAACTGGTGCTTCAACAGCTTGAGACCCATCGTCTAATGACTGAGATCGATTCTTCTTCTTTTTCTTTTTCTTCTCCTTTACTGGCAAGGGTTTATCAAGAGACGCCTCCTTTGAGATATTGTAGGAGTCTGCTGGTTTCTCGATCGAAGGTTCCAAAGCCTGTGGATCTTTAGGACTTTCTAGTGGCTCCTCGGTTAAATGTAGGGAAGGTTGAGGTTCAACCAGGGTGTCATCAATAGGTAATGACTGCTCATTTGATGGTTCCAAGGGCTGGGGTTCAGTTACCGTTTTGTCGTCATCTGGTGCCTGTTCATTTTGAGAGGCTTCCAAGGGCTGAGACTCCATGGGCGTCTTATCTACATCATCCGATACAAGCTCATTTGATGGTTCCAAATACTGCGGCTCCGTTTTCCAGTCATCTACACCTGATGGATGTTCGCTCACTTGTTCCAGGGTTTGCGGTTCCGCCGATATACCATCAGCGCCTTCTACCTGTTCACTAGATGCTTCTAGAGGCTCTAGTTCTGTTGGCAAATTATCAACGCTTGATGGTTCTTCGGCCAGGTGCTCGGCAGGCTGAGTATCCTTAGCCTCATCTTTGGCCTCCGGCAGACCAGTATCCTCGGGCTCAGCATCGTCTTCAGGAGCAGTAGGCGTAGCGCATGGCCCAGCAAGCTGGGTTTCCTCATCCGCAGTTAATGCTCCTCGGTTCTTTTTCTTTTTCTTCTTTTCCTTAGCTGTTAATGGTTTCTCGACAGAAGTTTCCGCTGGAGCATTATCAGCGTTTAACGACCGGTCTCCCTGGGATTCCAAAGGCTGCTCTTCAGCGGGAAGGTCATCTGTGATGGATGGCTCGTTGTCCAAAACCTTGGGCGGTTGCTCTTCGGCAGGCTTAGCTGGCTCTGCGCCCTCAGGTTCATTTTCCCCAGGCAGGGCTTCGCGATTCTTTTTGGACTTCTTCCCCTTCTTATCCTTCTTGGATTTGGCAGGCTTTATAACTTCTTCAGTGGAGGGGATTTTCTCTGCTTGCAGGCCTGATTCATCGACAGGGGATTTGAATTGCATGGTTTCACTTTCTTCGGCACCCTTCACGATATTTGAATCTTTCTCGCCAGAGGTTCCGTCATCTATCTCCAATTGAGCAGAGTCTTCACGCTCAGCATCTATTGGCAATGTATCCTCTTTGAGCGGCTCTCCTTTCTCAAATGAGACGTCGACGGGTATATCCTCTGACTTCTCTTCCACAGAATCAGGGCCAACACCTGGAAGGTCGTTTTCCCCTTTATCTATCGGCTGGTCTTCACCAATATCTTTAGGAACTGCTGTTTTGTCTTGAACCTCCAATGCAATATTTTCGACGTCCCCTTCGACTGTGCTTGCCTCAGGAACGGTTTCTCCCGGGGCATCAGCAGATGCTTGCTTTTTCTTGTCCTTTTTCTTTTGCTTTTTGGATTGTTTCGACGCTGACCGCACATCGAATTGATCGAATTGAGAGCTGCTGTCACCAGGAATATGTGGTGGACTATCATTGGCTATCTCTCCAGCTTCGGCCGCATTAGCGCCTGCAGCTGTTGACAAGGGTAAATCCCTGGCTCCCTCCGCCTCAAGTGGTTGTTCATCAATGGCCGGTGGTTCAGGAATCTCTTCATTCGAGGCGACAGCCGGAGCCCCTTCAGCGTCATTAAATCTCACTGGTACTTCTGATGGTTCGACGGATGTTGATGCTTCATTCTCAAGAGAATTGGCATTTTTACGGTCCTTTTTCCCCTTCTTACCTTTCTTCTTCTTCTGCTTAGGTTCAGACTCCGCCACTTCTTCAGGTTTGTCTGCAAAGGTAGGTTCCGGCTCCTTACCCGCCAGCTCATCTAGATTTTCATGCTTGGCATGAGCATTCACATCTTGAACAGTATCGAAAAACACGTCAGGATCACTTTGGTCGCCCTTTTCGTATGTTTGGTTGGTTGGGCTGGGAGCTGGACCAGCTGCATCATTCGTTTTATCCTCCGAAACCTCACTGTGGCCCGGAGCGTCGGTGGTCGCAGGAGATTGTAACTCACGGGTGTCCTGGCCTATGAGCAGACCTTCATCAACAGGAGAGGCAATAGCTGGCTTTGGGCTGGCAGTGGTATCAAGCAATTCTTCGTTCCCCGGTTCTATCTCTCGTACATCAGTGGCCCCATGAAGTGCATCAGTTTCGATCGCCAGATCATTCGGATGGATGGAAGGTAAGGTGTTATTCATATTATCACGTAGCATTGGTTGCTTTGTCTCTGTTTCACCCGATTCTTCCAAAATATCAGCTTCATCTAAGCTGGGTTCTGGCAACGGTAAATCCTGTGGGTTCTGCAGAGGACTACCAGGCAGAAGTATCGCTTGCTCTTTTGTGCCATCATCAACTTGCGTTGCCGGCTGTGTCTGATCCTGGGCAGGATTGAGGGCATCAATTTCATTGAGATCCGAAGGGGGAAGAGGAATATCTTCCGGAAGAGCCTCCATTGGAACAGGGTCAACTTCACCAGAAAAGAAAGGCTGAGTGGTTACTTCATTCTCCTGTGGATGACCTTGTTGACCTTCCTCGGAAACACTAGCCGTAGGATATTCCGGGTCACCAGCACCTTCTTCCTTTTCGGCTGGCTGAGGTTCAGTAGGGCTGTTTTGTTTATCCAGAGGATTCACTAAGCCAGCGGGTTCATCATCTGCTAGTCCTCTTGCTACTTCCACAAGGCTATCAGGGACAGCATCCACAATATCTTGATTGTCGTGTTGCGATTGCGGATGAATGTCAGTGGCAGAGCTGATCACAGCATCATCCCGCTCAATATTAACTGTTTCGCTCGCGGGAGCTTCCGAAACTCGATCCTCAATAATTGCTGTTTCTTCCTTTGATGGAGTAGGAATGGTAGCCGAAGGCTCATCAGCCTTTTGCCTAGGCTCCTCAACAGGATCTGCCACGATTTTATTCTTTCGCCCTTTTTTACTTTTGCTCTTCTTACCCTTAGATTTAGCCGCAGGTTCGGGCGCTGGTTCCTGTTTTAGGGACTCCGCTTTGCTTTCTTCGCTAATGGTAATTTCTTCGGCCGGGGCCTGATCAGTAATTGTGGAAGATATGGGATCAATTGAGTTATCTATCAGTGGCTCCCTCTCCGTTTCAGGCTCGGGGGCAGGTTCAGGAATTGGATCTGCAGGAACATCAAGCTCTGTAGGCGGTGCAGTAGAAATTGCCTCTGTATCACTATCTCTCTTTTTCTTTTTCTTGTTATTTTTAGATTTTGATGGCTCTGGGGCTTCAGGCTCTTGAGTTTCTTCTGCCATAGGATCTAGTTCGGGTTCCTTTCCAAATAAGTCATCCTTTTGTACAGTCATGACAGATTCGGCGTCTGTGTCGTTGGAGATATTCTCTGCCTCCGGTACAACAGGAGCTGGCAACTCAGTAGTGGACGGGATAATGACATTTGCTTCACGGGGCAGGTAGTCCATCACTGGATGAGTTGGTGTAGTGGGTGAATCAACATCTCTCTGATATGATGGGCTCATAGGTGCCTGACTGCTGGCATCCACGAAGTGGTCTTCATCGACTGATCCGTATTCACTAGCCTCGCTGGCACGATAAGTGGGCGACCCCTGAGTAGGCGTAACAGGGGCTGAATCTGGAACTGGAATATCCATAGGAATGTCGTTTGAAACTTCATCTAGTCTACGATGAGTCGGTTGCGGAGTCAAAGAACGGTCAATATCCTCTGCCAATACGTCATGTTCCACCTCCTTACCAGCGCTGGGGCTGGATGGACGGCTATCAGGAAGTGATGGGAGCTGCTCAGAAGAGACTGTTACGGCTGGCTTTTTTGATGCATCTGCTAACTCAACAACGCGTTCATTATTTGAAGATGTTGATGCACCATGACCAGTGTCAGGGGTGGCTCTATCCAACTCGCCCGATACAGGAAGGTCTTCATGGATTGGCGACTCAGGCAAAGGTGGCAGGTTCTGTAAATCTATATCGTCCAACCCCATTTTCCTATCATCATCGTGAATCACAGTACCTTCTGGGGACGGTGGTACATCGTTCAATGCAGATTTGGACATCTCCATGTTAAGCATCGGATCCCGCAAAAGCTCAGAGGGGGAATGGAACTCATATTTCGGCTTCTCCTTTCTCCCCTTTTCTTGGTGTTTAAACGCGTGCGCGGTCGGCGTGGCTTGCTGAGAACCTAGGATATCTACCTCATGAGAAGAGTGGTCAGTCGCAATTTGCAACGATGGTCGGCGTCTTGGGGTTGAGAATAAATCCGTGGACTCTACACCATCAAGAGCTTTGGCTCGTAAATTCTCAACCGATGATACTCGGGACGTAGATTTACTTGAGGGTAGAGATGGGTATGACTCCTCCACTGGATGTTCGGCTTTGCTGGTGTGCCGTTCAACAAGCCATAATGGTCTAAACTCACGGGACGTCTTAAACTCGGTGGACCTGGGCCGTTTATGTCCAGATCTAGGCCTGCTAGGGGAAACCTGGCTGTCATGAGTTGCCCTGTCGGGGGTCGAAGGTGGCCGCCGAAGCTGTATTGGAATTGCGGTTGGGGAGCTGTTGAGGTCGCCAAAATTGAAGCCGCGCCAGGATACCCTTTTTGCAGTATCAGGTGGTGAGCGTGATGGCGATGAAGGCCTGCTACGAGACTGAGTAGGCAAATCGACAATCTTCTCACCAGGCAAGGGGGTAACAGAGCGGCTTCGGCAACGAGATGGCAGGTTTAGCTGCAGAGGAAATGCTGAAACGGGAGCTGGGACGTTATCTAAGGCCTTTTCAACTGTGATATTTGTACCCTGTCCCAAAATACTATCATGGACGGAGGGTATTTCAGGGCTATCTTCTAGAAAAGGTCTTGGGGATTGGCTCTTATCCAAAGATTCGTCAATTTGTTGTTTAGCACTACTGATATCATGGAGATTTTTGTCCTGAGAGTTCTTGTCAGCTAATAGAAATGGCATTATTAACGACTATTAGTAGTTACATACTTCATTATTGCTTGCTTTCCCGGATTCGACTATTTGCTCATATCGACTTTTACGATTCTTTTTCCGATCTTTACTCTTCTGCCTTTGTTGATCGCCATAAGCTGCGCCTTCTGGGTTTACTGATTCAATATTTTGCGAGGTAGGTAAATCATTTTCATCTGCTTTGATTTCATCATCATCAGCACGGCGATTTTTCTTCGACTTCTTCTTTGAACTTGAAATTTCTGATGGCGGAGGGGATTGATCCCTTTCTTGCACAGGTTCCTCCTTTTCAGCAGAAGAGCCGATTAGTCCAAAAAGTTCTTGAGACTTCTCGTTGCTGTTTGCATAGTCCTTTGCTGTCTCTGATTTAGCACGGGGAGGAATTATCAATGAATCGTCGTCTTCAGGCTTCGAGGGCCAGGCAACATCAGATTGGGATTCGATGAGTTCACTGTATTGATGTGAGCGGCGTTTTGATTTAGATGACCCCCTTTCCAGACTTCCACTACTCTCTGGTAGAGAGGCAAGGGCAGGATCTTTAGCATTATGATCAGGGTGTTCATCTATTTCGACACTACGAGTACTGGGTTCCGCAGTCTCACTTGTGAAGGGCTCTGTTTCATCCGCGGTTCGGCGTTTTTTCTTCCCTTTAGACATTTTTTGGGATTTTTCAGGGACTGTAAACTCCGGTTTTTCTGTTGGCAGAGACTTTTCAGGCGTAAAAAACATACCTCCTCGGTTGTCGGTACCGTCCCCAGCCAGAACGTCATCAAAATTCCCCGGCATGGAGGTACGAAGTGCGTTATCTAGCTTATGGTCCTCAACATTGCGAGCGGCATAACCACTGTTTGCTTCAAAGGCCGAAGGCACAGTAGGAGGCGTTAGGTCCTCTTCAGCATCTTGCCATCTCTCAGGCTCGTGCGCAGGTACTTCTTCGCGCTCATCTACCACTCCCTTAAGATCCATGTCATGAAGACCCTTGCCTGCCTTATCTTCATCGTCAAACAAGCCTCGATTCATAGGCGTCGGTTCATCAACAGGGTCAACTTCCACTTCGCGAGGCACTTCTGTAGGTTGCGGTTGGGTATAGGCAGACTCTTCTTCCCAATCCGGTTCAAGTGGTGCCTCACCGGGGGTCTTGCCCTTCTTTTTAGCAGCCTTCAGCTTCTTCTTATTTTTCTTGCCGGGCTTGGCAGTTGTATCTTCGGGCATCCCATGGCTGGAAGGATCAGGCCGCGTGGTTTCCATGTCTCGAGGAAGAATGCCCGGTGTTATTCCACTAGGAGTATCTATGGTTCGATCAAGAGGGCCATGATACTTAGAGCCTTGGTTTGCATCATTATTGGATGGTGGTAGTGATTCCCGTTCACCAAATCCACGAGCAGGAGATACCGGGGTTTGACCGTGAATACCGCCCAGGCCACCCTCACCCTCTGACCCAGGAGGCGAGACACGAGAATAATAAGCCGGGTTACCTGTGACAATAGATGGATCAAACCCTGACATGGCAGTACCAGCGGCAATGGTGGCAGCGAATTCTATATCGTCGTCGAATTCACCGGGCATATGGTGAGGAGGCGAAGGCACCTCAAAGCTGGGTTCACGGGAGTCACTCTCTGGGGGGGCAATTTCGAAATCTTTTTCGTCTGGTTTCTTCGCGGCTCCGGCGACGTCATGTAAAGTAATTCCAGAGGATGCAGTATGGCCGATATCTGCATGTTGTTCTATTTCGTGAGCATCGCGGTCTGCCGTAGCGTCATCTTTATCGTGATGAACTGTGGGTATTTCAGGAACATAGACAACAGGGTCAGCAACACGACGTTCCTTTGGCTCACTAGCATCGCCCAAGAGAGAACTAGTCCGGCTATGAGGTGGTGTAGGTTCGATGATATTTAGATGAGGAACTGGCCAAGGTAAACTTGTGCTTTTGACTGGTTCATCCCTTAGAAGTTCGCGGTCAAGCCCACCGCTACGAGGTTCAATAACACGGAATCTAGGGCCTCCCGGTTGAGCTGTTGGAGTGGGTTCAGGAACAGTCTCGCTACCGGATTTACGAAGCTCAGGAGGAGCGAAGTAGTCCGCATAGCTTTCGTAAGTTGGCTTGGTTTTGGGGTTGGGGACCGGCTTCTCCGCTATATCTCGAGGCTCTTCAATGATACCACCAGGTAAATTAAAACGTTTTCTGGATGTGGTTGACGGTCCGGCGTCAGAAGATTCAGGATAGCTGCTGCATTCTTCCTTTTCACGCCTTTTATCTTTCAATATATGACCAGCCGCTACAGTAGCAGCGCCAGCAACGACTGGAATAGTGACTCTGGCAGGCAAACCCCATGAGCTAGTATCCTTTCCATCAAGCGGTTCCTCAAGCGTTTCCGCAGGTAGCGGTGGAGAGATATCCCTTTCCTCGCTACGATGAAGGCGCTTAGGCTTGGGTTTCCAGCTCTCTGGGTCTGACATGGGTTCTTCGGCTCGCTGATAAGGTCTGGCTTTTTCACTTTCTAATTCAAGTTGGCGCTGTTCCTTGTCCTGTTGTTCCTTGGTCAATTCAAATTGGACACCTTTGGCCGTGGAGCTACGTTTAGGAATCTCTACCTCGGTGATATAAGAGTAGTAGCTGTCGAGGACTGGAGAAGAGCCTCGCCTTCTGCGTTCTGGCTTCTTTGCAGGTATATCACTATCATCGAAGTAACTCCTTGGTTTCTTGGGCTTAACGACACTCGTGTCCCCAGATGGGTCTACCACCGGCCCCTGATCATATTTGCCCGGCAGCGAAGAGGGTAGAGCTGGCATTGTTTGCTTTTGTCGATGGCGCTCCGCGCCTATGTTACTGACCGAATCCTTGGGGAGTTTAGCATCGTGATGTTCATGGTTACTCCCAGGCGACGGGACTAATGTTAAAGGCATATCTTTGGTTTGGTGTTCGTCAATTGGCAGATTTCCCACAGAGTCCTTCAAGGGGTGATCATTGTAATATTCATCCGCCGTTCCTATCACTGCCGCACCTGCTGCTGCGGCTGCCGCAGCCGGTGCTATTTCGTTGAAGGCATGTTTGGTCTTCTCACCTTCAGGCTCCTTTTGAGAGTAGAAAGGACTAGGGATGGGGACTACTGGCTTTGGCTGGTCGACTTCTGTGGCTTCCGAGTTGGAGATGTACATTGGCTTTGCCGTGTCTAAATCTGTCGGGCCACCAGTGGAGGAATTACGTGCATTGCGAAAAGGTACCAATGATTGTTCGGGAGCCGGAATAGGATCGATGTTTTGCATAGAAGGGAGGCTGGGAAAGCTGCTGGATGGTGGAGGGTATGAGGCTTGAGAATCTCGCCCGTTGGCATTGTTTTTGTACGGGTAGGATGGAGATTGCCGTCTCTTCTTTTTCGAAGTCCCCCATCGCCATCGCCATTTTGAAGCCCCGGAGTCGGACGTGAATGAGTCTCGACTGCGAGATGACGGTCCTCCGTATGCGAGCCCGGAGTCTGCTGAGGAAAATTCATCTGATACCGATTCCCAGTTGTCATCTGCAGCGATCTGGTTTCTATTGTTGGGTTTTCGATCCTTGACTGCAATGAGGCCTTGCTGCCGTCGTCTATTCCCAATTGATGCTGTGGCTGCAAGTCCTGCAGCAGTCGCACCCAGGCCTATAAGCTTCGCATCAATATCCTCGTCACGCTTCCGGCCTTTGCCCTTTTTTGGAGCCCGTGATTTGAGAAAGCCGGATCCGAATGCAAGGTCAGCATCGTCTGATGATGAGTAAGTTGATCCAAGGCCGAAAAAGTTCCTCTGTCTTTTGCGAGGGCTGGTCCTACGGGTTCGAGATTTCTCTGATGGCGCCGTAAAGAAGGTTGAAAAGCTTGCTAGTCCCTTCTTAGTCGGAGGGCGAGAGATATCGACCATTGAAGAGCTGGATGACGAAGAGTACCGTCGACGGAACTTTCTAGGGGATCTGCTTCTGCTGTTACCGCGCACCTTTCTCCCCTTGCGTCCGTGGCTCATTGATGATACTGCCGCAGCTGTACCCAGCGCCCCAGCCGCGATGGCAGCGGACCTCACCCCATGGCTAGATTTGCCATCGCTGGATGAAGAGCTTGATCGATCGCGCCGTTGATGTCCTTCAGACTTGGATCTCAAATGGCCCGATATGGACGGCTTGGAAACATCACTCTTAGATTCGTACCTACCAAACCTCTGCCTACCTCCTATGGTAGATGGCGGATAGGAGCGTTCCGATATGGCAGTCTGTCCATACGAAGCAGGCCCCCGGCCTCCTACACTTGAAGAAGAAGATGATTTCGTGCGACGAATGGATGGAGAGCGATCACGACGGTCATTCTTCCTCTTATCAAAGAGTGTTTTGCCCACATATGCAGCCAGGCCAGCAGCCAACCACGATTTTCGGTTCGAGCTCTTGTGGTGGCCATCTTCCTCAGAGGAGCCATAGCGACTCAGCTTGTCAACTCTAGACCTGCCGCCGAAGCTGTCATTGGAGGGTCTGCGCCGATATCGATGTTTACGTGGTGCATCTCGAGAGGTAGTTCCTGGCTCGAAACAGTATCTGCAAGTTCCTGTGATCTCTGAGTACTCTTCGTATAATGCCACGCCTTCTGGGTCTCGCCAAAAGTCAACAAACTTTCGGAGAGGTCCATGATGGCGTTTATGGTATGCCAGAGTGCCCTGCTGGAAACCACCGATACCTTGGTGTTGAGACTGTGATATATGCTGGCTGTTGCCGTATGCGTTGTGATGTGAATTGTGGTGCGCGTTTGCTGCCAGGCCAGCTGCGGCTGCTAGGCCTGCTGTCGCTCCAAGTGCAGCAAGCCCACCGTGGGAGGATGAATGGTGAGGGCGATTTTCGGGATACTCTGATGGCGCATAAGTAGTCGGAGATTCGTCGTAGTTTCCGGGCAGCACATTGGAATGAGCATTATTAGGTGGTATATCAGACGGCATGCTACCCGGCATGGTAGGTGACATGTTAGAAGGGCCACTGTGCGGCAATCCTCCTGCCATGGCTGAGGCCATGCCGTAACCAGCGGCTCCAGCAGCCATACCATCCATTACACCAGGACCAGTGCCATGTTGCGGTGGTCCAGATGGACCAGCTTCTTGCTGGTCATACTGTGGCATTGGAGGGGGTCCATATTCAGGTACATGGGAAGGCAATATGGCACTAGGTGTGTATCCAGGCTGGTTAGGAACAGATTGGCCCTGGTCTCCATAGTATTCGGCAGCTGAGCCGACCATTGGCGGCTGATGGGAGTCCTCTGGAGGCGGATAGGAACCCGATGTGGGAGGGTAATATGATTGTTGCGGCATAGGTCCAGGGCCAGAAGTGGGAGGCAGCGGATAGCTGCCATCAGTAGGGTATAATGGGGACCGTGAAGTCTGGGGGCCAGAAGTAGTTGTTCGGCTGCGAATAGCTGGTTCGGTAGGCTGGTCGTCAGAGATAGCTCGGTCGTCTAGAGTCCTGCTGCGCCGTTCCGAGCGTGTAGGTTCGTATCTGTCGTGAGGGTTAGTTTCTTCGTGTCGACGATATCTCCTTCTGTCGTCATCATCATATCTGTCGTTCTCCCGTTTTGCTGTGTCTGTTTCCATGGTTGAGAAAATATCTCCCCGGTGTCGTCGTTCACCCGGGTATGTATCTCCCTCACGGCGGGATGGGTCTCGTAGGTCGGACCCTACCGTGGAAGGGGCATCATCACGGTATGTCCGTTCCTCGGGAATATGTGTATCTCTCTCGCGACGTCGTGTGTCTCGCAAGTCTTCGTCAAGCACAGAATCGTCATCACCATAACGTTTTCTGCGTGACCTTCGTTCTCTATAATGTTCGTCAGGGTCGTCACCAATCACACCTCTCTCACCGTCCAATGCCCGCGACGGAGCTTCAGACACTATCTCACTGGCAGCAACGACGGATCGCGCGCCATCGTCCTCATCCTCATATCGTCGCGAGGACCGTCTCGAGCTCGAATACTTGTCCGCATCACGATCGTCACTTCGTGAGGACTTGTGTTTCGAGGAAGACGAATGATGGCGTGAGGATTTATGATGGTGAGAATGTGATGAAGTTTTCGAACGGCTGTCGTCGTCCTCGTCGCGATCTCGACGGTGACGGTGGCGGCTAGAGCCAGACGATCGACTGCTCGACTGGGTTCCAAGGAGGCTTCTAAACATCTTGCAGGTGAATTGAAGCCGGCCACTGGACGAGACAGCCTTGATAGAGCGTGTGGTTGTGTGTCGTGGTTAGAGAGATGATTAGGCTGTCGCCCTTCCTTGGTTGTTGTTTTTGTTTACCGGACTGCGAGAGAGCTGGCTGATTGTCCGGTGGCTGGTAAACGGGTAAACAAAACCCTACTTGACCCACGGCTGAGCGTCCGGGAAGAATCCGTGGTTGGCTATTAGGCTTATCCGGCAGGGGTTGGAGCTTGGGTGGCGCTGGCTGCCTACGATCGATCGAAGGCGAAACACAACAGGCGGAAGAGAGATCAATCTCCCAGGAGTTTATTATCACGGTATAAACTGAAATAGTAGTCGTAATTTCACAGTCCAGAGTCGTCAGTCGTAAGAGGTTTGATAGTAATTCGAATCAAGTCGTATTTTCACAAAGGAGAATCGTTCTAGGTCGTTCAGGTCGTTACAGTCGTCAAAGTCATCAAAAGTCGCAAGTCTTTTCGTGATATTTCCGTGCAGTCGTAAAAGAAGTGAAGTGTTCGTCTCAAGTCATCAGTCGGCTAAAGGAAGGAAATGCAAGATGATGCAGAAGAAATGCGACGGCGTTGGAAAAGAATGCTCGATGGGGTTTTGAGGCAACGAAGTTGCAAGCTTGCGATTTTGACCTCGCTCACTGCGGGTTGCACATGACTTCCTTCGCATTGTTTGCCACCAGAGCAAAGCTGTCGATATAAATGTCCCAAATATCAGTGTCCCAAGGTATACGAGTACAAGTGTATGAAGCACATGAAGGAGCAGTAGAGAAGGAATCCAAGATGTAGGTCATTATACCAACGCAAGAAGTCATAAGACATAACCAATAGATAATATATACAAAAAGAGAGGCTCAAAGGAAACCAAGTTATACAGCAGCCTGTCTGTCCGTCTCACGTCAAGTACAGTGGCTTGTCCTCGCCGACCTCTCGCACCTGTCCCTGATGAAGTTCTGGAGCCAGAAAGGAAAGGAGTGTATGTTCTCAGCAAAGAAGCCAGTAGTGCCGGGTAAGATGACCCTTCCACTAGATCCAGTCAGTATCTGTTCGACTGTTCGCTCTGCAACCGTTTCAGGGTGAAGGAGTGGATGGAACCATGTATCTTCATATGACATGCCGTCGATGAGGCTTGTCTTGCAGAAGCCCGGTTTGATAACTATGGTGCGTATCCTGGGAGCTTTATATCGTATCTTCAGCTCGGTGGCAATGCCTTCGTGGAAGGCCAGTGCAGCGGCCTTGGTTCCGGCATAGTCAACCATGCTAGCGCATGCGACATGTGCAGCCTGCGAGGCAACCGTCACCACCATTCCATGATTATGGCGGATCAAGCTAGGTAGGAACTCTTGTGCCATCACGTAGTGCGAGAGGGCATTCACCTCAAAGGCAAGTCTCGTCTCGGCCTCTGTGCCTTGGAGTAGAGGTCGTGTTCTCAGGATACCGGCATTATTGACGATGATGGTTGGGTCGCCAACATCTGCACGGATTTCCGCCGCCGTCTCAGCAACGGCCGCGGCAGATGTGATGTCGCATCTGTAGAAAGTGAGATTTGCCGGTGGATTATACCCCAGTGGCTGAACATCAAGGACGACGACTCTGAGGCCGCGGTGGGCAAGCAGGAGTGCAATCCGCTGTCCAATTCCGTCGCTCCCACCGGTAACCAAGGCAATCTCTCGCCTCCAGACAAATTCGTCGGAAACCCAGTTGTTTAATGCCCGTCGGTTGAGAAAGCCATTTATGACGTTGAGAAGACCAATTGATACAAGCGCTTTCAACAGGGTGAACACGCGAGGTCGGCTGGCAATCAATTCCTTACCCTTGGTGGTGTAACGAGCAAATAGCAAGAGTGGTATAGTTGTTGATGGCGCCAGAACAGTAGCAGATAAGACGCGTCCAACAACGTCCGCCGTGAAGCCTTGGATTAACTTGTTAGTTTTAGAATAACAACTGCTATATCTTCTCAAGGGGCCTTACCTTCACGCGGCAGCCATCCTCTACAGCTTGAAACGCTCATGTTCTATTAGTTGCGATACCAAGCACATCGACTTCTAAACGACCATCGACTTCTCGCGTTTATGAACCCTCCACGGGGGGAGCTCTATTAATCAGTCCCTCTTCTTCTTCTTCTTCTTCTTCTCCACATGCCCTGATCGCCCTTGAGCATGCTAGAGACCTTGTCCAAAACAAGTCCAACTTCGCAATACGAGGATCAATCCCTTTTCCCCGAACCTCGGTAGAATCCGATGACACTCATCATGAAGAGCTGACGGGCTTGCAGCGAACCCCTTAGATCCCCCAAACCGCCCCTCGGCTCTCCTTGCTCGTCACAAGCAAATCAACAGGAAATATTACTTCGCCTTGGAACCAAAAGGGATGAAGTTTTTTGAAGCAAAAGGTGGAGTGAAGTAGTTATCACGTGATATCTTTATTTGAATGTCTTTGTACAAGCAACATCGAGTAGAGAGAGTGTGTGTGGTAGCCTTATACGGTGCTTATGGAGGGTGTCTAGCGGCCATAACTGCTTCTCCAGTCGGCTCTTAGGGGAAATGATATGATACTAAAACACTCATTGTTTCCTGGTTGTTAACGGAGAGAAGGAAATACATCCTGGCCAGACAGACATGCAGCATACTTCATACTGGTCAAAAAAAGAGATCATAACTCAGCGCCCGGGGCTCAAAAGAAGTCCCTCAAGAAGACTTTCATGACGGGGACATCGTCGAGGAGGAACTTTGGGAAATATCTCTTGTTTTCCTCCGTGTGTGCCTTTAGCTCTCTGTATGACCGGAAGACATGAGGCTCATCTCCACAACGTCGTGCATCCAGCCAGTCCAATAAGTTGATATGGACCTTGCGGAGTATCTATGGCGGCATCAGCTCATCCCACTCATACACGGCCCTTCGGCTCTCGGGATAGATGGTAGGGAGATATATACCTTCTCACAGGCCCTAATGGATGGCGGCGTTTCGTTGAAGTATCTCTGGCATATCAACTGCATGTTGGACAGTTTGTCGCCGTCCTCGTCGATGATGCAAAAAACATGGTACTGGAACTCTTGTTCTATGCACTGGCTCCACCGACGCGGATATTGACCATTTTTCTTTGTCCAGCCACGGCGGTTGGCGAGGCGGCCAAATTCGACCTTCAGGGAGTTTTCATCATTATGTCGGAAGTCGGGATCGTGGAAACTGAAGAAAGTCGAGTGCGGCATCGTTTTGCCCCTGCTGATGGCCTCGCTATGTCAAATATTATCAGCTTAATTCAAATGATGGCTGGGAAGTACGCAATACCCACTAAACACGCTGTTATGTAGATACTCTGGCAGTAGTATCCTGTATTAGAACGTCTGATATACCTTCAAAGCAGCTTGTCGAGATATCTGGTGTGAAAGCAGACACGCTGAACACACAATAACAACAGCAGCGGTAGGATAGAGCTTGGTGCCACTCTATAAATACATAAAGTGCGCTGGAAATCTCCGTGAACTAGACAGACTATGGGGCCATCCATCTTCGGTTACTACATATAAAGTAACTCAAGTAATAGCAGTGGTATCATTTCGAATAAATCAGTATATCTTGCTTACAGCGTTCCAGGGATACTAATAATCTTCTTTTGACTATTCACATTTGATAAGTGGAGTGAGTTTTATACATGTTAAACCTGCCAAAGATGGTGACTTGCTACCTTCAATTTCCTAGAGATAGTGTCAGTGATATCATGATATAACTATATATTAGGAATATATGTTTGTGATATATTTTCTTAACTTTTTGTAACCTATCAATTAATTAATTAGCAGGTCCTGTTAATCTTGTAATCCTTAAATTTGCCATCAGCTATTCACTCCACCCATAGGCAAGTTGCTACTTGTTTACAGAAGTAATATGGCCAAAAAGGGTAATAGAGAACCAAATATGAAAACGTGTAAGTAAAATAGACATAAAAATATACAAACATTGGGGGGAAGGGATATAAATGTTTAAATATATGTATGGTTTTGACATCAAAGAGCCCCCATGAGTTATTTCAAACTTACAAGAAGTGAAACAATTGATAGGAAAAAAAGCGGACCAAAAATATGCAAAAGACGACTTGCCACCAACGCCAAAATGGTATTGAGCATAGATTGAACAATGCATCAAATATAATAAAAAGATATAAACCCAAGAAGAAATAAATATAGAAACAAAGAAGTTGAGAATAAAAACACATAAAATGAAATAAAAGTTAACTTCGTGGCTTTAGAGGCTTGGTGGGCGAGACACTCGAGATATATATCGAGGGAGAAGAAAGTTCGACATATCATCGATCACTGGAGAAGCTACCGGGTTGTGGTTGTGCCGGGGGTTGTTGCTGCGGCTGCGGCTGCGGAGGTTGCTCGAACAGCTTACGACGGATCAACGTCAGGATCTCCGCATCTTTACGTAGGGTAGGCGATATATGTTTGCTTTGTAGCAGGAATTTGATAGTTCGGTTAAGTAAGGCGTAGAGCTTTTCACCATCAACGAGGGCGGAAAGTTGGGAGGTGTAAGTTGCTGATAAGACAAGCATGTTGCCAAATTGACTATATCAACGTTAGCATGGCATCCCTAGCCTACGTGTCTACCATAAACACACAGGAAAAATGCTATGGATTAGCTACTTACGCATGGGCGGGTTCCAAATATATTGGTCACTATAGGGCGGCTTTCGACACCATCAAACGCAACAGTACTGTTCATCGCAGCATTAATGC